TTTTAACAAAAATTTGAAGTTACAAAAGTAAATAAAAAAGATAACAAAGATATACAATAATAATATTGATAAAAAGAAAAAAATAATAATACAATTTTCTCAATATAATAGCAATTTGATATAACTTCATGGTCTCCTAAATATTATCTCTCCACATATCTAAAGTTATGTTAATCCTCTGTTGCGACTTCGGCAAGTGCATCGTTCCTAAAAGTAATAAAGTGTACCGGAGTACGAGATCGTTCTCACGAGGATGAGTTTTCAAGCACTAGTTCACTAATTGCGGTTTAGTTGGACAATCAAGATTGAGATGAAGAGAATTGAAATTTAAAAACAATCAATAACATGTAATTTCAGAATTAAAAACAATTAAAAAGATGAGTTGTTTAAGTATCAAGAACGAGTGTAGTTAGAGTTTCGATTTCCCTCAATCTCCTCTTTATGCTATGAATTAAATAGTCAAGAATATGCTCTTAATATAATGTCAATCAATTCTTTCTAAGTTAATTAAGGCTCAATTCTTTGTTACCCTAATTCTATGTGATCTTGAAAGAATCCTAGTTCCCCAGTTGTTCCCCAAGAAAACATGCATTAAAATCAAGAATTCAAAGATTGCACAATTGCCCTATGTCTACCCCTAGATCACAAGGATTATGATGAGTTTATCAAATCAGGGTTCATGCACCAACATCCCTATTGTCATACAATTCTCCTAAATCAATCTATAAGGAGCAAACTCATAGAAAGCATTGAAAACAGACAATTTCATTCAAATATAAAAAGAGAAGAATTCGGAGACAATTTAATTCATAACACAAATATTCAATTGAGTTTCATCTTCTCCTAACTACGTAAAAACTTAGCCTAGCATATTGAAATCAAAAACAATTGGAAAGAAAATAATTCCCCAAGACTCCATTGATGTGATGTTGTCTTGAATCTCCAGTGCTCCAATACTCCACAATAGGATTCCTCCTCTTGACCATTCAAAATGCTCTTTCTTCGATAATCTTTCAATTGACCCCAAGCTCTTTATTTATAGCCATGAAATTATATCTTTTAATTTTCTATAGAATCTTATGAAATCTCAAATCATATCTTCAATTGGATGATTTTATAAATTGAATCTGAATTGCATCACAGTTGGACATTCAAATGTTGATAAGCGTGTTTAAATGTTGATCAACTCTTTTCCCCTGTTAGATGGCGTTTTAATATTGAAATTAACATTTAAACGTGTTCCTTAGCTGTGATTTCTTTCATGCTAGCTTGTTCAAATGTTGGATGTGACATTTGAACGCGCTCCTGAATGACAATTTCCTTTCTGATAGCGCATTTGAATGTTGTAATCAACAATCTAACACACATCCTTTCTTTTTCTTCACATTTGAACGCCCTTCTCAACATTAAAACGTGCTCAAACAGAAGCTTTTTACAAGCTAGCACATTTGAATGTTCAAAGGACATTGGAATGCTCTCATTGTCAGCGCGTTTGAATGTTGATAGTAACATTAAAACGCGCTCCAACAGAGATTTTTCTTCATGTTTTAACATTTGAATGTTGATCTATGATATTTGAATGTTCTCATCCAGAAACTTTCTTCATATTTGCTCAATAGTTAGCACATTTTAACGTACTAAATAACATTTGAATGTGCTTAATCACTGTAGATTTAATTTCTTGGATGAACATTGATCTTCCAATTCCAACTTCAATCTTTAAATCCATTCTTGCTCAAATTTGTATTAATTTTCCTTCAAAACCAATAAGAACGAGATATGTTAGATAGAAATCCAATTTCCATGATTTTTAATATAAAACCTAAGTATTCATGTTCTTGACTATATAATTCATGCAATATTAGCCCTATAAACATGATAAACTAAAGGTTTATCACCCTCCATGTATTAACATCTTTTAATTCCTACTCTTGAGTTTGAAAATTTTGTTGAAAATTATCTTCTTCATTAACTAGTGATATTGAAGATAAAGATGAAAAATAAACAACCACACTTAGTGGGTGTATTAGATTGATATTTTAAAGGATTTTAATGGATTATTTTTTGAAAAAAAAAATCCTTTGATAATCAATTAGGATTTCAAAGGATTGTTAAAGTCACGTGATACTCGATTAGGATTTTAAAATATTATTTTAGAATCCGTCCAAATCTTGTGGTATTCAATCAAGATTTTAAACAAAGGAAAAACAATATTAAGGTATTCAAAAATATAACAATTTTAATGAATTTTCTATTAGTGTAATTTTGTAAAATTTTTTAATGAGAAATATAAATAGCATGACTCTCTTACAATCTCACCGTAACTCTTAGAATTTCTTGATATTTCTCTGTTGCAATGTCTCACAATCTATCATATAACCTTTTCTCACCAAGACCCCACCAGATTGCAAATTGGATGAATGTGATTCTGATGATCCAAAGACAACTAAAATAATTGAGCTGAACAAACCCTTGACTTCGAATACGAGAAGTAAGCAATGCACATCAACTCAAGAAGAATCAAGATGGTTACTAGACAAATTGTCACCACACCAAATGCATCGACGACAAATCTCGTCAGGGGCATTACCCGATGTACAAATTCCAAGCATGCTCTCTAACAATATGAACACAAGAAATCCTCAGGTGCTTGTGTCTAAAGTATAACTCACAAGAGTTCTCAATATTAATAATAGAATATGATGGTTGAACCCAATTCATACATGCATAACAAATCACTCAGGGTAGATGACTCCGCGAAATCCTAGATAAATAAGTATCACACTTCCATACACTCACAACAGCAACAAGATAATAGGTAGGATTGATTATCCAATTCAAGCACCTACAACCAGGGGGAACATAAATAACAATGGAGTTGAATATTTGATATTAAGTTACATCAAATTACTAATTCAAAAAATTATATTAGGTTTTACTTTTTTTTATTAATATCATTGTATTTTTTTATTTTTTTTTATTGACTCTTGTAATTTTGAATGTTTGTTAAAAATTCATATGATTTTTTAAAATCTTATAAATCCATATTATCTTTTTAAATGTTATAGATTGTAATTAAAATCTTTTGAAATCTAATGTTATCAAATCTTTATTGACACTCACACATACACATATGCACGTTCAGGCGCTCGCACACACACATAATGGAGAAGTTAATATCCGATCTCAATTTTTCTCTTTGCTCGGCTCTTTGTGCTCTTAGTTGAGAACTATCAACTGCTAATTGAATTGTCACCTATTGAAAAAGATACATCATATCTCTCTAGTTGATGAATTTTCTTTATCGATCACCAACCTTATTCATATGCTGCCAGATCATATTGGCACGCCCATCCATCCTAATTTCTTGGCAAAGTAGATAAAATATAAATGCATAACTTTCAAGATAACATGTCAAGTCCACAAAGCTATTCGATTAATAATTTCTATTCGAGGGTGACCATGAAAAATATGAATCAAAAAAATAAAAGTGAGATATTGAGGTATGCTTCAAATAAATGATGAAAAATATGTTGAGATATCACTCAAACAAGATATGAACAATTAATGCTCAGAGTTGTCTTTCTATAGACCATGATCAGCTTAAACAGTACAATAAATAGATTAAGTAGTATATTTGACTCTGACTTCCATTAAAAATTCTAATAAGATATTTTCCTTTTCCTTCTATGATTTGAAATTTTTTGCTTCTGCCTTTTGATTTGCATACTTGTGTCTTTCATTAGCTTCATTAGTCATTTTCTAAAAAAATCAGAATAAATAATTAAAGAAGAAAGTTATCTATACTTTTGGGAAAAACTATTTGTGCATTAAAAAGATGTCAATTCTTGTACAAAATAAATAAATAAATAAGTTGTGTCCTTTTAGTCTTTTTAATACCATGTACTCTTGGTAGTACATAGTTATAACATAAAAAGTTATTATTTTTTTCTTTCCTCAATCACATCAACTGACGTGGAAAGTGATTTTTTTTTCTTCATGTTATAACTATATTATACCGGAAATACATAGAGTAAAACACTAAAAGAACACGACTTACATCTTTTAAAAAAATGCACACTAAACTCATACTTTAGATTTACAAAAATGGATTTTAACGCTGATTTCTTTGCAGCTTACGGATATCGGACACTCTATGGGAGGAGGATACAAGATTTAAGAGTTTTATAATTCTCATGTTGAAGGAGAATTGAAATCTCATGTTGTAGAGATAAAAAGCATGTGAGACTCATATGTTAGAAAAAAAATTATATGTAGGACTCATGTCAGCATAAAGATCGAAGGGTGTGTAGGAAAATTGTAATTCTCATGTTAAATGAGAATTATAAAATCCAAGATTTAAATGCGGTTTTGAAATAGAACGCTTTTTAAGAGTAAATTTATTATATAAATGGTTAGTATTAATTTGTCTTATAACACGTACATGACAAGGTGTGTTCTTTGTTATCACTGGGCTGAAGTTTTTTTATTTGGGCCCGGGTTAAGTTTTTTTTTTGGGTAACAAAGTACCTTTTTTAAATAAAAAAATTATGAGTACCAAAAACAATAAAAAAAATAATAATAATAAAAGGGGATAGGATATTTACACCCATGTGACACCCAGTCAAATTTACCGTTAGATCGCTTATGTTGATCCAACGGTTATATTTATTTCCATCTTTGTATGGTCATGATTTTCCAAATTTAATATATTATATTTATTTCTACCTTTGTATGGTTATGATTTCCCATATTTAATGCTTTCACTTTAAATTTGGGAAATCATGACCATAGAAAGATGGAAATAAATATAACCGTTGGATCAACATAAGCGATCTAACGGTGAGATTGACTGCTGGGTGTCACATGGGTGTAACATAACTTGGGTGTCACAATATCCTATCCCTAATAAAAGATGTTAAAAAGTAAAAAACGACCAAAAACAATTTATGGAAGAATAATATTAGATGCGTACTTAAATTAATTATTTTACACTGTTCGGTCAAATTTGATGATAAAATCCTCCGTCCCTCTCTAAATTATTTGTTCTGCCGCCGCCGCCGCCTCCATACGCCGTTTCTGGTTATTTAGTGTTGGTATGCCTTCAAACTAAACATTTTCTTCAAATCTTTTGAGATTTTCTCTCTTTTGTTTTTTGGATAACGAGATTTTCTCTATTTAATCTTGAATAGCTGCATTGTACTCTGGGATTTCTCTTTTTTGGATGAGAGTTTTAAGAATGATATTTAAAGAAAAGAAAAGAAAAAAACCCTTTTTGCAGAGTTTTCAGGATGAATTTACTGTAATTTTGGTTTGATTTGATTTGATATAGGAAAGCAATGGAGTTTGTTAACAAAGTAGTTGAGGGGGCTAAGAGAGCTTCAAACAACAACACAGTGATCAATGTTTGCCTTGTTGCTTCCTTTGTAACACTGGCCATAAGATCTATGAATCAGCAAAAGACCATTGAAGCTCTTGAGGCTGAGAAGGAATCTCTTGTCAAATCCAACAAGTCCATTAGAAAGACCATCTGGGATTGGAAACAACAGCTTTATGCTGAAGCCTCTACTGATTCTAATTCTGCTGTGGTTACTCTGGCAAGGCTCAAAGCAATCTATGGTGAAGCCCCACCTCCTCAACATCCTAAACTTGGTAATTCATTTCTATCTCTTCCCCCTGCTATATAACTCAAGCAATTGAATGAGACAGTTGAATCATTAATTTGATTTTGGTAATGTAGAAAATGATTATAGGGAAATTAAAAGAATAGAGATTAATTTTATCCCTATGCTTCAATCCTTTGTGTTTGAGGAGTATCAGTATGCTTATAATGTGATCCATTGTTTGGGAGAGAACATGGTTTCTGTTTTGGTAGAAACATTAATGGGTATTCTGTATTACCTGATCCTTTGTTAAGGGGTTTTTCCCTCTTATATATGCTATAATAGACGGTTATCATAGCAGTGGGTAGTTACTGGTATTCTATCATGGGGATCGTGTACTGCCACTACTGCTAGGGTCTTAAGCACGTCCTAACTCCTTATCTGGGTTCCGGACTTGCACAACGTACTTTATCCTTAAGTCCTAACTTGGATGTGGGCTCTACATGGACTTGCCTAAGCCCATTTAACAAACCTGGAACAGTTTCATTCTCACTGTTATGCTTATAATGATTCTGGAAAAGAACTTGCCTTGACCAAGCAAGATTCAATTTGGAAAAAGTGAAACTGAAAACAACCTTCCTCATAGAGCCCCTGTAAATAATGTTATACCAGGTGATGATATATTACTGTACATAGACCGTAGAGATAATTTGTTACTTGCTGTGGCAGTTCTATTTTTTTGAGTTCAGGCTTTCATATTTTATTTTTTTTAAATATATCTAAGATTTTACCAATGAAAAAAAAAAGGATGGGTTAGTCTACAATCACGCTGGTAAGCCCTGCCAATTTTATTTTTTTTGTTGGTTTTGTTATTTGATACCGAAACAGCAGACTGTTTGTTAAATTTTATGAATGTCATGTTGATAAAAACTAGTTTTTGCAGTTGAGACAAAAACTGTGATAGGGGAAATAGAGGTAGAAAGCAGGACTGTATGCAAACCAGTAGTTGCAATAACTGTTAGAAGTTAACTTTTTGAAAGAGAAGTATAAAATAAAATAGGGCAAATTCCAGTGAACAAGGCTCTCATATTTGCGAAAGGGGGATGAGAGTCGATTGTACGTAGTTTTATCTTTGCATTTTTACAAAAAAGTTGTTTCCCATACTCAAACTAGTGACATTCCAGTCATAAGGAGCAAAGAGAAGTGTAAATATTGGGCAAAAATCTTTTCAAACTCATTTGTAAAAATAAGAAAAATGAGAAGAAAAAAAAAAAAGAGAGACAAAAGTTCATTACAGAAATTCCTTCCAACCTTGTACTCTCTCTGTAAGAGAAACCCCTCTAAACTCTAAGGTGTTCAAGATTACAGCATCATAGATAAGCTAAATGAATTCATTTGCGCACAAACTTCACTCATTGCACTATGACCAAGTATTTAAAATTCAAATCTGACTGTCTTCCTCTTATAAAATACTTTTTCTTATTTTATTTTTCAATTTTTGCCATATTATATCCCATTTTGACTGCAAGGTTTGCATTGTTAATGGTGACAGCATTAGACACATTTAGTTTTATTACCAGTGTGAATTTCTTTTACAAGTCTGTTTAGTGCCTAAAATATTTTAACATAGCTATTATGTAAAGCTGTGTAGTAAAAGCTTGATGCTAGTTATCCAGGTTAAAGAATTATTACATGGATCGGATGGTTGGTAAATCCACATTTTCTTTCCACAATGGTTGTTGCACTACAACATGATTTTTGTCCTTCAAGTTCTTCTTTTGTGGTTTTTTCAGGACATACTGTGAGGCAAGATGCAAATTTATCTGGTCCCACCAAAATAATCGCCTGAGATCTGCATAGTTGTCTGGCCTTTTAGAAGTTTTTGGCGTTGGAAGGTTGTTAATAAAATATTTTCTAAGAGAACAGAAACATATAATTCTGTCATAATTTGTTATTTTGATTGGCACGTAAATGAACAACTTGGAGGAAGTTAAAAAGTGGTTAAAATTTTATCATTGGTGGGACGAAGCACATTTTTTTTTGTTTCATATTTTACCTTTCTACAAATTTGGGGACCTGATGAAAACTAGATGCAACTTTGGCAGCCGAGAGGATGCAGCCTTCAAACATTGTCCCGTTAAAACTGATCTTGTTGACTTCCATGGTGCATGTAATGGATGACTTATAATAAGCAAAAACGTTGCTCCATTTTATCATTTATTGTAAAGAATCAATTCAACCCAAAAGTTTAAGCTGTTGGGTGAGGCTACATTAATGGTTTTATATATCTCAATACGCCCCCTCACACGAGAGCCCATTGGGCTTGAAGGGTGGACAATGCACAGGCCCACCTACCTGTATTAAGAAATTCGTCAAGAGAAAGTGGAGGGCGGTGAGGATCGAACCCAGGACACGAGGCTCTGATACCATGTAAAGAACTATCTCAATCCAAAATCTTAAGGTGTTGGGTGAGGGTGTTTTTAATGATTTATATTATTCTCTAACATACCCTCTCACACAAGAGCCCTTTGGGCTTGAAGTGTGGATATTGCACAGGCCCAATGTTTTTGGTTTTACCTCCTGTTTTTTTTAATTTCACTTGAAAGTGGGGGGCGGTGAGGATCGAACTCGTGACCTTGTGGTCACTTGAAGCTCTGATACCATGTTAAGAATCATCTCAACCCAAAACCTTAAGGTTTTGGGTTGAGATAGTTCTTTATATGATATCAGAGCCTCGGTGTATCGGGGTTCGATCCTCACCGCCCTCCACTTTCTCTTGTGGAATTTCTTAGCACAGGTAGGTGGGCCTGTGCATTGTCCATCCTTCAAACTCAATGGGCTCTCGTGTGAGGAGGCGTATTGAGTTATATAAAATTTTACGGTTAAACTATTAATTTTTTATGTCACGTGTCAACACCAGACGAGTCATGCCTAATTTAGGCGTGAATGCCTTGGGACTCACGCCTAACTTAGGCGTGAATAGTCACGTCTAATTTGAACGTGAATGAGTGCAATAGATCCGTAGATAGTTTCGAAACAGTTATGTATTCGTAATAATTTATTAAAATAGTAATATTTTAATTTTTTTGCCCATGTTTGACATCATAACCATATAAAGATGAATCAATGATAATAAAGGAAGAGAGAACAAATATATTGATTTATCTTTTATGATTGTAATCTTTCCACATAATTATTTCATGTTTTTTTTTTCACATGAAAGAGTCAAAACTCATAGGCCATAGGCCACTTGGAAGAGTCAAAACTTCATATAAATTTGGAGGGACAATGACTCTAAAATTTTTAAAGGGGAATGATCTGTTTACAAATTTGTTTTACAAATTTTTGTAAATTACACTATGTATTTTTGGGAGAACACAATATAACGTAGTGTTCTTCCAGGAGTATATAGTGTAGTTTGTAAACAAAAAATTTATAAATATAATCTCTCCATTTTTAAATTGCAATTCATTGATTTTGTTAGATTTTGTGTTAATATAAAATTGGGCTCGTGATAAATGCAACCGGATATAATGATTTAAAACTATGAATAGGTTCATATTATAAAATTCAATAATAAATATGTTTTGATGAGTATGATTCTCTTCCATGGACCCAAAAATATTGCAACACGATTCTTTATTTTAATTCCGCCCTTGGTTTGTTGTGGACAAGTAGCTTTCGAATGGTAGAATTTACAATTTAGTACTCATTTAGCTTTATTTATTTTCAGCTTCTCTCCTCGAAAAAAATATTTGTTTTTTATGAGAATAAAAATCATGTAAAAGACTTCTAGTTAGAAACTGTTACAAGGAATTTCTTGCCTCTTTTTTTTTTTTCTTTTTTTTCCTTCATCCCTCTCATCCGCAACAAAACGATCATTATTGCTTATTGGGAAGATTAAGCACCGGAATGTGATTTCTCTCGAGCCTTTTACAATTTCAAAGAATGAAAAATGACTAAGATGTTATTTCAATTTAACTTAATTTTTCATTCATAATTTGGTTACATTTATTTTCACGAATTTTCTTGGTTAGTTATTAAAATGGTAATCTAGCCAAATGATTATAGCTTATCAAGATAATGCTTCAACATTATTGCACTGTAAGTGAGACTTGTATTACTGAGAAAGACAACGTCACAGAGAAAAAAATATTATAAACAAGTATTTTATGTATTGGATATTAACTTTTTGTTCTGTAGATTTACTTTTTCGATGCAGGAGTACCATTCAACGCATTTTTTATTAAATATGAAAAAAATAATATATTTATATTATGGGATCTATTAATCTCATGCATGCAATAGAGATAAAATTGTGGGATCCACTACTTTTTCAAAAAAAAATAAAATAATGGACCCCACTATTTTATCTCTTTTGCGTGAGATAATTATTTTCCTTATATTATTCCTGCTTTTATGATTATTTTGTCAAATATTACTTTTCCTTTTTTTTTTTTTTTGGGGTAAAAGAGTATCTACACCTCACTACAATCCCGCCTTTAGCTTGTCTTATTTTTTGCGAGTAATGCCTCTCTTTTTTTTTTGCAATGTATCCTCAAATCAACAGACTAATTTTTTCAACACGGAAGAAGATTATATTAAATGGATAAACTTCTGCTATCAATGCCTCTCTTAGTAATGCCTCAATCAACACTGAACATTAATTAATTTAACATGCACGCAAATCAATAAAAAAAATTCAGAATCAGCGCACATGGTCAAGAAATATCACCCATGTAATTTAATAATAATTAGTATATGGTAGCCATCTGAGATCTAACTACATCTGATTTCTCGGTCAAGGTATTGGTAGTATATGCCTAGCTATATCATTATTTGATCATCCAATTTGCGTTGCCTGCATACTGTGCTTCACTCATGGCTTTCAGCTATTCATCTTTTATCATCTGCAAGGTCTTTCCGTTAAGCTTACACCGATACATTATTATAACTCTTAGCTAGTAGCTCTTTACTGTTATATTAATTCGATAGATTTATTTTATTTTCATTTTTATTTTATTTTAACTAACACAAATTTGTAAAATCTGATGATCTTTTTTGTCACAGAAAGACTTGGGTCTCTCTGCTTTACCTTCATTATCATTATCATCATCATTTATAATTGATCAGAAATGCAAGAAACCAATATCAAAGAATATTGTTTCACTTGTGTCATCTCAGGAGAAGAAACGCAACCCTTCTGCAACTGGCTCAGTTGGTTTCACTTTCTTTTCTTTCCCTGTTTTCCATTTATTAATAGTGCTAAATAATGATGGGTCTTGTTTGGTGCACTGTAGACCAAAACTCCAATGACAGCGACAGAGAAGATACTGGCCAGAGCTTCAGAAAAGTCCAAAGTGAGCCCTGGAGAAAATGCATGGATTAACATTGATGTTTTGATGACCAACGATATTGCTTGTCCTGGTGTGACTGGGATCTTCAAGAAAGAGTTTGGCAACACTGCAAAGGTATATATATGTATATATATATATATATATATATATATATATATATATATATATATATATATGCTCTTTTAATTAGTATATAATCTTCAATTGAGAGACACTATTTAACTTTGTGGCTCTGTTTGGAGATTTATTTTAGGTTTGGGACCGTGAGAAGTTTGTAGTTATCCCTGATCATTACATATTCACAAGTGATGAACGTGCGCACCGTAATGTGGATATTTCAAGAGACTTCTGTATGGAGCATGATATTAAGTACTTTTATGATATTCAAGATCGCAGTAATTTCAGGGTACGCTTCTCTTTATTACGCTTTCTTTACTTAACATTTTTATGTGATTTCTATATAGTCAAATTAATATACCAACAACATTCACTTAAAAGTGAATTTTTATTTATAAAATGATTAAGTAAAAGTGTATGCATTCTTAATTAATTTAACAAAGTATATTGTGATCTTAATCCACTAACTGATCTAAGAATGGATTCATTCTTCTTTATTTACTTTTAAGAGAAGCTCACTTTAGAATTTTTTTTTTTAATGTTCCAATATATATGCTGAAATTAAATGCTGTAAAGATAAGTTGCTGATGTATGCTAAGAATAATAATAAAAAAGAAGAAGGTAAAATAGGTAATTGACCTTTTTTTTTTTTGGAAATTGTTCGTATTCTTGGCCGAAAGTCAAGACTAATTCCCTTGCGGTGGAGAGATCACGCGATCGTGGGTAGAGTCTCTTCCAATAAAGTCTTTTTTATACACACGGCTAGAGATCAAACTACTGTCACAATGCTTAAAGAACTCAACTATCTATCAACTGTTCTGTGCCGTGTTGGTGTAATTGACATTCTCAACGCAAAAAGTCACATTTGGTTTGGTTGCTTTCGTCTTTTAAGTGTTAGCCTAGTAACTATCATAGTCGAGTAGAAAAAACAAAATTTGAGCTACTTAGGCTTAGTATCTTAAACAAAATTTATATGCTGATAACATTTAGTGGCAAAAAAATTAATTTATTACTTTTTTAATAAAAAATTACGAATAAGTTGTCGTTTTGCAAAAAATTACGAATCTATAGCACTCAAACACGCCCACATGGGGCGTGTTCTGATGGAGAGAGACACGCCCATGTGGGGCGTGAGCTTGTGAAGGAAACACGCCCTACGTAGGGCGTGTGTGGTCACGCCTAAGATAAGGCGTGTTCAGTGGGTTGACACGCCCAAATATGGGTGTGAGTGACTAAACTGACTGCTATTTAAACACCCACCCCCCTACACACTCTTCACAATTCTGTCATTGTTATGCTAAACTCTCTGATAGTTTGCACTTGTTTACTCATATTTTGTTTTATCTTTTAAAATTTTGTTTTTAAAAATGAGTGCGAATTCTGATACTATTCGTGTCGTTCTATATTTTAACGGTAAGAAAGAAGAAGGTCGTCGTGGTGTTATTTTTGTAGGGGAGAAAAGGCCATCACGTATTAAACGAAACTCAACGGTTGCTGAGCTGCATCAGAAAATACGTCAAAAATTATGTCTTCAAGACAACCAATTGATCACTCTTGTCACGGCAAGGTTATGGCAACGTGAACAATACATTAGCTTGCAAGTGGTCGATGACGAAGACATCGATATGGTAATGGAAGAGTTCTTGAACCAGTGTAGAAAGGATTTCTTAGAGTTGTATGTGGATACTACAACCGCGGAGGAAGTTGTCATACCAATGAGGTCAGTTAGGTCTACTTCTCCTCTTAATGCATCATCATCTGCTGTTCCTGCTGTTAACATGTCTGAGGAAGATGAACATGACCCTACTTGGGTTATGGATGAGGAGTATGACGAAGATGATGAGGAAAATATTGCAATAGAGGATCGTCTTCTTTTAGAGGATGCGAGTGCATCGGACAATGACGAAGAATGTGGCAGGTCTGGTACTGAACTTCAACCAGTGCATGATTTGGGGGAGTCTCGTATCGTTGTACATCATGGCACAACATCGAGTTAAGTACCAGAACATCCTGAAGGTATGCTATCAATTAATATACTGACAGTTTGGTTGTTGCAATTTTTGATTAAGAAAATAATTCAATTCTATTATTATTATTACGTAGTACATGTAGGCGATGCACCTGTTGATCCTTTTTGGTCAGAAATTCCACATTACACATATATTGATTGGGATTATCCGAGTGAGGCACAATCATGGACGCAGAGTTCAGGTTCAATCCAGGGTCCTTGGCAATTGGGAGAAAAGTTGTTTGTTAACCAACAATTTACATCCAAAAAAGAGGCTCAGATGGCAATCAAGCGCTACCTCATGAAGGAGCATCAAGAAGCAATTGTGGTTGAGAGCACTCCCACAAAATTAAGCATGAAATGTTGTGCACACGTCCAAGGTTGCCCGTGGAGGGTCAGGGTAATTAAACCAACGTATGGTGAAAATTGGAAGGTGACGAAATGGGGTGTGAAGCACAATTGCTTGAATGACCATATTTCTCAAGATCATCGACAACTTGATTCTGACGTTATTGCAGCACTTGTAGTAGGTACGTAATTTCAAATTAAAAAGCTGATTAAAATTGCAGTTGATATACCTGTTGTTCTGTTAATGTTTATATTCAGCTTTTGTGATTCAGAGATGATAAAAAAGGAACCTTCAGTGGCCATTTCGCTCGTTCAGGAGAGGATAACGCATTCATATGGATTCAAAGTTTCATATCGAAAGGCATGGTATGCGAAGCAGAAAGCAATGGCAATGTTATATGGTGATTGGGAGGAGTCCTATGCATTTTTACCCAACTGGTGTGAATATATGCTTCGTTTTTCACCAGGTTCCTTTTACAATATTCAAACAAAGGATTGTTTTGTTGGGGGGCAGTTGGTTACTGGAAAACGTGTATTTGTTCGTTGTTTCTGGACTTTCAGACAATGTTGCGAGGCATTTAAATTTTGCAAACCAATGATACAAATTGATGGCACTCATCTATACGGGAAATATAAGGGAAAGTTATTGATTGCCACAGCTCAAGATGGTAATAATGAATGTGTGCCATTTGCATTTGCCGTTGTTGAGGGTGAGACATTGGAGGCTTGGTCATACTTCCTTGCCAATCTTCGTCAGCACGTCACTCAAGCGGATAATATATGTCTAATTTCAGACCGGCATGTTAGCATATTATCGGCTGTTGAAAATAATCCCCTATGGCAGCCACCCCATGCATTTCATGTGTTTTGTCTGCGACATGTTGCAAGCAATTTTAATCAACGATTTAGAAATGACAAATTGAAGGCTAGCCTGATGAATATAGGTATGTTGCACACTATGATTGGTGAATTAAATAATTGTAGTTTTTTCGTTAAGCGTCAACTATGTGTGTTTTTTAAATTGTTCGCAGGATATACTCCTTGCATGGTGGATTTTGAGAGGTCGCTAGCACGATTTCGAGACACAAGCAGGCAGAGCTTCGCTGCGCAAAATCCTCCAAAAGAAATTTAGAGAGAAGGAGGAGGAGGAGGTTTAGAGAGAGGATGGGAGGGTGGAAATGAGGTAAAAAAGTGAAAAACGGATTTATATACATCGCGGATAACACGCCCTATCGTGGGCGTGTCTCTCTCCTGGAACACGCCCTTCCTTTGCCGTGTTTGCTTCATAGCTCACGCCCTATCCTAGGCATGTCTCTCTCCTGCCACACACGCCCTACCTTGGGCGTGTTTCTTTCACAAGCTCACGCCCCACATGGGCGTGTCTCTCTCCATCAGAACACGCCCCATGTGGGCGTGTTTGGGTGCTATAGATTCGTAATTTTTTGCAAAACGACAACTTATTCGTAATTTTTTATTAAAAAAGTAATAAATTAATTTTTTTGCCAACATTTAGTTCGTTTGGATTGAGGATAGAGGAAATGAGAAAGTGAAGGAATTAGAATCTCTTTCGTTATATCGTTTAGAAAACATATTCTTGTGTGGCTAAATAAGAACCATAAAATAGTTCAATTTTAATGTCAACCATTACATCATGAACTGCATTTCTTTCAGTTACTTTTAGAACTCTGGAGAATCCTAATCCGGAAGTGAAAGGGAATGAGTTCAAAATGCGTTTGATAGTTTCCTTGAAAATAAATCATTAATTTCCTTGACTATAAAGGTGTCAAGAAATCAAGTTTTATTTCTTAAAAAGAAAAAAAAATTCTTGTATAAATATGTTATAAATCGCATAATAATTTATACATTGCAGGCTAACCCTGATTATAAAGGTGTTTGCCACATTGCTCTCGCACAGGAGGGTCATTGCAGACCTGGAGAGGTGAGTTCTGTTAACAAAGCTAATAAAATGTTAAAATCTGAAATCTACTGGTTTGAAACTATTCTGAATTCTGATCACTTGATATATATTGATAACAGGTGATGTTTGGTACGGATTCTCACACCACATCAGCTGGAGCATTTGGCCAGTTTGCTACTGGAATTGGTAACACTGATGCAGCTTTTATATTGGGGACAGGGAAGCTTTTAATCAAGGCAAGTAAACACATATCTTCATTTTATTATTTGGCAAAACATATGTGCATATTATCCTTTATAAACTTTCATGAAGTTGTTCTATTATATTCCAGCAACTGTCTGAGCATTTTTTTCTAATAAAATATGGAATGGCTATTTTATTGGTGTATACAGGCATTGATCATCCCATCACTGCATCAGTTGCTTCTATGAGTGATATCATAAGTGCTTAGCAGTAACATTGTTGTTTGACACATTAGATCACTAGAGAAAACCTATAGATAAAAAGGGAAAAAACCTGTGTACAGGCTCCCCAACTTCGCGAGAATTAGGGTGGGATCAATTATAGGCAATCTTACTCTTATGTTTTTGTAAAGAGATTATTTCCTAAACTAAAACACGTGACCTTCTGGTCACAAAAGAGCTACCTTACTGCTATTTCAAGGCTCGCCCTCAGAGTAAACCTATAGATACTAAGATAAATTTATAAAGGGTTATAACTGATGAATGTATGAGTTCATAGATTGCGAATATAGGACTATAACTGCTGTATCATTTAATAAGAAGCTTTATGCAAAAATTACAGTTCATAGATTTTGTATGAGTTCGAGTGCATAATTAAAATGACAAAACTAATTATTGTGGAAAGTTTCTATAGAAGTGAAAGCTTCCATTCTACTCCTCTCCTATTATTTTTCTCATTTTCCTATAACGCCATCATCATTCCCAATAAGACCTCCACCAGTCCACCTACTGCATATGCTGTGTTGGACTTATCGCTCCTAATAATTATACATAACACTTTCATTGCTTGCAATAATACCACTCTGACACTAACACCTGATGAGATATTCATGATCTTCTTCCCTTATCTATTTTTTTTTTTTCAAGAGCAATTAATTTTTTTATGGCTATCAGCATGTTTTGTTAATTAGTACTAGTAATAGTCTTGTCTTCAAGACAAGGCAGATGAATGATAAAGATGGCCTAGTTAACTTAATTTATGCTTGCAGTTGCATTTTTGTCAATATAACAGTCAGAATCCAACCTTGGTGATCCAAGTAATGAAAACATCATACACATTGTACTATAGTTGATTTGTGTTGATTTGGATTTGAAAGAACTCTAGATCAGTGCATTATTTTCTTCTAACCTTTCTCTCATGTTTTTTCATACATGATTTTTGTCAAAATTGTCAAACAATTACTTCGAATTTACAGAGATCACAGGGGAAGGATTCTGCAAGAATAACTTTCTAGTCCTTAAAGATTTAAAAGTACATATTCGACCAAATGCATAAAGAGTGCGTTAAAGCACTATTTTGATTCATTGGATGTGCAGAAAGGTTTTCCTTTTACATGAGCTGAAATATCCCTTATGATGAAGGTTAAAACATTTCAGCACCCCTCACATACAAGATGAATGTTAATATTTTTATTCCAAGATAAACAGCACTATCATTTTGCTTCTGCATTTAGTATTTGTTGTTATCAATCACAGAAAAATTTACTGAATATACTTAAACTACAGGTGCCTCCAACATTGAGATTTGTACTGGATGGTGAAATGCCCAATTATTTGCTTGCAAAGGATCTAATTTTGAATGTAGGTGAAGGGTTCCTCTCGCATGTTTTTCCATTTGAATGAATTGCAGTTTATCAAAATTATGTGACACGAGTATATTATAACACTATTTTCTTGGTGTTGTTGCCTTATGAAAACACTAACCACCATTCAGATTATTGGTGAAATATCTTTGTCTGGTGCAACATATAAAGCGATGGAGTTTGCTGGGACCACTATTGAAAGTTTATCCGTATGCAAACTTTTAACTTTTTCTGTTTTCTTTCTCTATGCTAATGTTATTTGCACAAGTATAAGATTTCTGAATTGTTGTGTTGTAGATGGACGAAAGGATGACAATATGCAACATGGTTGTAGAAGCTGGAGGGAAAAATGGTATTGTTGCTGCTGATAGAACCACATACGAGTACCTTGAGGTTGTTGGAGTTAATCAGTGCCCTTTATGTTTTTCTCAATTTCATTGTTTTTCTCTTCTCTCTAGTAGCAAGTATGTAATATATGCTTATGCACGTGCTTAAATATACATATAGACATACATGCAAGATGCTGAATTTTCAACAAAAAAAGATGTGATAGTTCTGCAATGCTTGAAATAACCTCCTGCACGTGTTTTTATGTATTCTCGACCCCAACTAGTTTGGGATAAAGGTCTTATTGATGTTGATGCGTTTTTGTGTATTTGAGTTTTGCCAATCATACTCTTATTTCACTTTATAGAGCTTTTCATCTTAATTCTTTCCCCTTTCTCTCGAAATATTGCCTGGCTGCTTTGTACAGGATAAGACATCTGCACCCTATGAACCAGTTTTTAGTGATGAGAAAGCAAGGCAAGTTCTATTTCCTCCTCATATATATATATATAGTTATTATTTATTTGATCCATAATTACCACGTTATAAATTTTCTTTTGTTTGTTATTAGCTCAAACTGTTGCTCGGATATGGCATTACAATATTAGATGGACCAGAGATGATATTCTGAGTCTGCTTTGGCCTTAGGATGTAATTTAAGAATCTTTGTTCTTTGAAAATGTAACTTAAGATATCAGCATTTCTGATTGGCCAACAGAGTAAATGTTTTATAGTGGTCTAATGCTGAGTTTATATACTGCAAGTATTACTAACTTAGCTGTTGAATAATGAACTTTCGTGTTTTATCAAAATTCTGCCAGCGACGAGTAATTGGGTGACTTTAAGAGCTAGTTATCATATATTATTCATTTCTCCCAATGAAACACAATCACAACTTTTCAGAATAATTCATATATTTCTCCCCTTTGCTTTGTCTTATGTGACTTTTTATAATCGTTTTTCGTTTTCTTTCTTGTTGATGTGCTAGTTTTCTAGCCCAGTATAGATTTGATGTATCCGAAATGGAACCAGTGGTGGCAAAGGTAGTTCTACTCAATCAAATTTTTTATCTTCACTTTGCCATAAAAAATTTATGAATCTTTTCTTGTCAAAAATCTTTTTGCGTTTGATTGCTGATGAAATGTAAAATGTTTGAACCATTACACAGCCACATTCCCCTGATAATCGTGCTTTGGCAAGAGATTGCAACAATGTGAAAATTGACAGAGTATACATTGGATCATGCACTGGTGGAAAGACTGAAGATTTTATGGCTGCAGCAAAAGTTTTCTTAGCTGGCGTACGTCTATTATAATTTTCTTTCTCTTTCACTCTCTTTTTAACGTGCACTCAGCATATATTTTACGATGGAAAACCATTAATACTCTGGACTCTGGAGGGGCTTGAACTAGTTACCTCTCACCATGAAGGATGGTACATAGTTAACCCCATGCAGACACTAAAATGTTTCTGTATGTGTGGTCATAAATTTGGACTATATTCTGCTTCCCACAAAAAAATTGAACTGAAGATAAACATGTTATTTCTTTTCTCCACCTGTTATGCAAGTATTCAATTAAACATTTATGATGTATAAAAGGTTTTCCAGAATATCTATGTTATAGTGATAGCCATATATAATTTCTTCAAATGAGTTAGTGTATCATAATATCTATATGGAGAATAGTGTGTTTATGTAGTTCTTATTTATTTACTTTTTCTGCATAATAAACATTAGTTACTATTCTTTTTGCTTTTTTATAATCTTTAACATAATGAAACCGGTTCCACTGTAGGGGGAAACTGTCAAAGTTCCTACTTTTCTTGTTCCTGCTACACAAAAGGTTTGTCAAGGTGTACTACTTCTATTCAAGAATATGAACTATATTTCCATTTTCAGAAGTGTTAATCACCAAGATCATCGATTGATCATACCACTCAATTACAACTTTTTCAGGTTTGGATGGACTTATACACGCTTGAGGTACCTGGCTCAGGTGGCAAGACTTGTTCGCAGATATTTGAAGAAGCTGGTTGCGATCCACCTGCAAGTCCTAGCTGTGGTGCATGTTTGGGTGGCCCAAAAGACACATACGGACGCTTGAATGAACCTCAGGTAAACTTACACTTCCTCATAATCGAACTTCAATATTCAACAATCTGCTATATATATATAGCTTGAAAAGAAATCTTAATTCCTCTATAATATTTGGAACTCTTGGATACATCAACTTCAATTGTGAAGACCATTTATTATTTTTAAGAGAATCAGAGCTAATCATGAAACCTGAAATGTTGTTGGCAATTCACCTACAAGCATATAGATTTCATGTGTTCTTTTTTTTTTTTTTAACTCAAATTTCATTGAAAAAAAAACTAATTTAGAGTGACTATATATAATTGTAACACCAAAACCAAAAAATCACTTCCCGTCAAACCCGACTAGCGAGTGTGCCTTACCCTTGCATAATTGCAAAGAGGCTGTTTCCTGGATTCAAATCCATGACCTTTCAGTCATGAAGAAACAGTTTTACTACTGCTCGAGTTCGTCTCCTTATAATTGTAACACCAACTTATATATATATATATATATATATATATCTGGGTTTGATTAATCTCATGTTAAAGGAGATAAGTTATCTCATGTCATAGAGATAAATTTGTGGGCTTCACCATCTGAAAAATAAAAAAAAATAAAAAGAAAAAGGTGGCACAGTTATCGAAGGGTGTGTAGGAGAGAAAGTTATCACATGTAGCGTAAGAGTAGTTTTTCCCTATATATATATATATATATATATATATATATATATCAACTTTGTGTTTTTGTTTTCATTTTGATGTAACTTAAGAAAGGACTCTGATTGCAGGTCTGTGTCTCAACAACAAATCGAAATTTCCCTGGCAGGATGGGGCACATGGAAGGCCAGATATATCTTGCTTCCCCATATACTGCAGCAGCATCTGCATTAACTGGTTTCGTAACTGATCCCAGGAAGTTCTTGTAGTAAGCTACTATGTCTAAATAACTTGTACGCTAAAATAATGAGCTGAAATAATTTGTACGCTACAATTATGTATTCAAAGTCAAGTAGTTTCATCCAAATTGGCTTGTATTCTAAGTCAAGCACCACAGAATTGTTACAAACAACTCTTGGAAACACTATCATAATAGGTTGCTACGACCTACGCGGATGAGGTTTACAGAACAAGATATGCATAGGTTTCTGTCGAAATTCATGTTTAACAACACCAGAATAATGCAATGTAGAAGCAATCTTAAGGTACTTCTTCTCATCTGAGTATTTCCTAAATCACACATCTGGTTTATTTATTTATTTATTGAAGGAAAAGTAATATTAATACATCTAACTGAACACACGTTAGTAGATTGAATCTCGATTCATTCTGTTGAAAATTATATATGAAATCTAGCATGTTAGCGCTTACTTTACCAGAACCTCGTCTTAAAACCTGATTTTTTGTTCAGCTCTTGAGCAAAAAATTCCACGTAGATTAAAAAGCGAAAACTAAAAAGGGATCACATACAAAGTTCACTTAACTAAAATATAACCCTTAATTAATTAACCACATCATATATATTAAATCCTCAGTCAACTTTGAAACATTAATTTAATAATGTAAAAACATTAATTAACAACATATATTGTGCAAAAACTATAAGAAAACAGAGAGATGTTCAAATATAAATATATATGATGTTGTATAGCGTTTATGTTGAATTGTAGAGTCCCAGTCATTGGAGGCAAATGGGAAGCGAAACTGCGAAACTCACATGCATTAGAATGACAAAACAATAGCAAAAATAAATTAATATATATGATGTTCACGTCGGATCCACCTGGTGGCACTGTGGTTGTGGTGAGGTCACAGAAAGCTTGCATTGTCCGCCGAGGGAGTGCGGCGGCGCCTGTTCTTCTTGCCTTTACTGTCACCACCGCATACGATGGTGCACTCAATACCACAGATATTACTAAAGCAAGAAAACAACCCATTATCACCGTCCGTGTGCCTCCGCGTGTGGCGGCTCGTCTTAGTGCTCGACGTCGTCGGGAGGCTCGAGAACTCGCCGCGATCGATCACCGGCGGCAGCTCCGTCCGCCACCTCTCCAATTTGGACTGCAACCCTTCAACACTCTGTTCGTCCAAGCTCCACCCTCCCACGGTAGAGTTCTCGCCCTCGTCGACCACCGGCCTCCTCGCCATGGCCGCAGCCACCTCCGACGGCGAAGGCCCCAGCTCCGACTCCGTCAGAACAATTGGCCCCATGTTCCCCAAGTTGGACCTGCGCGGCGTCGCATATTCAAACCCACCATTCACCTTCCCAAACGGGTGCATCGGCGTACCCCTGTGAGAACCACCAAAACCCACGGCCGGGTTGAACTTGGAAACCGCCGGCGAGTTCCGGAACTGCGGTTTTGGAGTGACCATAAACTGCGGCGGTGCCGGAGTGACCATATATTGCGGAGCCGGAGAGTTCTTGAACTGCGGCTTCGGAGAGTTCTTGAACTGCCGCGCCGGAGAATTCTTAAACTGGTTCGGTGCCGGAGAGTTGTGGAACTGTGGTTTGGGAGAGGCTTTGACTTCATAGGTAATCTTGGTGACAGGCACGTGACGCTCATTGGTGTTGTTATTTGTGTTCATTTCACTTGAGGGTGCTTCAGAGACGCTGTGAATGGGTGAAGGTGCTTTATGGTTATCATTATCAACAATATCAACGACGTCGTTCTGAATGGGTGGTTGAACGGGAACATCAGAGGCACTGGGTGCGGAACTTGCTTTTCCATTTTTAACCTTCCAAGGCAACACATCGCTGAGAACAGAACTCGTTCCCTTTCCGCTTTTTCCGGAGACACTGCTAACCACCGACGAAGCCTTCGACCTTCTCTTCTTCTTATGGCTCTTCCCGCTTTTTCCGCTAACTTCCGAACTCGCTTTCTCCTTGCTCGCCATCGCCATGCGCTGTCTCGCCACCGCCTCCGACCCGATCATCGAACTGCTGTCGCTCTTCGTTCGCCGGAGCTGCTCCGGCTTCGGAGCTGCCGCGGAAAACACGTGAGGGCTGAGGTGGTTGTGCTCTTCATAGGCATCCTTCTCTCCCATCAAATGGCGGTACCCGACGGCGGAGGAGTTGAGTGCGTACAACGGCATGCTTCTCATGGAGCTGTCGAGGACGGCGACGCCGATGTTGAGGATCCCCTGAGGCCTGCCGGAGGGACGTCGGACCTGGAGTGCGACGAAGCGCATGCCGACGGGAGCACGGTTGTTGTGAAATGGCCTGGCCGGCGGAGGGATGAGGTTTCCGACGAGGACACGAACGGTGCCGACGTGGACGTCTTTGAACCAATGCAATGCATAGATCTCAATCATGATTGCGGAGGTATCAGAATATAAAAACTCCTCGTCGACGCGGAAGACGAACTTGTCGTTCCATGTAGGGTTGGTGTGGCCTTGGGTGTCGACACGCGTGGAGAGCTTGCGGTCAGGGTGGACCCACGCCACCGCGTAGGTTTTCATGTTGCGACCCACGGAAGCCAAATCTTGTGCGGAAATGACATTCAGTTCCAACAGTTGGAATGGTGCTAATATTTGAGACATTGTGTATTATATATATATATATATATATTTAATTAACTATATGGAATTGATTCAATAAATAATCAATTGAGAAGAAGAATAAGAATAAGAATATAGGAATGAATAAATGAATGCACCCTATACCTATAGTAGGAATTAATGTGGAAATTGTTGTATAGGTATTGGGTGCATATGAAAGAATGGAATGAGGTTAAGGTTGGTTAAATTTATTTGAGTTTGTAAGAACGAACGTATTTCTTGTAGAGTTTGTCAGCGGGTTTGGTTCGTTTGAGGTTTTTGATCCAAGAGAAAGAGAAGAGAGGAGAGAAATTATGATGATGATGATGATGATGATGATGGCGGGTTATGGAAGAAGGGGTGCCACTCGTGGTCGTCCAGGGGGAGGACGACGAGGGAGGGCGTGACATGAAGGGCTGGGAAAACCAATTGGACACCAAATACGCCAACAAAATAACGCATTTCCATATCGATCCTTGGATTCACTCATCTCTGCGCACTCAAACGACACCGAATCAACATTCTTTTCTTTTCTAAAGTTGGTTCTCCTCGTTCTTTTCGCTTACCCCTCCCTCCCTCTCTCTCTCTCTCTCTCTCTTTCTCTCCCTCTCCCTTTGGGGGCAACAGTCAACACAACAAAAAAACAATAACAAACAAACTGTGTGTGACTCAAAATTATTATAACAATCAGGACATATTTTATTACAGGTCATACCTTGTTATTTTTAGAGTGTCTAGATTTTGAGCAATTTGAATGATTGGTACAACTAGGTTTGTTAATTAGAGTTCCATTATTAGCTTACCTTCCTGGACGCCGGATAAATTATATGACTTTATGTAGTTTGTATTAGCCTATTAGGTTAGCCGTTCAATTATCACCATTGTATTAAAAAAAAAAAAAAAAAAATGTATATCATTTTGAAGGATGTAAAGTTGTGTCATTTTAAGTGAGAGAAAGAGATAGATAAAGGATGAGAGAGGGTGGACAAAAAAATATAAAGGTGTGAGTCTCACCTCTTTTTGAGAGTGAAAGGATATAAGTTGTGTCATTCAAAAGGAGAAACATTTCTCCCAAAAAAAAATTTGATGTGACGTGACTTTAGTCACAAAACGGCCTTCAAAAACTACTAGTTTCTTTTTTGTGATTGACTGATGAAATGATATGCGCATGTAAGGCTGTAAAACTAGTTACTCACACCGTGAGGATTATTATTTGCAGTTTTGAGTGTGCAAGTTGTGTTTTATACGCAAATTAACTTGTTTAGCAGAATTATAATTGAGTTATATTTAAAAATGATTTTCGGTCATGGAAATAAGAAAAGGGAATTATGTGTGGGAAACTATATATATGATTTCTTCGTTGCGTGCTGCTTCTTTTTAATTTATTTGAACAACTTCCATAACGCAATTCTTCTTAGGTAAGGATTGCTGAAAACCGTAGCTAGAAAAATGCAATACCTGATCGAAGCCGGTAAACATTGAAATTTAATACAACCTTAAAAATATTAAGTTCCAAATAATGATAAATGATTTAAACATGTACACATCTACTTGAAATATGAAATGGCACTTACAAAATATGGGTTTTTATATTCATACAAAATATTGATTTTAAAAAATAGAAATATAAGTTGAAGTCGAAATAATATATCATTGCTCGCTCAGAGTTTCCAGAGTTTTTGGTGGGCTAGAAAGATCCGCTGTTCTTCAAATGGTTTGGGAAATGATAATTGATAATGTTTAGTGAGTTGAAAAGATATTTGCCATATTTGGGGAGAAAAGGTTCCTATTTATAGGGACTTAAAGTAGAAGCCTCAAAATTGTTGGCCGATGCACTACGTGGCTGGCCTAACCTTCTTTCTCTATGCTTATGGATATATGAGATTTGTGTAATTTAGTTTACAACTGTAAAAATAGGTCAGCCCGTTTGATTAGCTATTAGCTCATGTGGATTACGGTTAAAAATTACGCACCGTCAAATGAACCTCAATAATAGAGGCTCACATATGTCAAGGTCAGTCAGTAGGTCATTTAAAATTATAATTTCATAATTATTTTATCATATTCAATACATTAAAAAATATTTTAACAAATAAATATTTAACACTTTCTTAACATATTTTATACAAATTATAAATTTTTTATAATTTAATTTTTTCAATAAAATAATATCTATACACAAATATAAAAGTAAAAATGTAAACAAAATTTTAATGTCAGTGAAAATTTAGTTACTACATTTACTAAATTCATTATTAAAGGATCACATCAAATAAAGATTTTCTCATCATGAGTTATATGACATAATACAACAACTCTACTGGAAATCTAAAAGTAACGATGAAAAAATGATCTTAATACCAATATTGAATAATTGCTCTTAGTATGTTATATATTTGAAAGTAAAACTATTGATTTTATTCAACTACTATCGTTACAAAAAACTTTATATATGCTTTACCTACTCATTTTCCATTGGATCAAAATAGGGGCTCAAAAATTTCACCTAATTGAGCGCGTCTAGCATATTTTTTCACAGTAGTTGGATCACTATAACCAAGTAGAGATTAATAGGAATGTATAAACCAATGCTTCATGGATGCTTAGCGGGGGTCCTCGTACATGGTGAATAACCAAATTCCAATTGAAGTGAAATCCTTAAAGTGAATTCTCCCTAGATACACAATATACATGGCATTTTATTTCACAATTGATTCAATTTAGAGACTCGAGAAACAAAGAGAAGGTGTGTACGAACGAGATATCCAGCAACAAGAATAAGGAACAAAAATACCCAAATATTGGTTTTAACGTAAATGGATATAACCTGGGTGAAAATGATATTAAAGATGGGTAGGTAAAGTAAGTATGAAAAAATATATAGATAGCTTGGGGTGGAAGGGTGGATAAAAATTAACACAAATGGTTCTTGTGCTCAAGGAGGTTTACAATCTGGCTGTAGAGGGGTATTAAGAGATTGTAGAGGTGGCTGGTTAGTTGGTTTCTCAAAGAATTTGGGGTGTAGTTCTTCGGTTGCTGCTAAGATTTGGGGTTCCTATTTGGGTCTTCAAATAGCTTGGGAATGTAGTTACAGAAAGGTGTGGCTTGAAGGAGATTCCACAGTTGCAATTAACTTATTCTCCCAACAGAATACTGAGATGCATCCTTTACATGGACTGATTTTACGTATCAAAGAATTGTTGGGAAGAAGCTGGCAAGTTTATATTTCTCATACATACAAAGAAGTGAATGGGATAGTTGACTGGTTAGCTACGCATGCATATACTGCAAACTGGGAAATTCAGTTTTTTATCACTCCTCCTGTAGGTTGCAAAGATAGATTTCTTCAAGATTGTAGGGGGCAGCTTTCCCTCACTTAGTTTTAGTCTAGTTTATTTTCTCTATGTATTACAAAAAAAAAAAAATATATATATATATATATATAGAGGCAGGATCCTTTGACACCGGTATCAAATTTGAAACTTGACACCTCATCTGAGAGCCGTTAGATCAAAAAAGATCAACGACTCTGATTTGTAAGCATGTGACACCATTGATCTTTTTTTATCTAACGGCTCTCAGGTGAAGTGTCAAATTTCAAATTTGACACCGGTGTCAAAGGATCCTACCTCATATATATATATATATATATAGATAGATAGAATACCATATACCTTACATTATTTAGAAAATTTAAAATGTCAGTTGGGTTGGGTTGAATTATACGAGTTAAAAAAAGGCACAACAAATATCCAAAAAAAAAAAAAAAAGGGCACAACCATAACCCAACCCATTCTATATATGTTTGAAGTTTTTTAATCAAACCAACCCACTATTCATGGAATGGGTCGGATTAAAACTCGTGAAAACGCACACACACACTGGACGTGATCATAGACCTGAGGAAAACTAGTCTGATCAAAACACAACCCATGCCCCTTTTCCACCACTGCATGTGCCCTCTAACAAGTTGCAACAATTTTTTTTTTTAATTTATTGTCAAAAAAATTTATATAAGCAACAAAAAAAAAAGCATTGGATGAATTACATAGCTTAATACAGAAATAAAAATATAATTTAAAAAAAAATTAAATATTAGTATAATTTTATTAAATAAAAATTATTGCCTTTATTAAAACTAAGTTGTGCAGATAATTTTTTAGGTAGCATTATTTGTTCCATTTACAGGGTTGCCAGCATGGGCGAACAAGTTGTACAGCATGCAGACTTAAAGATGCAATCTGATTACTTTCATGTGATGGGAGACTTTCCTCTTACGCTTCTTTTTACAGAATCACGTTCATCTTATTTCTTGTGGTTGTGGGTTGCCTTTTGACCTTGTGTTGCATAACTGGAAACTTAAATCTAAACTTAGCTTTATGTGTGCATTCTTTCAAGATTATAGTGAGTTAACCAGATTAGTTGTAATGGATGAGTACGAGATATGAAGATAAGCACACAATCACAAATTCAAATCATAACTATGTCAATTACTTGACACCATATGAAAAATAAATATTTTTGTGAATTCATTTATTTTGATATGTATAACTTTGCCTTTAATTGGAGTATATATATATATATATATACATTGATTGATATACATTTACTAACCAATACATTTGTATAGTTATTTTTTTTTTATACACAGTGGACTTTAATTAGGTGACCCAAGAAATGAAATAAAAGATTCAGGTGCACGTAATACCAATAAGAAATTTGAATAGCTTTATACGCAAATTGAAGCTAAGTGTAGATAAATTTTGTTGATTTTGATTATAAATTGATCTCGATATCTCTTATCTCACCATTCTTTTTTTGTTATTTCGCAAATTTCAAGACGCAAATAGCATCACAAGATATTTGAATAAAATTATAGGTGACTCTGTTTTAGTGTTAAGAGTAAGAAGTTTCCAATTCTTTAAATCGATATTATTGAAGTCGACTCGGTTATTCACCCGATCGAGGTACTGGGTCACTGGATCACTGGTTCAATCAGTGGGTCACTGGTTCAATCAGTGGGTCACTGGTTCAATCGCATGAACCGGTAAGTATATGTAAATCTACAATTTATATTAAAAAAACTATAAATACACTTAAATTCTTGTAAAAAAATATATCAATTTCAAATATTTTAATATGAAAATAATAAACTACACATCATTATCCAACAAAAGATCAATCAAACATATAATATTTGTGATACTAGTGTTTCATGTTCAGTAAATAACATCTCTAACTATAAATCAAATCAAAATTCCCTGCATATTGCATAATCAAAATAATATTAGTGTTGTAGGTACATAATCTATGTAAGTTAATAAGCTACAAATCACTCAAATATTTCAAAAGAAAATAAATCATTTGTGTTTGAGAGTAAAAAAAAGAAGACATTAATTTATGAACATAAATTAGTTTTTTTTTGTTTATAGACCGGGCCGGGTCACCAGTTTTTACGAATACCAGCCGGGTCGCACCGAGTCACACCGGTTCTGTAACATGGTCGGTCCAATATGAAAATCGGACCGATTACGTGACGGTTCACTGGTTTTTGGGTCAACCCCGCCGGGTCGAACCGATTTTTATAACATTGCTTTGAACATAAAAGAATTTCTTCTAAAAAAAATGCTACTAATATTTACATTTTGACAAATAAAACCTCCTCCTTAAATTCTGCGAAATCATATTTAATAATTAAATTAAAATTAGCAAATGGATCTACTTATCATCAAAAAAGTTTAGAACTCTTACAACCAATTTAATTACCGTTGATTTCCATCAATTTAACGGTTATAATTTATTGAAAATTAATAACGTTTATTGTGTCACATTTATTAATTTTTAATAAATTATAATCGTTAAATTGATAAAAATAAACGGTGATTAAATTAATTGTAAAAGTTGTAAAAAAAATTTGGTGGATTAATAGGACTCCCCTTACAATTAATAGGAGACATGGGAACTACGTTCTGACCTTAGCCAACCATTCAAACAGTGAACGCTATTAAATTAGAAAGTTTTTCACCAAAAGTTTCGAAGTGGTAAATCTCTATTTTTTGTTTTCCCAAAAAGATTGGATGACATACGTTTTAGCTTTTGTTTTTTCTATTATTTATTATTATTATTTTCTAGGGAAAGGTTCTATTTGCGTCTTTGCAATTTAAAAGCAAGCAAAAGATTAGATAAAAGCATGGACCAGAATGAATATCAACTTGAAACTCTCATTTTTCCCATTTCTCAAAAACTTGAGTCTCTTTCCATAACGGTGCTACCAATATCAAACACTTATTAAAGACTTAGATTCTGAACTAAAGAAATCTAGCAGCAATTCAGAGACATTAGATATCTTGTGGCTAGGTCCATGGATGAGTTTCATAGTCCCAACTCACTACTAGTAGAGGATGAGTTTGAGTCAACGTTGCATTCAGCTCCATCATTTGCAATATACAACAACTCCTCTCATGGAGAGTTTGGAGATGATGACAACGACCCAGAAGAAGTTTTGAAGAGAACTGCTTTGATTGGACAGAGTTTGAAAGCTAAGGGCAATGAGGAGTTTAGCTTTGTGAGGAAGAGGATGGATTTGATCGAAGAAGGAGAGAAAGAGAAAGAGAATGAGAATGAGAATGAGAATGATTGGTCAACTGGGATTCAGAAGTTTAGTGTTGAGGAAGAAGATATTGAACCACCTAGTCCTCCCATGTATTTGGCAACAGGGCTTGGTGTTGGATCTGATAACCTTGCCAGTGATGATTTATTTACTCCCAACTTGCAAGAAAGTGAGGATCTTGAAGAGTATTACAAGAGGATGGTTGATGAGTATCCCTGCCACCCTTTGATTCTGAAAAAATATGCGCAGTTTTTACAAGTGAGTTGTCTATTTTATCTTTATGGATCTTGATTCTTCTTGTTAATTAATTGCTTCACATGGCAGTGTGATTTTGGACATGAAATTTCACTGATGAAACTGATTTTAATCATTTCAGTTTAGTCTGTGTGTGTTCTTCAATTCAAAAGGACATAAATTTTGATTCTCAAATGAATAGATGCAGGTCCTAGTTTTGGATTGATTCATGTGGGTAGTAGACTTTGGACCTTTTATTGATGTTGTAAACCCCACGATGCATAGTTACTTAAAAGAGTTTCACTCATAACTTGTTTGGGTATGCAGAACTCACTAACAAGTTATTTTAACCCGAGAATCTCATTGATCTCAAAACCTAGAGCAGAAAAATAGACAAAGTGGCATACTGCCAATAGTGATATAAGAATTAATGATCTTGCTAGGAGAACTAACTACAAGGTTGACAACTTATGAGACTCACTTTTATTTAATCATAATCTTTTAGTTTCATTTGGACAAGCTTGATGTTTGTTATAGTTCTTCTCAGATGCTGAGTTCTAATGTTTGACATCTACTGATAGGCTAATGGAGAACTTCAAGGGGCTGAGGAGTACTTTCTTCGTGCCACCCAAGCAGATCCTAATGATGGTGAAATCTTGATGCAGTATGCGAAGCTGGTGTGGGAGCAACATCATGACATTGATAGAACATTGATCTATTTTGAACGTGCAGCTCAAGCTGCTCCTCAAGACAGGTAACCACACTGTTAAACTGTCTGGCTCATTTAAAAGGAATCATGTTCTCTTTTTTTTATTTATTCAACGGTTCATCAATTACTTGACTAGTTCAATTCAAGTCGAAAAGGATCATATGATCAGCAAAACTCTCCCAACCAAGTTTTAACACAAATGTGTTCCCAGATACTCGAATTTGAGATCACGGGTTAAGCCGGAACAATCCCTTCCCAATTGATCCACATGCTTGGCAGTGAAACATGCTCTTTTTAAAACTGAAAATATCATCAATTAGTCCTGGTCTAAAATATGCTCTTCAACCTCATTGTAGCCAGCAAAAACTGCAAATTTCTCTTTTAAACTTACAAAATGTTGAGCTTTCCATGAGTAAAAGATAACAGCAAAGATATAACATATCCTTTTCAGCCATGTTCTTGCAGCATATGCTAGTTTTCTCTGGGAAACTGAAGATGATGAGAACGAAGGTGGAAAACATGAAACTCAGGTGCTTCTTTCTTTACCTTTGTTTTTTCTGTCTAGGAGCAGTTTTGTCTTCGAAATGACACACATTGGTTATTTAATACTCAACAGTTTATAACTGAGTGCAGAATGACATGATAAAACAAAAGACTGAACATGTGAAGCCCTCCAAAGAAGAAAGTGATGCTGTTCGTTCATTCTCAATCCTTGCAGCCGGACAAGAGATTGATGCAGCAAATCTTGCAACAGATAATTATAGTGAAGGCAGTAATGTTGCAGATTATTTTAAGAAGATGACTGATGAAAATCCTCACAATCCTTTGTTTCTGAAAAAGTATGCTCAGTTTCTGTTTCAGGTGAGGTCTTTTTTTTTTTTTTAATGCACACGCACACACACCCCATATCTTTTAGAATTCATGTTAGGCATGATTTTACATCAAGGCGAATTTCAATATTTTAAGCACACAATGTGAAGATGCTGCTAAATCTAAATTTTGATATGGACTAACACATGAAAGCTTCTTGAGCTGTCTTAATATTTTGACAGAAGAAAATCTTTTTACCTTTGTTTTTCTGTTCTTTTTTTTACTAAAGCAGTCTTTCTTTTTTTGGTTTTTTGGATGGAAAATTCTTACACAGAACACTCATTTCTGGCTTCAAATATGCCCCTGCCTCTTACAGTGGTGGCATTTATCAATAGTAGGCACAAACATCAATTGAGGCATAAACTATGGTTAGTTAGTTGAGCTTCTCTTGATTTAAAATGAAATATTCGACAATCACAGGGCTTGCACGAGCCCCTTCATATAAGTGGTAAATACCTTATAAAATCATGCATGTGTGATCATCATTATAGCATGAGGGTAAATTTGAGAATCCCCATGGTTATAGATTTGTTATTACTTAGTTTAGGGTTAGAGAATTTTGAGACCTATAAAACTGTATTCTCCTTACCCCTTATCCACCTTAAATGTACAGTCCAAGAGAGACCTTCAAGCAGCAGAGGATTACTACTCACGTGCAATCTTAGCTGATCCAAGTGATGGTGAAATGATGTCAGACTATGCTAAACTAGAGTGGGAACTTCATCATGATCTGGAAAAGACATTGTTTTTATTTGAGCAAGCAGTTCAAGCTGCCCCTGAGAATAGGTACAATTTTGAAGATACATCTTTAAGGATATATGAAATGTTTTGTTACTACACATGCCTATTAATGCTAAAACATGGAAGAGAAAAATTCATTAGTGACTAAGTCCATGTTAAGAGTAAATCCTACTTTGAAAGAATTGTTGAATCATCTATAACTAGTGTGCAGGGCACTATAGAAGTTAAATAATTAAGATGCAAGTGTTTAACACTTGTCTGCTTTCAGCAATGTTCTTGCAGCACATGCCTGCTTTCTTTGGGAAACAGAAGATGGGGAAAGCTGAAATTTAAAGGCAGAGCCATGTTCAAGAGATCTTCTGCTAGAAAATGCCGTGACTGTAGCAAATAAATGCTCATAGTCATAGGAGAGAATAAAGGAAACCATACACAATCAATACTAGGGAGCAACAAGATTAGCTCATCTAGAAATAAGGAAAACCATATTTCTTTTATTTATTGCTTCTTCTTTTTTGGCTGAAGTTTTTTGTGCTTCTGGAATAACATGTATCTAACTTTCAGTGACACAAAAATAACTTACGAAATGAATTATTCTTATGTTAAAAGCTTATGCAGTTCGAGAAATCCGTTTGCATAATTAGTGGTGCAGTCATTCAGAGCATGTCATGTCTAGTTAATGAAACTTTTTTTTTTTGGTAATCAGTTAATGAACTATGTGATTTTGGGAATTAATGAAAGGTGTTTTGTTAAAATTTATATAATAAATAAACAAACAAAAAGACCAAAACACCCTTCATCAAGAGTTATATATATATATATATATATATATATATATATATATATATATATATATATATATATATATATATATATATAGGGATAGGTTATTCTACCTATCATTTTTTCTGCCTACTTTTGTCTACTACTTTAAAACATCATTAGATCAGAATCTTAACTAATATTTATCTTTTTCTCTGTTCTTAAGATTCTGATCTAATGGTATTGGAGGGTGGTAGGCAAAGATAGGCAGAAAAAATGGTAGGTAAAATAACTTATTCTCTATATATATATATATATATATATATATATATACACACTACTCTGGTTTTACTACTATTTTAGTTGTTTCATGCATAAGTTTATTATTACATCTAATAAAGTAATTTAATATTAACTGAAACCATTTTTCACTACATTTATAACTTACAGAATCAAAATTAGAATATTCTAAAAATTATAGTATTATATAAAGATAGCATTTAAAAGATATTTTATTTTGGTGCAATTTTCTGTTTTTAATTAAGGAATTTATAATTGAGCATTACTAAATTTATCTAAATATACATTGAAACTGAAATAAGTAGTATTAAGAACTCTTAACATGAAGCCACCAGGATTGTGCTTCGTTAGGATTGGTATAATGGTGAAGTGTTTGGGTAGGTTGTATTAGATTATGGATTCATCTTTTTATCTAAAAAAAACTCCTAACATGAAATTAATTTGCCACATGCAGTGTCAACAATGGTTAATTCGATGTTATTCAAATACCAGTTTGATAGCATTGATTTTTATTGAAAGACGAATGCAACGTCTATCAAAATGAATATTTATTCCATAATAGAACCATTCACAATGGTTCCTGTGGTTTCCCTATCCACCAACATTATTACAATAGCTGAGAAAAACAATGGACCATAGCAATCACCAATCATGGCATAATGAAGTAGAACTACGAACGTAGTTCTATGATGTTCCCAAAACGGTCATTGTAGGAATATTAGTTTTGAATTATATGGATTAAACTGAATTAACTTAAAATTATAAGGACACAAAAATTCTTGTACCATTTCTATGAAAATAACTAGATTTCAATGATGAGTCAAACAATTCTCAAGTTTTTTAAATAAATTGCCAACTAAACATGAGATTCCTGAATAAACAAATGAAAGAAGCCCGTTAGACAAAAACAAAAATATAACATTCATTTAGAACATCTTAATTTAAGACATAAAAAAATATATCAATATTTGGTTTTTAATATCTATCGAAACTGACTATTTAGATCTGAAATATCTGGACTCAAAATTTGATTCTGTTGCTAAAATTTCATGTTGATTCAGCAGCATTGAGACCGCTTCTTGGCACTTGATGCCCCGAATATCCCCTCTCTAGGCGTGGACTTGGACTGGGTCTATAGAAACCATTTCCTTTGGGTTTGTTATATTCCCTTTCACCTCCATCTTGGCCATTTCCCCTGCCAAAGCTCCTTGAACCAAAACGCCCTCTTTGTGTCTCTGCTTGATAGCTAGTCCTGCCTCTACCCCTCCCTGTTGATAATAAAGTGAGTGAGAATAAGCATAACAAAACAAAGTAAAAAGTAAAAACAATAAGACTTCTGGGAAAACTAAAGGTTGTTGCCGGCAATCATCTCTCTTAACCAATGTGAACATCAATGAAACAACATAGCTTGCCAAATTGTGGTTGGACAAGGTTTCATTTTGAATAATTGATGAGACAAAATTAAATGAAGCGTGACGCGGGTCAAATCATAAGTCATAACTATAACATATCTTTGTCCATGTTACTTGGGGGACCCCAGCAAACAGTGAGGTGACACTGACATGGATTCTAATATGAAGTTACTATAGTCCATAGCAAACATAATGTGATCCTTATACATAAATTAGCATATAGTAGTTTAATTTGTAATTTCTCAGAAATGCTATTTCAGATTCTACTACCAGTCCCATTAAAAGAGAGAGAGAATAAAAAAAGACATACTTCCTCCTCGGGAAGGGATGTAACTGTTTGGTCTCCGCTCTTCTATGTATACTTGTCTTCCAGCTACCTCAACAGCTCCTGCCTGCGAACATGCAAAGCAATCATGAGTGTATACATCATATAAAATCACAAAATGGCCTCAGGGAAAATATGACTTGTAAGGTGAAACTCAAGGACAACAAGTTTCTACACCAAAGATCAGAAACAGCTTGAATCTGTTTCATCAATAATGCAAATCGAGAACTCATGATCATTGTGAGCAACTAGTATGTTCAACATAAGTTTTTGCATGAGAACAGGTATTATTACATCATAACTATTAATTCATAAGCAGTAGATATCATAAACTTATCATTTAAAATCAAATCCAAACCTTGACTGCATTATGAACACCAGTCATATCTTCAAATTCAACAAATGCGTAGCAAACTCCCACATCCTGGAGATTAGAGATAAACTTAGCTTTATAATGTGATATAAATGAACTAATACAGTTATTTTAAGATGCAACGACTTATACCTTGCGACTTCTTATGACAACACCATCAGGCCGGATCCTACCAAAATTCTTGAATTCCTCTTCAATTTCAGAAGCAGACACAGTAGATGACAAGTTCCGCACATAAACAGATTTGATTTCATCTGAAAGCATTTCCCAATCAAATCAAAATCTGCAATATTGACAAATGAATACATGATAAAAACTACATACAAGCAAATTACAGATTCTTTTAAACAAATTGGTTTATTGATAAAAGGAAGAGACGCAATGAGCCATCAAAATGTGCATCAACACCAAAGAGAAACTATCCATATAATAAAAATAAAAGAACTGAATTAATGAGTCTCGACAAGTACAGAGAGTAACCTTCATCTTCTGTTGTGGGAAACTCCTCCACTGCATCAGTTTCAAACCTTTCGAATGCATTAGTCAATGCAGTTGTTTGCTGACTATTATTCGGTGGAGTATGATCCCACTCCAAAGAGGACACATTCTTTTGAGATGTCTGAGAAGCTACAGATGGTGTAGATTGTCCTTTAGCAACCCGTAACTACCAAAAACAGTTTAATGGCACAGTCAGTTCCATAGCCATAACTGAATCTCAAAAGAAAACATTGTTTGGACATTAATCTATTAGTTAGATCACACATACGATTGAGGCATAAGTATGTTTTTGGGGCTCCTCAGGAGGTTCTTCAGCAGAAGTAGGTGCATTGTCTTGCACGGCATTCACAGTAGATTGAAGTGAACCATGAGACTCTTCAGCAACATCATCCTCTTGAATATGTTCAGAATCATGGACTCGCTGCATTTGTTGCTCTGAAAATCCATAATTGTCAACTAAACCATTTTCTTTGACCTTGTTCGTAGCAACAAACTCCCTTGCCTGTATATCTCCACGCAGCAGGTAGTTGGACACTGTAAAACCCGTAGCTCTCAGTTACTTAAAAGATAACAGTACAAAGAATCAATTATACTCCAGAATCAGCCACAGTGGTTATAAATCCTAAATTTCTCATTGGTAAAAACTATTGAAGTATTTTAAAAAAGATATGCTTTATGAAAACATTTATCAATAATAAATGCAGTTTGCATTTAAACCTCACTTTCAACTTTACACTAACTTTACACTAAAAACAAAAACACCACAATTGGCATTGCAATATTCATATGGACATAGTTGTCAAGATCCTGATTTAGATTGTAGTATCCAAGGATACTGCTATCTTTTCGCCAAAATATATCTGAATCGCAAGTAGGATCCATGAGGAACAGGATCGCATGGGATCCTAGAGGAAGATCCTAAAATCGGTGGGATCCCACCACTTCAATGATTCAAAAAATCCATACCCAAAATCATTTAACCCACAACCCCAAATCACTAACCCATGACCTGCATTCATTTAATCCCAAATTCTCCTTTCGTAAAACCTACCTGAAACGCTGCAACAGCCAACTCACTCTTCTCTAACGATTTTGGGATTTTGTTAGAATGTGATTTGAATTATTTGAATTTGGTAATGTTTTAGAATTTAACTCTATTTGGATTTGTTGTCTTTTATAATTACTATCTTTTATGAATGAAGTTGTGATTTAAATGTTATTTTATATGCATATATATCATTATTTTTATGATTAAAATTAAGAAGGTAGGATTTTACGATCCGTCCAGATCTCACGAGTTACAATCTTTTTATTCCCTTCCAATTTTAGGTAAGATCTTGATCTTGACAACCATGCATATGGATCTACGGTTAACACTTGTTAGCAACACTTTGATTTCAAGTCCTACAAATCTATATCTTCTCTTATCATCCAAATATGTCAAATGCTAAGTTTCAGTTAGTGAAAAGCAAGGATACAGTTGTCAATGTGATAAAGGCAGGTGACAATAGAAGACTGATGGTGATGTAAAAAGTACAACAATTGGTAATACATAGACTCCAAACATTGCCCCTGTATTAACAGCTACAAAGGCGTCAGTAGTGCCAGACACAATGAATGTGAAAACGATAAAAACAATAATATAAAGAAGGGTTTAATGTTCCTCCGATCACTAGAGATAACTTATCTTCTGAGACTCCAAAATGACATCATTTTGATGTTAGGAGAAAAGTATTTTTGTAATTCTAATGCATTCTAGGGCTATATTAGTTCTTATCATTGTAATTTTTTTTCTCTCAACCTCGAAAAAATGTCGTTTTGGAATTATCTCCGGTGATTGGAGAAACATTAAACCCTTATTGTATTATGTTTAGTCAGGAACCCAAGTATATAACATTCTCTGCGACTAGCAAGACACCAGCTAAAAAACACAGGACTAACAGTGTAACACAGATTCTAAACAAAAATCAGATCCCCCATCCACATAAAAGAACGGGGAGCACCCATGGCCATAGAGAGACACACAGTCTTGACATAACTTCTAAGAAAGTATATCAGTAGAAACTCTATCTTACTTTTTGTTTATCTTCTAATTAAATAACTACGAAGTGAAGCAATAATTATAAGATTCAAGCAAAAGAAACCCCCAGTCTGAAGCAGAAACTTACCTGGTTTATTAATTGTGTTAGAAGCATTCAATTTTGAATCAAGATTGCCCTGAGCTAAAAAGACCCCTTGGTGACGATGAACTGGCTCCTCTTCAACAAAGTGAAAAACATCATTGAGCACAAAAAAGCCTTTTTCTTGGGGTGCAAGGAAGAATGTCTGCATAAATTTCCTCCTCAAATTGTAGTCCTTAAGTTGCACAGATCCAGAAACCATCACAAGAACACCACCGCTCCAAGATTCCAGGGATTGTGCTGTCTTGATTTCGATTCCAGTAAAACTGAGTGACATGACAAGTGCATGGATTTGCTGCCCAGAGAGAAATTTCTTTAATTCTGGGGGGGAAATAAGAGCTTTACTATAATTACACAAACATAAAAAATAGAAGATAATGTCCAATCCCTTCAATCAAACAATTAATAAAGGAACTAGCAGACTGTAAGAAATCCAAAAACGGCACTGAGAACCCCTTATCATTTTATCTATGACAAATAAATATTTTAATAAAATGCCAAGAGGGCACCACTAAAAGACAAAGCCAGAAGATAGGAAAGTTGAAACTGTTCAATATATTCCAAATAATCAGAAACGTATATTATATCCAAAAGAAAAGGAAGAATATTAAAGACGGTTGCTGTTTAATGTCTTAAATCATCAAAACCCTGGTTTTTCAACGGCTAACAGATGAACAACCACAATTATGCTGGTATCAAAAACCAAATTTTGAATACAAGCAATCCTTTTATAATAATAATAATGTGAAAAGGGGAGGAATTACTAGCATTGCTGTAGCAGTGTCCCTAGCGTTGCCATCGATGCGTAGCATGGTACTGGCATCAGAGTAGAACTGGTACACCAACTCTGGCTTAGTCTCGAGTACATGGTAGTACTGCCCCACAAAGTAAGTTCCAACCTGAACAATAAACCACACCCACCCACCAACCAAAAACACATTTTTCAGCTTATAAGCTACGATGAGAAAGCAAATAGATTGTTTAAGGCATAAAAGAAAAGAAAAAGAACCTGAGCAGCAGTGAGGGGAATGGCAAAGGGCGTGGCCATTGTATAAAACCCTAAAAAGGAGTTGTGCTGTCTGTCTGTCTGTCCCCTCTCCAATCAAAACCTCACCTCAGATCCAAAATGCCCCCCCTTGAGATTCGCACCACAACCACAATCAGAGGGTGAGGTTTTAGAGAGAGGGGGATTTCGAGGAAAAAGATGTTGTTGTTTTTTGAAACTTTTTTTTTTATGTTTTTTAATAAAGAAGTTTGTGGCGTGTTGTGCTGAGGTTTTGTTTTGCCTGAGATTCTGTTGTTGATATCATATTGCTGGTGGAAGTAGCTTTAGCTTGGCTGTGCCTTAGTGCTTCTCCACAATCTCGCTCGTGCCCACAACACCACAAATCTTCTCACTCAACCAATTATAATTTTTTAAAGGACACAACTTATACAAATTCTAAAACGTGAAATCCATACCTTTATATTTTTTTTGTTCATTTTTTTTTCTTTTATTTATCTCTTTCTCTCACTTAAAATACACAATTTTTTACATCCTTGATACACCTTTTTTCCATAATTATAAACAATCACTTCTTTTTTTGGCACATAGATTAATACTTTTTGTGAAACTTTGACCGATAAATGTTTTGGAAGGAAAAATTCTCAAATTGATTATGCTGTATGAAAAAAATTATCATCATGATTTATATTTTTTATTTTCCTTTTTTGGCAACGCAACAAAAAAAAAAATTGGTTAGAAGGAAATTTGTAGGCTAAATTATAAATTAGCACCTTATACTTATACCTCATTTTAAAACAACACCCTCAACTTTTAATTGAAACAATTAACCTCCTCAAATTACATTATTAAATTAATAAGAAATATATAACTCTGATAACTAACGTGATGACCAAAAATGGTTCACTTTCGCACTGGAGTGATCAAAATCTCTTTTGCATTTCTCTTTGGACGAAGAAGAAGCTTCCTAGCTCTTCTTTTATTTTTTTTCTGGATTATTCCAAAGATAATTCTACTTCAACGTGCCGCTGGTTAATCCCCAAAGCCAGATGATTGTCGAACTGTGCGGGGTAAGACCCAACATTTATGTTGTTTCTACTTCAACAAGCATATCGTTACGATAAAAAAGGAGATTGGAGAAGATTATGAAAAAAAATAGTAGATAAGATTAAGTGTAATGCTATTTCAAATGTAACTAGGAGTATAAATGATAAGGATTATCCTTATCATAAGTTTAAATTTAAATTGTTATTGGATTCTTTGTATCACACTATATATTAGATGAATGAAACCTCCCTAAAAGATTAAGAAAAGAGGGAAGTTTTTTAGTGAGGATGCAGGTCACTTGATCTAATCTCCAAAATCACTGTGTCATGTGCGTGCTCTATTGTAAAAGAAGGTTTTGATTTAACCGTATATGGTTGGATTACCCAACTAACGGCTTTTACTAACTCATCGCGTACCTACAATGAGCACCGCTCATGAAATTCTATATCCAGTTAAGCAGTTCTTTAATCTATATACATAACATATAAAATAATCAATTAAAAACATAAACTCCATGTTTGCCACCCAGATATTCATTTTTCACACATATATGACTTACCATAAAGCACTTATACATGATATCTCAAGCATTGAATTCTTTTTCCTTAAACAATCTTACAACAAGCACAAATATGAAGTAGTAGTAGAAGAAAAGATAAATGATATCACAGGCTTTAGCTTCTTCCGTAAAGAATCTGACATGCACGCGCATCAGGTAAACATTGTATTGGTGTAAAAGTATTAAGCATGATTAAATCAAAACATGCACAATTTTATTCTTTCTTTTCCTTTTCTTTTTTTGTTTTGGAGAGGGGGGCGGGGGGTGTTTAGTGAACCTCGTCCTACACTAACATCGTAATACATTTTGGCTACCAACAATCTAGTAACTAGCCACGCTCTTAGATTATAATGGAACTAAAACTTCCACTCCCTAGCTACATTTTCAGATTTTATGCTGCCTTTATGAACCTTTTTTTTCTCTACAGGATCAATTTTATGCTTGGACCCAGGCTCCTTGTATTTTCTTGTGTCTGGAGGAATATCAGTAACGTCATGTGATTTAACTTTACAGTGTGCATGTCTATTTTGTACGGTACCATTCTTCGGTGCAGAAAGTCTTCCATCTCTATTCCGGTTTCTATTCCCGATCAATATGTCATTATCTGAATACAAAATAGAGACAGAATTTAGAGGTCAACTTTGAGAAATCACATATAAACTGAGTTAGCTGCACACAGCTCTCTCATATCTCAAAACAAAGAAACTAGAATCAACACCATAAATGATGCTTTCGAAAATCACAAATATCCAACTCTCTCTGTTTAAAGCATTTCTTTCTCCGCAATTTGGGAAGAAAACAAAGATTTGCCTTTTCTTCTCCATCAGGCAGAAGGGAAAGTTATTTTAAAATATTTTAGGTTTCTTATGAGTGGTGAGAACCATGGGTAGATATCTTAAGAGCCTCCACTTAAACCTTTTGCACACCATAGGTTTTGAAGCAAACCCTATTATTCATGTGAATGATAATTGATTGGCTGTGTGATTCCTGGAATTGTGATCATAATGATATTTCATGTGTTAATTTGCATTTAGATTTAATGGTTTAAATATATTTTTGGTCCCTATATGTAACAATAATTTTCAATTCAGTCCCTACACATATGGTTGAAAATATTAGAATTATCTATAATTAATGTTGTAATTTTCTGTGCTTATCTTATTAGAATTTGAATTTATTCTTATTAGGATTTGGGTTTATTCTTTAATCCCATTAGTCTCTCTATATATTATAAACTAATGTACATGTTCAATACACAATTTTCTCAACTCTAAGTTGGTACCAGAACTCAAGTTCTGGCAAACCTAGCTTCCCCAAATCCTAATTCTGTTGCGCCCACTGCCCAACAACCATCATCTTCCTTGCCACGCATCCTACCGGTGTCATCTTGCTTGTCGCGCATCCTACTGGCAAACGATCCTTCCACACATCCTATATATGTTGCTCAGGGGGGTTCTGATCTAGTATACAAGCTTCGCAAATCTTTATACGGCTTGAAGCAATCACCCTGAGCCTGGTTTAGTTGTTCCAATTCAGCAATTCAAGCTTTTGGGCTATCTTGTAGTGAAGTTGATCGCTCTATCTTCTATCGGCGTCGCTCCTTTGATCCGTGTCTCTACTTCCTAGTCTATGTTGATGACATTATCATCACCAGCAGCAATTGAGTTGGAATGCAAGCCTATTAATACACCCATGGGTTCTAATGCCAAGCTTCTACTTAGACAACGGACGGGGGAGCCTCTTACTAATCCTAGTCGTTACCGAAGACTGGTCGCAAAGTTAAATTATCTTAATGTAACAAGACCAGATATCCCTTTCGTAGCTAGTGTGGCCAGTCAATTCCTCAATTCTCCTTGTGATGCCCATTGGGACAAAGTTGCCTGAATTCTTCGATACATCAAAGGAGCACCAGGAAACAGTTTGTTATATAAAGATAAAGGGCACGTTGACATTTGTAGCTACTCAGATGCTGATTGGGCAAGTTCTCATTCAGATAGATGATCTACTTCGGGCTATTGTGTCCTATTCGGGGGAAATCTAATTTCTTAGAAAAATAAGAAGCAAGTTATAGTAGCCAGGTGCAGAGGTTGAGTATCAAGCAACGGGAGCTGCAATCAGTAAGCTTATTTGGTTAAAGCAATTGATCAAAGGACTTAGCCTCTACGAACAATGTCCTATGAAACTAATTTGTGATAATTAGGCATCATTACACATATCCTCTAACTCGGTCTCTCATGAGAGGATCAAGCATATCAAAATTGATTGTCACTTCATCCGAGAAAAGATTCAGTCTGAAGAGATCGAAATAGCATTTGTCAATTCCATTGATCAACTTGTAGATATTTTCACCAAGGCTCTTAGATGTCCCCGAGAAGACTATATCTGTAGCAGGCTTTGAGCATATGATATATACACACCAGGTTAAAGGGGAGTTAATGTTGTAATTATCTATAGTTATCTTATCACGATTTGAATTTATCCTTACTAGAATTTGGGCTTATCCTTTAAACCCATTAGTCTCTCTATATATTGTAACCTATTGTACATGTTCAATACACAATTTTCTCAACTCTAAGTCATACAATCATTTTCAAATTAAAATCCCTACCATTTGTTGCCTTATAACACCATGAAATTGGTTTCGAGTTCTTGGGAAGTATAGGAACCAAACTGAAAATGACTGTCACATTTAAGGACAAAAATATAGTAATTTTAGTCCCGAAGCATGACACTAATTGTTAATTTAGCCCCTACGCTTTACTTTAATATATCTCCAACAGACAGTGTAATAACACAGTATCACACAACGAGGATCAAAATGAAAATAACTATATGTATAAGGACTAAATTTAAAACATTTTTTTATATAAGGACAAAGTTGAAAATAAATGTCACAAGTAGGGAGCAAAAATATATTTTAACCTTTTATCATGCTATTCAGGTTTCAGAATAGGAAAATGACGTAGACTCTTAGTCAAGAAAACATGACTCGTTGCATAACAGAATAATCCAAAACTAATATCATGGTCCGTTAACTTAAATATCTAGCAAAATATACTTTCACCCTTGTTATTTGGAGGTTTCACTCTTGCACTTGTGGAATTTTCTGCAACATTAATAACTACCATGGTTAAATAGATTGGTTTGTAAATAAAATAAGCGCAAATAAAAACTCCCCTTTGAATCTCACTTGTATGTCTTAGTGACTAAAATGCTTTGATTTCACCAAATATCTTCAACATATAGAGCGACAAACATAATCTGATAAGGACCCAACCTCAACCAATAGAACACAGCACTCAAATGGAAAACATAGATGAAAACAGGGATATGTATTACTGGGATTTAGCTTCAACACTACAAGGAAATTGATCAATTCTACAGTACAACTGATCTGAAACACTGCTACAGGGAAATTAAGGAATGTAGTAATGGAAGAAAAAATGCAATCGATGACAGAAAAATAAGAGGATAGTGTAGAGAAATTAGTGAGGCTCTACTCTCTCCCAAGCCCAAAGTTCCAGCCAAGATTCTTCCTCCCCTTTCTCCCTCCTATTTAACCCCTCTTACCTCACCTCCCTTACCACCCATTATGTTAAAGTTAGTTAGGGCCCATTATGTTCGATAGTAATTTTGTTTAAAGCCCTGTAGTTCACACACACTCTCAAGCTCCCATCTTTCTTTTTCACTAAGATGATGGGGCTGGAGTAAGGGCTAATATTGTGTCTAATCACTCCACTTTGTAGCATCTCAGAAATCAAATTTTCAATTTCAGATTTCTGATAGTGTGGGTACTTGTAGGGTCGCAAATTAGACACTTGGCTTCGTGGCTTTAGGTTGATAGCATGGTCGTGAGTCCTCTTCCGTGGTAAGCCCTCGGGTTCTTGAAACATGTCCTCAAATTCCCAAATTAACAGCACCAACCCTTCCCAGACAACTCCTCCTTCTTTGTTGGCACCCTCCTCAGAACTCAGAAAAAACCCTAGCCCCTGATCTTGTAAGGCTTTAACAGCAGACTTCTGAGAGGACACTGATCTGGATCAGGCAGGGTCGCCCTTAATTACCACTTCCTTTCCTACTTCCCAAACCTCATTGTCATTTTCTTAAAATTCGCTTTAATCTCTCCTAATTGCACCAGCCACTCCAAACCCAGAATCACATCAGCATCTCCAGACTCAAATGAGTAAATATTTCTTGACTCTATTTCCTTACAGCATGATTTCGACTCCTTTACACACTCATCGACAACTAACCTTATGGCCATTGGCCACCACCTCTACTTTGGTATTCAGGTGTCTCTGTGACCATCAACCCCAATTTGCTCTACGATCCCCTTTCTTACAAGACTATTGGATGCTCCACATTCCACCATCACCATGACCCTCTGACTACCAATCTCCCCCTAAACTTTCAGAGTTTGGCTAGAAGAGAGCCCAAGCATACTTTGCATGGAGGGCTCCAAAGTCATTTACTCCCAGATTTCCTACAGGTCTTGAGCAATTAAAGAGGCTCTACTGTCTCCCAAACCCAAAGTTCCAGCCAAGATTCTTCCTCCCTTTCTCCCTCCTATCTAACCACCCTTACCTCACCTCCCATGTCACCCAGTCTGTTAGAGTTAGTTAGAACCGAATGGCAGAGTCATCAACTGGGACCCACTTCCTCCTCGTTTTATCCCTTTTATATACTTTCAAAGGCTGAACCTTATCACAATCTTTTTATATAAATGTGCATTTGGATCTGTTCTAAGAATTGAAGACAAGAATACAAGCCACAAGCATCTATATTGGTGTATATTAAATTTCTCATAACAGAATGGACTTCAGAAGGTGGTATGCCACAAAAACTTCATCACAGTTGCTGAGAATTAGGGATTAGAGGGAAAATGGAAGCAGAGACTAAGAGGGGACACAGTGGTCTTGTTAGATTACATAAAATGGTTACATTACATGACTGATAGCCCTCCATTTATACAGGACTTCTACTACACAACGACACTAATACCCTTTACATTGGGCACACTACTAAAGCAATTTCTTAATAACATAATATTACTTTATATTCCTTAACAGACGTAAATGTCACTATCACAAACTCGGAAGTCTAGTTTTCCCTGAAATATTCTCATAAGTACTCCGAGGTTTCTTTTCATGCAACTGATAAACAATCTCGAACTATCAATCATATGAAGTGCTTCGATTATGTGTTTTGATTAACTTCAAAATCATTCAGGTGTTTATCTCAAGTAGAGTTTTGTATTGCAACCTTCTGAAACAAGTTTTAGTGAATTACAGTAGTTGCAGGAGCCCAAAATACGGAAGACTATCATCCATGCATCAATGGACCCAAGCAACAAACTCACAACAAGTGAATCTAACATGACATATCGACCAAAAACCTTAAGGGCCTGTTTGGAGCACCTGACAAAGAAGATAGGATAGGATAACTTATCATATCCTACTTGTATCTCTTGTTTGGTGGGTCAATAGGATATGATTAGCTTATCCTATTGTCTCATTTTATCTTATCCAATACATGATTTCTTATCCTATGGGAAGAGCTGGGTTAGGATTCAACAGGATAAGATACCAATATTGGATACCCAATATATCTTCACGCTACCTAATATATTTGTATTTATTGCATTATATTTTGTTTTCTTTTACCTTTATCCTTCTACATAATCTTATCAGATTGCTAATCAGGTGCTCATCAAACACAGGACATGATATAGGCTTATCAGCCCTATATCATCTCCTACCCTTATCAGCCCTGTATCATATCCTACCCTTATCCTATCCTGTCTACCAAACGAGCCCTAAAGGTGTTAGGTTAATGGTCCTTTCACTTGTATGTTTCATACTTAGCTCGTGACTTTATCACTCACACTTGAATTCCCAATATAAAGCATAATTGTTATTATGATTTCTATAACCAACTGCGGATGAAATCCAGACATTCAAAATTGCAAAAAGCAACTGGTAAATAAATAAATATAATTAAACAGAAAATGGATAAAAAAGAGAGAGAAAGAGAGAGAGATACCAGGACTAGAAATGACAGCACGAGGACGGGGAATGGAACTGGCTTTAATATTAACTTTATTGTCATCAGTATTATCCTCCTTCTCAGGTTCTGAAGAAGAATCGCATGTCAAACTGCTGTCTCCAAAATCTTCAGTTACAGATACTCGGGGAACAACATAACACTTTGGTACTTTGACAATGGATGGCACGGACACAACTTTCTGGTTCACCACTGTAAATTCAGACAAACCGTGATTCTATATCAATACATTGAATGGCATAGATAATAATAACTCACAACAAAAATTAAAAAAAAAAAATGAAATAGTAAATAAGAATTACCCGGAGAAGGAGAAGCATGCACGGATGGAGAGATGAAAGCTTTCAAACCCAGGTCCCGTAAATCATCATCGTCTTCTTGATTCGGTTCCTGTCTTACCTTCACCCTTGGATACACTGAAATTTCACCAAAAGGGTGTAACTAGGTGGCAACAAGAATACTAATTTTAAAAAATAAAATAAAAAATTAAAGCACCCACTTGTTTATTTGAAGCTTTGGATAAAAGCTGTGCGAAACGAAGCTTGGATGGTTTTGAGAACAAAAGCGTGAAGAGAAGAATAAAAGAAAGCGTGAATTTTTGGTTTGATGCAGTTGTTAATTATGACTTGTGAGAAGAAAATGAATAGGTTTGATACTTTGATTGATATATTGAGGGAGGGGAGTGGGTTTGTGTCAAGGAATCCCGCGTTGCACTTGTGGAATAGTGGGGTCCACTGAGCACAGCACTGATATTGATTTCACATCATATACGCCGCCGTCCACCCAAAGTGAAATCAAATCAATCTTCCTTACACGTTTTTTTCAACTTTTCTTTTCGCCTTTCTCTCCTTTTTCCCCCTCTTTCCTTTCCTTTTCATATCTCCGCCAAATACCTTTTTATGGACTTGTTGAAAAAAAAAAAATTACGGATTTTTATAACACTTTTTTAAGAAGTCAGAACTCAGAACTATTTTATTTTGAATTTAATATATCTTATTTTATAAGAAATAAATTTTATATCTTATGCACAAAAGTATCTTGAGCTTACCTGAGTTCATGTGAGGAAAAAACATATGGTTTCAACATATTTTTATAGGGTAATGTTTACATAAGGAAATTTTTTACATAGACATAAAAATGATTCCATCAATTTTTTATTTTTCTTTTATCTTAAAAATGATGGACCCCATAATTAATTGGCTCTATGACATGATGTAAGAATTTTTCCTATAACGTGATATTTGTTTTTCACATTTTTATATTGTATAAGAGATAAATTTATTTCCTATAATATATAAAACAATAAACCCTTTTAATTTTTAAGTAAAAAACAAGGGAAAATATTCCTCATTTTAACGAATGATCATTTTAGTTAAAATTAATATTTTTACTTAAAATTTAAAGAAAATAAAAAAATCACTCACTTTCTCTCCCTATAAACAACATTTCCGAAATCAGATCTTTTTTAATTTCTGTTCCCAGAAACAAAAATAGATAGGAAACTCGTTTGGTAAAACCGGTTTATTTTTTTGTTCCCGGATGAACCAAATTAATTTTTGTGTTGGGGAATAGAAAAAAGAATCAAAAAATTTCTGTTTTTTTTTCTCTTGGGCACAAAATGAGAAACACTAGTCTCTTTCAATCACTCTCCACCTCCACTATCATTACCACCATTGCAATCATTCCGACACGACCACCACCACCATCGTCGTCACCACCGCCACTGCCACCATGATGCCACTCCCACCATCACCACCGCCTCCATCCATATCTACCACCATGCCACCATTACCATCACTGCCATTATCATCATCGTCACCACCACCATCATTATTGCAGCCACTGCCGCCACCACCATCGCTACCATTACCACCACCCTACCATAACCACCACCGTCACCAACCACCCCAACCATCATCATAGTCACTGTTGTCACCACCAACATCATGCCATCACTGCCACCGCCACCACCAACCACCACCGCCACCACCAACCACCACCATCGCCACCAACCACCACCATCAATGTCGCATCCATCACCGTGCCATCATCACCGCTACCATCACCACCACCACCACAACCACCGCCATCACCGCCACTAACATGCCACCACCACCATTGTTGTCACCACCATCGTCGCAGCCACTGTCGTTACCACCACCGCCACTGCCACCACCACTATGCCACCATTACCACTACCACTATTGTCGCCACCAACCACCACCACCATCGCTGCCACACTATGCCACCATTACCACCACTGTTGCCGCAGCCACTGCTGTCACCACCACCACCATGCCACTACAATTATCGCCTCCATCACCGTCGCCGCCACCATCACCATCCTCGTAGCCTTTGTCGTCACCACGATCACCATTACCACCACCACCGCAGCTACTGCCGTCACCACCTCCGCCGCCGCCACCATCACCATAGAAAAAGGAAATGATGATCCGGAATTTTTTTATGTTTAATAGGAGTTATTTTGTATTGTATTATTTGTTGTGTTATTAAACGCAATTCTCATTCATGGAATAAAAATAGAACATGTTATCAAACATATTTTTTTCTCAAAAACTGTTCCAAGGCACATAAATAGAAAAGATTTTTTTTTTTTCAGAAACAGTGCCAAGAAACAGAATGATTTTCATGCACACCCTAATTGCTATTTTATATCTCTTTCTCTAACTTAAAAGATACAATTCTATATTATTTAAAAGTTCAAACATCAAACCCAAAAAACAATATTTTGATTTTTTCTAAAAGTTAACAACGATGGTTTCAAAAAAAATATTTTTAATTTGGCATCAATACCGAATTACTAGTTGCTCCCTTCAATAAAAATTCATTAGGATTAGTCTACTGGCGAGGGATGTGGATAGTAAGGATGTAAATGGATCAGCCGGCCTAACAAGGGTCTACAACTTGGTCTACTTCAGATCAGACTCAGCCTATTATATATAGTTAAATAGAACAGACTTAGCCCTCAAAAAAAGCCTGTTTAAAAATTAGGTTATAAGATTTCTTTTATATGTTCGGATTAAAGCCTATTTGCCTACCTATATTATATATTTATTTTAAATAAAATTATTATTTTAATTATTTATTTTTTAGTACAAATAAAGGTCGAGCGCCCAAAAGAAAATAGGTTATAAGATAGGTTAATTTTAATGATTTTAAATAATAAAGTAATATTATTTAAATTATTTTTTTAATTGTTGAATGCTTAATAGACTTAAACAGGTTAATGACCATTGACCAAGTGTTTTTTTTTAAATATAGGTCAGGCCATATTTATAATTTGACCTTAAATAATAAAGATATAAAAATATGATAAAAAATAAAATAGAAATTAAATAAATAATAAAATTAATATAAAATAATAGTAAAAAATATATATGTAAATTTTTTTTAATGAAAATAAAAAAAATTTAATATAAGGCTTATATCATTCTCTAACACACCCCCTCTCACAAGAAAACTTTGGGCTTGAAGCATGAATATTGCGTAGGCCCGATTCTTTTTTAGTTTTACAATGTGCTTATTTAATTCCACTTGAAAGTGGGAGGCGATGAGGACGAACTCGTAATCTTATAGGTCAGGCCAGATTTATAATTTTGACTTACACAAGGCTGTTGATCAGGTCAGATCTAAAATATTTTACCCAAGTCTTAATCTATTTAAATCAAAATTTAGTCTAACTCAATCCATTTATACTCCTAGTGGGTAATTATGTAATAAATTATATATTTAATTTCTTAATGTACCAAAATAATAATAATAAAGTAGTATAAGACCCAACAATGACAATTTAATTGATACAAGAGAGTTGTGTGGTGGTAATTGATAAAAGACCTAACTTATAACATTTTGAAGAGGAATATAAAATCTTTATTCTTTGACCAATGTACCTGTCTCCAAGAGACATGCATTCAAACAAACTAATAAACTTCCGTTTTTTAAGAAAAGCCAATTGTTCCAAAACCAATTTGAAAGGATCAAGTGGGTTCTCCGTTTTCATTTGCACTCCAGCTCTAATTAAGAAAATATTCCAAACCAAAGAATATATTATCTACGCAAAAGGAAATTGAACAAAACGAAATCGCAAATGAACTCAAGTAATTTTCAAATTTATTTTGGGACCACAACATAAATTAGATGGATTAGATAAAAAAAAAAAATTTAATTTTTAATTAAGATATTATATTTTTCATATTGTAAGAAATAAAATTATTTTTTATATATAGATATAAAAATATATAAAACTTATATGAAATTAAGAGAAAAGAGATATATATATATATATATATATATATATATATATATATATATTTTATATATATATTTTACATACTTCTATATATGTTTAAGAAATAATTTTGTCAAACTCTCAAGACAAAAATAAAAAAAATTAGGCTTATGTTTTTATGCTTCGAACATGCTGAAAATTCTGGAAAAACTGTGACTCTGCACAGGTGTACAACAACATGGACGTTCACGTTCGCACAATGGCGAATCGTTACTTATCCCAACTCACCCACACAACCCTCGCACGTGCCGTCCATGCTCACATCCTCACCTCCGGCTTCAGACCAACCACTCTCATCCTCAACCGCCTCATCGACATTTACAGTAAATCTTCCAACATCCGTTACGCCCGCCAACTGTTCGACAAAATTCCCAAACCAGACATTGTCGCAAGAACCACTCTCCTTGCAGCATACTCTTCTACTGGCAATATAAACCTGGCTAAGCAACTCTTTAACGACACCCCTTTGACCATTCGTGACACTGTCAGTTACAACGCCATGATCACTGCTTTTTCCCACAGTCTCGATGGCCACGCCGCTGTCCAACTCTTCATAGAGATGAAAAGGGACGGTTTTGTTCCCGACACGTTTAGCTTATCAAGTGTGCTTGGTGCTTTGTCATTGATAGCTGATCAGGAGAGGCATTGCCAGCAGCTGCATTGTGAGGTGATCAAGTGGGGTGCAATCTATGTGCCTTCTGTTTTGAACGCTTTGATGAGTTGTTATGTTTGTTGCGCCTCTTCGCCGTTGGTGCAATCTTGCATTTTGATGGCTGCTGCTAGGAAGTTGTTTGATGAGATGCCAATGAGCATGAGGGATGAACCTTCCTGGACTACCATCATTGCTGGGTATGTGAGGAATGATGATCTTGCCGCGGCTCGCGAGCTTCTTGATGGGATGACTGATCACATTGCTGTTGCTTGGAATGCCATGATTTCTGGTTATGTGCACCATGGCTTTTATGAAGCAGCGTTTGACTTGTTCAGGAGAATGCATTCCATGGGAATTCATCAGGATGAGTACACTTACACCAGTGTAATTAGTGCTTCTTCGAATGCTGGGTTGTTCAATATTGGAAGACAGGTGCATGCTTATGTTCTCAGAACAGAGGTGCAACCGTCCCAACATTTTGTGTTATCTGTTAATAATGCTTTGATTACGTTTTACACTAAATGTGGTAAACTGGTCGAGGCAAGGCGAGTTTTTAATAAGATGCAAGTAAAAGATCTTGTTTCGTGGAATGCCATTTTGTCCGGGTATGTTAATGCAAGGCGCATTGAGGAAGCTAACTCCATTTTCAGGGAGATGCCAAGGAGGAACATACTGACATGGACTGTGATGATATCTGGCTTAGCACAAAATGGTTTTGGTGAAGAAGGTTTGAAGCTGTTCAACCAGATGAAGTTAGAGGGACTGGAACCGTGTGATTATGCATATGCCGGAGCAATCACGTCTTGTGCTGTTCTTGGATCATTAGACAATGGACAACAGCTCCATTCTCAGCTTGTCCGATTAGGTCATGATTCAAGCCTCTCAGCTGGCAATGCACTGATTACGATGTATGCAAGGTGTGGTCTTGTTGAATCTGCCAATACTGTGTTTCTTACAATGCCTTATGTCGATTCAGTATCCTGGAATGCCATGATTGCAGCTCTTGCACAACATGGACGTGGGGTCCAAGCCATTCAACTTTATGAACAGATGCTGAAGGAAGATATATTGCCTGATAGGATAACTTTTCTCACAATTCTTTCTGCTTGTAGCCATGCAGGCTTGGTGAAAGAGGGGCAGAATTATTTTGATACAATGTGTTCTCGTTATGGTATTACCCCAGGAGAGGATCATTATGCTCGTTTGATTGATTTGTTATGTCGTGCTGGTATGTTCTCAGAAGCAAAGAATGTAACTGAATCGATGCCTTTTGAGCCCAGTGCACCAATCTGGGAGGCTCTTCTTGCTGGTTGTCGAATTCATGGGAACATTGAATTAGGTATTCAAGCTGCTGAACGACTCTTTGAGCTTATGCCACAGCATGATGGAACCTACATAATCCTTTCAAATATGTACGCCACTTTAGGTCAGTGGGATGAAGTGGCAAGGGTGAGGAAATTAATGAGGGAAAGAGGGGTTAAGAAGGAACCTGGTTGTAGTTGGATTGAAGTTGAAAACATGGTCCATGTGTTTTTGGTTGATGATGCTGTGCACCCTGAGGTGCAAGCAGTGTACAGATATCTGGAGCAACTGGTACATGAAATGAGGAAATTGGGGTATGTTCCCGATACGAAGTTTGTATTGCATGATATGGAATCTGAACATAAAGAACATGCCTTGTCCACTCATAGCGAAAAGCTTGCTGTTGTTTATGGAATTATGAAACTTCCTTTAGGAGCTACAATTCGGGTTTTCAAAAATTTGAGGATATGCGGGGACTGCCATAATGCATTCAAGTTTATTTCCAGAGTAGTGGAGCGAGAGATAGTTGTGAGAGATAGGAAGAGGTTTCACCATTTTAGAAATGGTGAATGTTCTTGCGGCAACTACTGGTAGGAAGAGGTTCTGTTATTTGATTATCATCAAGGGTTAATGTCAAAAGTGGTCAAATGAATTTACAATATGTGAAGTGGATCCTGGAGCCTCTGCCATCGGGAGTTCAAAATTAAGACTGATAATGACCCCAAAATGATCTCCTAAAGGTTGATCAATGGTAATAGAAATACTTTTTTTAACACATTACTCTTCTTTTTTCTATGCCATTTTAATTTTTCTTTTGCTAAATTGATACTTCATCTTTGGTTACAAATTCAATGGTGCATCTTGCTCTCCTGTCACTACTATTTGCAGGACATGCCAAGGCCTTTGTAAAGGAATTTCATGATCTTCAGTTTGTTTTTAGCTGTCTACAGGATGGAAATTGGCTTCTGCTAATGCACTTCTCTTGCACATGATTGCTAGAGTGGATTAGTGCTATGTCAAGTCATTAACCTTGGGAATAGAGGCCAGTCGCAATAGTCAGAGAAATCAGTTGCTTGTTCATGATGTGGCTCTGTCGCATATGCCACGTCTTCTATGCTGCCATTGTTACTTCAGTTTCCCTTTATTTTTCTGTTTCAGTCTTTGCTTCACCTGTATGTTAGCATCAGGCACATCATTTCAATTTGGTTTAATCTGTTTCCTAGGTGCCGCGTTGCATGCCATCTCGATGGCCATGGCTCTGGCAAGATAGAAGGGTCAAAGGATGGTGTTCAATTTAAAGGCCCAGGCAGCAGAACAGAAACAACAAAAGCTATTTTGAGCTAAAAAGGAACAAAACTCTGTACCCAATTATTGACTCATCAATGTGTAAGAAAGCCCAAAGCACAACACTCTCACCCTGCAAGTGTCAGAGGAGCTTTAGTGGCTCTCTATAAGCATGGCTTCTGCGAATGAAAACTGAAATCAATGATCCTAGAAATAGAATACATCTTACCAACATATGATATGGCCTCTTCAGTATGTAGTTTACTGAACTATCTGAATCTGAGGGTTCACAAACAAGAATATAAGCATTCTTATGATATTTGTGGAGATGGAGGACTACAGATACTATATTGTCTTTTATCTTTGTTGTTGCTTGTTGGGGGCTCGTAAATAAAAAACGTCTGTGAACCTTTGCAACCAAGAGCAATGGCTTTAATGTGAATTAATAAAAGTATGCAAGCCCATTAGTTAGGATTAGGAATTAGTTATATATATAGATGTTTATGCTGATCGTTATCTTGTAATTGGGGAATTGGGATGGGGAATTAGGAGAGGAAATAGGGAAGCTCTCAAGGTTAGGTTATTGTCTTAGAGTGGAGTTTTTCCTCTTATTCTTTTTACTATAATTGTCCCTTAATCTGTATCTGGTTTCTTCTTTATATCAAATTGAGGTTCCATCAGTCTCCTTCAGTTTGATGGAAAGAGTTACTCAGTTCAAAAGTTTTTTTCTTTGGAGCCTCGACTACCTGATACAAATCTCTAATATTTATCCTATCATATATGAAAGTGAACGTCATACACTCCATGACTAGTCAAATTGGGGACTGGACTTCAAATATTTTTTGGAAAACAAAATGGACTTCAAATATGCCGGCATTATTAACAAGGGTCTCTTTTTTATCTTTTTTATCACCGATTATAATTATGTATTATAGAAAATATATAGTTTTAATATAAATTTTTTCTTCTTCTCTCTTCACATCAGTTAACAATTTTTGAAGAGAAAAAAAAAAATTAATATTATAAAGAAATTGTATTCGCACCTAATGTTATCTAGAATGGCTGCCAAAACATCACTGTTTGATTCTTAAACAATTAAAGACATCTATGTTGCTCTCTAATTAGGGTTTTCATTCTCTCTCCACTTCTAACAATTTAAAACATCTTAAGTTTCACAATCCAAACATAACCTGGTAGCACACTACCCTAAACATGCCCTCAACACTTTTGCATCTTTTTTTTCCCTTGGTAGGAGTCAAAATTCAAAGTTCGAATAAAAAGAGGGACACTTGCACTCTCAATTATTAGTGATCTATATTAAAAGTTTCAGCTCTCCAGGCTCTTTGTATGAGTATTTAAACCGATTTCATTATCTTTTCAAATATACGACAGATTTTACTCTATTCCATATGCTACTCCATATGCTACTGATTACCATTCACAAATTTGGAAACTTTTAATATGGTCATGTCCCTTCATGGTCCTCCCATTGATACACTGACACATGGATTTTTTAATTTTTTTTTCTCTTTTCTCCCTCTTCTCTCCTCGATTTTTCTCTCACTCTTTCTTCTTCACCCCACCCAATCCCTTGTGAGCCGGGACCGCCAAATTTAATCTCGAGAACGAAAGCTCCTTCCAGTGCCTGGCTCATAGTAATATTGAACAAATAAGATTTAAAACAAATAAAATAAAATCGTACTCATCAATGTTGCTGCTGCCTTCATCGGTGTCTGGATTGTGGAACTTAGATGTTTAAAATTGTTAGTAGTGGAGAGAGAGAATGAAAACCTCAATCAGAGAGCAGAGAGAAACTTACATGTTTTTAATTGTTTAAGCATGAAACGGTCGTTGGGCTTACTCCTTCAATGCTAAGCACAAACCCATTGAGGAGTTTCTTAAAAATCCTAACCCTCGATCTCACCTCCTCTATATATTCATTAGTTGTGGGTGGAGGCTAGGTTAAATGAATGAGAGAGAAAAATTTGAGAGATAATTATTTGATTGTTTAAGCAAATTTATGCGTTGCATTTGAGAGATCTCTAGAGAGAGTTTGAGTGAAACATCTCTAAGGTTAAGTTAACCACCACATTGGTGTATTCTGATTATTTTGTAACCATTATTTTCATAGTGGATCTTTGATCTGGACTAGGTCCCGTGGGTTTTTACTTCTTCATTGGAGAAGGTTTTTCCACGTTAAAACTGTTTGTGTTCTCTCTCTCTCCCGTGTTTTACGTTTTGATTTTTCCGCTGCGCTGCCCGACCTGGTGAAATTCAGGCTGAGGTATTGCTGAGATCTGAGATCGAGGATCTCATTGACAAACTTCCACAAAGGCCCTTTAGCCGATCTGAGGGGACCAAGTTCCCAACAGTGGTATCAGAGCCCGAGTTCGACGGGTTCTGAGGGAGACGAGATGGAAACCAGTGGCATAATCAATGATGGAGACATGTTCAAGTTGACCGCAGATAATTTCACCTATTGGAGACCGATGATGGAAGATCATCTCTACTGCAAAGATTTACATGAGCCCATAATCCTTGATGAGAGACTGACAGGCAAAACTGATAAGGAGTGGGAGATCCTGAGTCGGAAGGCGGTAGCCACGATCAGGAAATATATTGATAAAAGCCTATTTGAGCACGTGTCCGAGTTCACGAACGCGTATGAGTTGTGGATGAAGCTGGAGTCCATGATTCAGAAGAAGACTCCCAGGAATAAAGTATACCTGATTCTTCGACTTGTGAAGCTTGAATACAAGGTCGACATGAGCATGATTGAACACCTCAACACCTATAAAGGTATTGTGAATCAGCTGTCAAAAGCTGAGATGAACATTGACGATGAGATGCAGGCTTTGCTGCTGTTGAGCTCGCTGCCAGAAAGCTGGGATACTCTGGTGGTGACTTTGAGTAATTCAGCTCTAGAAGGAAAGTTGAAGATGGATGTCGTGACAGACAGCCTCCTGAGCGAAGAAGTCAGGAGAAGAGAACGAGGTGTTTCAAGCACGTCTGAGGCTAACATTACTGAAAACAAAGGGAAATCTGACTCCCGGGGTAGAAGCAAAAGCCGGGGTCGAGATCGTGACAGAAGAGGAAAGTCCAGAGATCGGTCAAAGCTGAAATATGAGTTGAAGTGCTTTTACTGTGGAAAGACAGGTCATAAAAAGCCAGACTGCTGGACTCTGGAAAATGACGAGAAGAACGGCTCTGTGAAGCCGGATCAGATTATTCCCGAGAAGAGGGAAGACAAGAGCACCACTGCGGTGGCTGCCAACCCGGATGCCGAGATATTCCTCCTTGGTGAGGATAATTATTTGAATGTTGCATATGATGACTGCACCTGGATTGTTGACTCCGGTACCTCCTTCCACGTTACTCCACACAAAGGTTTTTTCTCCTCTTACCGAGGTGGTGATTTTGGAGTCGTGAAGATGGGAAATCAAGTGACCAGCAAGATTGTTGGTGTCGGTGATGTAACTCTGACCACGGATGTCGGATGCCGACTTGTGTTGAAAGATGTAAGGCATGTTCCTGACATGCGTTTGAACCTAATCTCGGTAGGAAAACTTGATGATGACGGGTTAGTGAACTACTTCGATAGTGTTAGATGGAAGCTGGCCAAGGGAAACTTGGTCGTGGCCCGAGGTAAGAAGGAAGGCTCCTTGTACGTGATGCAAGGAAAGATCAATGGCGGAGAATCCAATTCTATCCGAGATGAACCTAGCTTGGAGCTATGGCACAAGTGCCTCGGCCACATGAGCGAGAAATGGCTCCAGATCATGAACAAGAAAGGATTATTGACCGGGTTGAAAGGCCAAGCGTTGGAAAGTTGCATGCATTGCCTAGCTGGAAAGCAGCACCAGGTTTCTTTTGTGAGACCGGATCAACCTAGACGACGCAGGTATATTCTTGACCTCGTCCATACTGATGTTTGCTCCATGTCGGAAAGATCCCTCGGAGGAGCTCAGTACTTTGTTTCATTTATTGATGACCACTCCCGCAAAGTGTTGGTATATTTGTTGAAGTATAAAGACCACATACTCCAATCCTTTTAAAGAATTTCATGCAATGGTTGAAAGGGAGACTGACAAGAAGTTGAAGGTGGTCCGATCTAATAATGGGGGTGAGTATTGCGGCCTTTTTTATGCATATTGCAGAGCGGCCGAGATCCGACTTGAGAAGACGCCCCCCAAGACTCCACAGTTGAATGGACTCGCTGAGAGGATGAATAGAACTATTGAAGAGAAGGTCCAAAGTATGTTGTCCAATGCCGGATTGTCGAAATCATTCTGGGGAGAAACCGTCAAAACAGCTGTTGACTTTATCAACCTCTCACCATCACAGCCACTTGAAGGAGAAATTCCAGAAGAAGTCTGGACAGGTCGGAAAGCGGACTATAATCAATTGAAGGTGTTTTGATGCCGAGCTTTCGTGCATATCCCTAAAGATGAAAGGGCTAAACTTGATGCAAAGGCCAAAGAATGCATTTATCTTGGTTCGCCGAGATGTGAGTTCGGGTTCCGACTTTGGGATCCAATCAATAAGAAGATCGTGAGAAGACAAGATGTGATCTTTCATGAGCATGAGAACATTCATGACATCTCGAAGCCCAAAGTCCGAGTTACTGTCAGATGAGAAGAACCCATCCCTCTTGTCCGAGCTGAAGCAGGGGGAGAAAATGAAGAAAATGATGATCAGCAACAAGCTGAAGATGACCAAGACACTAAGGTCCGAGTTAATGATGAGATTCAGGATAAGAATGATGAACCAGGTCCTCAAGCTGAAGAACAGCCGAGATATCCAACTCGAGAAAGAAGACCCTCTACAAAATATCCATTTGTGTTGTTGCTGAAGACGGTGAGCCTCAGAGTTATGATGAGGCTGTAACGAGCTCAGAGAAAGAAGAATGGGAAAAGGCAATGCAAGACGAGATGAAGTCTCTGCACGAGAATCAGACTTATGAGCTGACCGAGTTGTCAGAAGGAAGACGAACTCTGAAAAACAAATGGGTCTACAAGATTAAGAATGAAGAGAACGGGCAGAAGCCGAGATACTAAGCCCGGATTGTAGTGAAAGGCTGCAATCAGAAGAAATGAGTAGATTTTGAGGAGATTTTTTCTCCTGTGGTGAAAATGACCTCGGTTCGAACCGTGTTAGCCATGGCGGCTTCGATGGACCTCGAGGTAGAACAAATGGACCTGAAGACAACATTTCTTCACGATGATTTAGAAGAAGAAATATACATGGAGCAACCTGAAGGATTCCAAGCTCCAGACCAAGAAGACTTGGTATGTCGGTTGAAGAAGAGTCTCTATGGCTTGAAGCAAGCACCTCGGCAGTAGTACAAGAAGTTTGAATCATTCATGACTGATCATAAGTTTGAGAAGACAGAAGCCGACCACTGCGTATTTGTGAAGAGGTATGAGGCCGAAGATTTTTTGATCTTGTTGTTATATGTTGACGACATGCTTATTGTAGGGAAAGACAAATCGAGGATAGCCTCCCTGAAAAAGGCGTTGAGCTCGTCCTTCGCAATGAAGGACCTCGGCCCTGCAAAGCAGATTCTCGGAATCAAGATCATCCGATATAGACAGAAGAAGCTACTGTGGCTGAGTCAAGAGAAATATATTGAGAAGATTCTGAAGAGATTCAACATGGACAAAGCCAAAACAGTGAGCACCCCCCTTGTCGGACACATAAAGCTGAACCAGAAGCAATGTCCGAGATCTGATGAAGACAAAGATGAGATGATGAAGGTCCCTTACCAATCCGCTGTCGGAAGCTTGATGTATGCAATGGTTTTCACTAGACCCGACTTGGCGTATGCTGTTGGAATGGTAAGCCAGTATTTGTCAAACCCCGGCAAAGAGCACTGGGAAGCAGTGAAGTGGATCTTCAAGTACCTCGGAGGTACGACCGACTTATGTCTCAGATTTGGAGAAGGCAAAGTCGAGTTGCAAGGCTACTCGGATTCTGATTTAGGGGAGACGCCGACTCGAGGAAGTCGACTACAGGATATTTGATGAGATTTGCCGGAGGAGCTGTCTCTTGGCAATCAAGACTTCAGAAATGTGTTGCACTATCGACAACTGAGGCTGAGTACATTGCCGCTACTGAGGCAAGCAAAGAGATGCTGTGGATGAAGAAGTTCCTCATGGAACTCGGCTATGATCAAGACAAGTACGAGCTGGGTTGTGACAATCAAAGCGCAATCCATCTTGCGAAGAATTCGACCTATAACTCCTGCACTAAGCATATTGATGTGAGGTATCACTGGATTCGGGATGTGGTGGAAGGTGGAGAGCTCAGACTCGTCAAAGTGCACACTGACCAAAATTGGTCCGACATGATGACAAAGCCGGTTCCAGCAAGAAAATTTGAAGATTGTTGTGAAGGAGCCGAGTTGATGCTGAAGCCGACGCATTGAAGTCGGAGGGGGAGATTTGTTGGGCTTCCTCCTTCAATGCTAAGCCCAAGCCCATTGATGGGTTTCCTAAAAACCCTAACCCTAGATCACACATTCTCTATATATTCATTAGTTGTGGGTGGAGGCTAGTGAATGAGAGAGAAAAATTTGAGAGATAATTATTTTATTGTTTGAGCAAAGCTTTATGCTTTGCATTTGAGAGATCTCTAGAGAGAGTTTGAGTGAAACATCTTAGGGTAGTTTGATTATCACCATTGTTGGAGAGGTTGAGTTAACCACCACATTGGTGTATTCTGATTATTTTGTAACCATTATTTTCATAGTCGATCTTTGATCTGGACTAGGTCCCGTGGGTTTTTACTTCTTCATTGGAGAACGTTTTTCCACGTTAAAACTGCTTGTGTTCTCTCTTTCTCCCGTGTTTTACGTTTTGATTTTTCTGCTGCGCTGCCCAACCTGGTGAAATTCAGGCCGATGTATTGCTGAGATCTGAGATCGAGGATCTCATTGACAAACTTCCGCAAAGGTTCCTGAGCCGATGAATTCCCAACAACGGTGACCTTTTAGCAGCAATGTAGATAATATTAGATGCAGTTATTGTAGAAATATTATTTCAATATTATAATTATGTATTCTTCCGAGTATATAGTTATAATTGGTGGTAGAAGAAAAAGATTGTTGCAGCAATACAAGAAGTAGATTTTCCTATTAATAATGGTGATTTTTTTTCCATGTTGAACGAATTTCTTCTCAATAACTCTATTTTCTCCGCATCCAAATGAACATGTAAAAAGAATAATAAACAATCCACACATTCTTCATTTGGGAGATTAATCATGAAGTAACTGACGTAAATCACAATTTTCATCAATGAAATAATTTTATTGAAGAATTTGAGAAATTGCGGGTTTTTATTTTCTTTTTTCTTTTACTTTTATAGGTAGGTTATGGAAGCAAAATAATCACTTGATAATAATAGTAAACAAAAATCATGTAACCTTTAAAATGAGAGTAAATATTCTTTTTGGTCCTCAGCAAATTTCACGATACCCACTTTAGTTTCGAGCAAATAAAAAGGTCCCTAAGAAATTCAAAATAAACTAATTTAGTTGAAATCGTTGTCCCTTACAAATTCAAAAAAGACCCATATTAGCCTCTTAAAAGGATTAAAATGGGTCCATTTTAAATTTTTTAAGGACCACGAATAACTTTTTTATTTGTTAGAGACTAAAGTTGGCATCGTAAAAATTTGCTTGAGTACCGAAAAAGATATTTACTTTTAAAGCTATGAAGAAAAATGATAGTTGCATACAAAATGCAGTCATTTTCTTTTATTTATATACTCGTTATATGATTTCTTTGAGTTAGTAAAAGGAATCTAGGTGTGTTTGGTAGAAGATTTTGTGAAGGATAGATAGGCAAATAGAAGTGGTATTTTTGAATGTCCATGTTTTAAAAAAATTTGCTAGGGAACTCATTTGCCTAGTATTTGCTTTTTGTGTGTAAAAAACACCGTTGAATAATATTACCTACAAGGTGGTATTTGGTGATAGATGGGGAAATCCAAAAAGGATTGCAAGTAAGAAGACCAAAATGACCCTGATGTTTGAGAAAACTACAATAAACTAAAACTATATTTTCCTATTTTACTTTGGTCAAGGGTTGTTGTGGTAATTTAACCATATTTTCTCATTTATATTTTACCTTCAACTAAACATAGACTTATAAAATTCTACCCAATTTTTCCGGTAAAATTTTGACCAACCAAACAATTTTTTTTTAATTTTCCTACCAAACTTCATTTCTCACCATTTTCTTAGTAAAAAAAAATTTCTCTTCTACAAAACGCTCCCTAAGTAGTTATGTGAGCTTTCCAAACTAGTTCAAATTATGCACGTTTATCCAAGTATTATTTTGCATCAAAGAAATAGGATAGCCCATGTAACAGGAATATGTTTACAAATAAAGCACCTTTCGCTCAAACCAAGAGCTGGTGAAAATGTATCTTCTTTTCGTTGAATCACTAGACACTTTGCATAGAAATTAGATTTGATTATTTGATCAAAAGAGGAGGTCGAATACTGTCAGCATTCTGATAAAAGTTAAACGACTCTTCTTAAATTTACGCAATTTTTTTTTTTTTTTTTTTTTTTGTAAACAACTTACGCAACTTAACTATTATGAATACTAATTATTTAACTGTTTTTATGAGCCAGTGAAAATAGATTCAATTGGTAGCATCAAACAGTCTCGATAAAAGGATTTTTGAGTTTGATTTGGAAGAATTATGACATGCGTTAATTGTAGAATGGAACTTTTCATCCCTCTGAACTTTTATGTACCAAGATTTTATGTGTAAATCCAGAATATTCTCATTCTGTATGAACGACATTAATGTTCCCCAGACAATCAAGATTATAACATTTATGAGTTTTTCTTTTCTTTTATGCCCTTCAATTTTTTTATGAGAAAAGAAATACCAGCAAACAGGCCAAATAAACAGCATTTTCCAAGAACAACGTGTAGACAGAGAGAGAAAGTGTGCCACACATAAGTCCCAAATACTGTGCCAACTTTTTCTTGGACCCTCGGTAATCTAAATGTACAATTAATTGATATTGACTTGAAGTTACGTACCTGTCATTGTCTAACCTAAACACAAAAACCAAAACATTTCTGCATCGGAGAGTGGAGGGAAGAGAGAGGGTGTTGCAACTTTGAAAAAGTTAAAAGTAAATAAAGAAAATGTAGACTCAATGGTATGGAGAAGAGCGAAAAGAGAATCACCCACATGGCTAAAGGGGAAGGCACAAAATTTTCATCCATTCAGGATGACAAACATTCATTCCCCAGGGTATATTTTTTTCACTTGTAATGTAAAAAAATTCTCACTTTCATGAGCTAAGTACACCGTTCTTCACAATCAAAATTTTCTTATCTAGCTACAAGAATTAGTAGTCCCCACATTCAACAGTCCTAGATTCTTTCTCTATCTGCTAAGTATATATACCAGAAATTTTCCATCTCTTTCACCCCAAAAGTTATATATGTAGAAACAATCCACCGCAAGAAGAATTTTGCCTCCCCTCGTCCAACCATCTTCTCCTGTCAATAATCTGTGCAAGAAAATGATATTGCAAAATCACATAATCAAAATATAGAATAAGATTATAAACTGAGTAATAGAGAACACATCCATTCCATAGTGACATGCATAACACCTACCACCATGTTTCTTCATCAAACTCCTAGCAAATAACAAGCATATAACCAAAAAAGCCACCCCAGCTGCCCCTCCTAATATTATAGCCACTGTCTTCCCTGTATTTTGCCCTGTCATTGCATCAATTTTCCACACATCACTCAATAATAAAAATATTATTTATATTGAGCAAGGTAGCACCATTGCTTTGAACATAGAGACAATTAGGGAATGGTATAGCAAATTTGCGCTCTAAGTATGTGAAATGGAATGGACTAGGACAAAAACAAACTATCTGAAATTTGTAACATAACAAGAAAATTAGATACTTTCTTTCCTCCCAAAATTTATGTCATTCTTATCTGTATGGTTCTGACATCTGAGTGCTTGGGTATTAGTTTATTACCTGAAAAAGTTGAAGAGTACGAAGAAGAAGAAGATGATCCTGCAGATGAAGAGTGTTTCCCAGGAACCCCATTTGGGGAATTACCATAACTAATGAAGCACTTATATAAATAGACTTGACCTGAAATAGAGCTCCCACATTCAACTTCAGCTCTCTGAACAGCTTGTTTCACACACTCCCCACAATCAGAATCACTAACATCTCCCTCACACTGTCCCATCACATACAAAGACTGGTAGCTAGTAGCGTAAAAGCCATGGCCACTGACCACCCCATTTTCCATCGCTGAGAATGCAGTGTCCCTTCTCTCTTCAAACCCATGTCCTGCAGCTGCATTTGTTGCCGCACAAGTCTTGTAAAGAATTTGCATCCCTGAGATTTGTGAAAAACCAGCAACCTCGTACAGCATGTAACAACCTAGGACCTGAACCCTGGCAGCTATGGTGTGGCCACACAACTTGTCAGACAAAACTGGGAGCCCACTGACACAGTTGTAGCAATCAGAATTGCTGAGGTCCCCTCTGCATTGGAAGAGACCGGTTATGCTGTTTTGGCCACTGCCAGTGGTGGCCTTAAAGAACTTGGCTTTGGTGGATTGTGCAACCAATGAACCAAAGAGTGCTGAAAGAGCTTGAGAATACACCCCATTTGGATCTGTGTAAGTCTCCTTTGAGCAGCCCTTGTAGACCAAAGTAGTGTAATCAGAAGCAGATTCAGCAAGTTGGGATGGCCCAAGATTTGTGAACAAAACCAGGAACAAAAGAAGGAACAAGGACTTTCTAGGAAAACCCATTTAGGTGTGTGTGTGGTGTTGAGACTTGAGAGGGATCAAATCATGGCAATTTTGGGGAGGAAAAAAAAAGCCTTCAGAGGGGATGGTAGCTATCTGATTCAGAGAGGCTCTGATTAAGGAAAAGAATCAAGGGTTGTGGTTGATACTTGGGTGCCATTTTTTGTACTGCTTTTCGCTGAATCTGGATTTGGATCTCTGAGGTGGAGTGACTCTTCGTTATGGTATTTGTGTCCTTGGGATTCACTTTCCTTTGGATGTAATGCCTATGAAGTTGTGCGTCTATTGTACTCTTTCTCTCTCTATAACTGGTTAACAGTGGGAAAAGCTAGGTATTTTATTATTAAAGTATAGGGGAAAAGTTAACCAATATTCTTGTGATTTATTCGAAAATTATCTATGTTCTACTGAATTTTTTTTTATATTATACATGTCCATGTGATTTGTAAAAGGGTCATGTGTCCATGTGATTTTTTTACTTTTTACAAACTACAAAGACATATATGATAAAAAATATCACATGTGATTTTTTTACTTTTTACAAACTACAAAGACATATATGATAAAAAATATCACATGAGTATAGGTGATTCTGAAACAAACCACAATAACATTGGTGAATTTTTTTCTAAAGTATATATATATTATATGTATATATAGAAAAATAATGATCTCATTGCACAAGATAATTATCTCATGTAATAAAGACAAAGTAGTGAGGTTCATATTATTATTATTTTTTGTTTCACAAATGGTGGACCCCACTATCTTGTTTTCGTATCATGAGATAAACATGAGATTAATAGGTTGCATATATACATGGTAAATGATTTTTCCTATCCTGGAGATAAATTATTTTCGGTGAACCAAAATAACATTGTTTTTAAGTTTGACTATCTTTAAGCAATTAATTCTTGTCATAAGAGGATTGAGTCGAAACGAGAGATTACCAAAACGACTTTGTTTTTAAGTTTGATTATGTTTAAGCAATTAATTCTTGGCATAAGAGGATTTGAGTCGAAATGAGAGATTATCAAAACTTGCATGATGCAATTTGTCATCGTCTTCTTCCCAAATTTTTTTGCAAATGCACGTGTTTTTTTATTAGATTTAACGGAATCTAAGTTTAACAAATAGGTTGAATTGTTATGTTTTAAAGTGTAAGTAGTGTAGTTGCTTAAATCGGGGTGATTTTTTTTGAAAAGTATCAAAGTTTAGTGTGGTAATTTATAATTTAGCCTCTCTTTTTTTTTGTTACAGTTATTAATTGAAAAGAATGAAAACAAAAGTAATTGAATTAAGGGTTATAATTATAAGTAACAGGAAAAAATATTCCCAGTGCAGAGAGAAGGTTAAAGTTTTGGTGTTGGTTTTGGAGTGCACAAAGAGAAAGGAATCTGATTTTGGTAGGAGAGAACAACACGCAGGTTGACCGTAGCACATCCTGCTTTATCAAGGATTTGAATACACTACGCGTCAGAAACTTTGTACTTTGTTTTTAATTCTATAAAGGCTCAGGCACATGCAGGGAATTTTTTTGGTACATTTGTTAGTTGTTACCCAGATTATATTGGAATTCTTCTGAAAACTTGATACGGAGAATTAGAATGTCACGTTTGATACTAATGAATGCAATTTTTTGATTTTTGTTGCTACGTGCAGAGGTGACAAAGTGGACCGTCCGTCCCACTCCGGTATTAATCTATCAAAAAATGAGTCAGTTCGTCTTGTCTCGTTTGACGAGTTGACCTGTCAGCCTGAGCCTATTTTACACTAAACCGCTTCGGTTTGCCTATACCTGCCAACAAATGAGCCCACCTCGTCCTGCTTTTGAGATGAGTTGAAAAATTCAGCCCGCCTCACCTCGTTTGGCGGGTGGGACGGGTTGACCCGCCGAGTTGAGCCCGTTTTGCCGGCTCTAGTTATGTGTAAACTCTTGTACAACTATCTTATTAGAAAATCTATAGATTGGGTGGTATAATTTTTTGCATGAGAAAGTAAATTAATCCTACTTTTTTATGTACTAATTTTGAATGAAAAAGTAAAAGTGGGGTTATGTATGTAAAATAACCTCACATTCCTATTACTATTTCACAATCAACCAAACATTAATTCCGTAAACTCAATCAAATATTTTCGGGACAAATTTTGGTCAAACAAACACATTTTTATAACTTATCCGAAAAAAAATATTTCCTATCACATTCCGGCGAAATTATTTTCTCAGTAAATTTTTTTTCTCCTGTATCAAACGTCCCCTAGATGTTTAACAAAAAGAAATCTTTCAAATAGAAAATTAAGTATGGAATTATTCTCGTTCTATAGGAGATAAATTTATTTTTTATAAACATATAAAAATATATGAAATTTATATTTTCTTTTTTCTTTTTTTTATTGTTACATAATTTTATATGGGATAGATTATTCTACCTGTCACTTTTTCTGCCTACCACCCTCCAACATTGTTAGATTAGAATCTCAATAAAAGAGAGAAAGATAAATGTTAGTTAAGATTCTGATCTAATGATATTTTAAAGTGATAGATAAAAGTAGACAAAAAAAATAATAAATAAAATAACTTATCCCATTTTATATAAACCTCGTATATTTTTATATATGTATAAAAAATAAAATTATTTTCTACAATATCGTAAACATTAATCCCTACTTTATATTAGTGTTACTTACAAATGAATCTGCATGCACTATAATAGGATCATGGTTTGATAGGTTGACAAATTTCAAGAGTAGTGCAGTTTAGCTGGCACATCTGTCATTTTTCGGATGAAACAAATTGAATTCAGACAAAATTGTGTGCTATTGTTTTCCGCGGCGAGTTAGGCATAACTTTACATGCAACAATCCAAACTTTGTTAGGCTTATTATATTGCGACTAAAAATTTAAATTGATTTTTTAAAAAATTAAGGATTAATATTTCTTATATTATAAAAGATCAATTTTATCTTTTACATACATATAAAAATATTTAAGATTTATATATTTTTTTCTCTTATTCTCATATGAATTCACATAAGTTTCACACACTTTTATATATGTGTAAAAAATAAAATTATTTCTTATAATATTAATCCCAAAAAACTAATATAGCAATCTATGACTGTTTATTTTACCATGTTTAACACAGATACATGATACATTAGGAAAATACTAAAATTAATCTAAGGTAGAGCTGTCAAAACGGGCTAGCCCGGTCCATTTAGCCCTAGCCCAAGTGGGTTAGGGCCAAAAAGTCCGCAGGACCAAAAAACTCACAATGATATAGATCCACACGGGCCAAAGCCCTATAGGTTAGGGCCAGCCCGCGGGCCTTCTAAAAAAATAATATGTATTTTTTTAAAAAAATATTTATAATAAAATGGTGCATAGAAATTATTAGAAAAATAAAAATAAATAATTTTAGAAAATTGTCACTTTTTTAAAAAATTATTGCATAGAAATTTTTGACAGAAAATGTTTCTGTAAAAAAATTGACGAAAAAAAAAATTCGTCAAAATTCTTTACAGAATCTAAATTCCGTAAATATTTTTGACGAAAAAATTTCCGTCGATTTTGTTGAAATTTTTGACGGAAAAAGTTTTTGTCGAAATTTTTGACGAAAAAAATTTCCGTCGAAATTTTTGACACAAAAATTTACGTCGAAATTTTTGATGAAAAAAGTTTTTGTCGAAATTTTTAACAAAACACATTTCCGTCAAAAATTTTTGACGAAAAATATTTTTGACAAAATTTTCGATAAAAGATATTTCTTTCAAAATTTTAAACGGAACACATTTTTGTTAAAAATTTCCCACGAAAATTATTTCAGTAAAAAACTTTGACGAAAATATTGCTGTAAAAAATTTCAACGAAAAAAAATATTTTGTCAAAAATCTTTACGAAATGTAAATTCCGTCGAAAGTTTCACAGATACATTTCCCTCAAAAATTTTGAAAAAAAATATTTCCGTTGTAATTTTCATTGGGTCACATTTTCATCGAAGATTTTGGACGGAAAATATTCCGTCAAAATTTTTGAAGTAATTCTTTTTTCCGTCAAAACTTTTGATGAAATTTTTTCGTTGTAAATTGGGTTGAATATTGTAGCCCGCGGGCCAGCCCCAACCTAACCCTATAACGAGAGGGCTTTAAAAGGATGGGCTTAAAATGACCTCATTACTTAGAGGGCTAAAATTTTATAGGGCTTGAGCCCTTTTTGACAGCTCTAATCTAAGGTGTTGAATTTAGGATATGACTGGGTTATGTTTTTCAAAGCATAGTTTGACCTAATTTAAAGGTTTCAGTATTTTTTTCCCTTCTACTCAAATTATAATTTGAAATCCAAGATGATATCGTTAAGAGGAAGTAGTTATACCGGTGTGTGGCTTCAATCCGGGCTAAATTTTAACAAATTATACTTATTATATATATTATATAATTAATTATAAATTGGTTTGGATTAAAATTGTAATTTAGTCGGGCTACAATTTATAATTGACCCAATGTAAAAATTAAAATATTTTTGGTGAAATATTTGAATAAGTTGTATTAGGTTACGTGTCTTCTAAGAAAATAAATTATTTTTAGTAAAATTTAAAAATATTTAAGAAAATTATAACTCTTCTTAGTGCTGCTTGTTCAGATGTTCTGTATTTAATATAATTTAAATATATTATGATATGAATTAACTAAAATTAAAAAAAAATACACATAATTTTTTAATCCGAGCTCAAATTTGAGTCCGACTCCACCACTGATTATGCTAAATGCACAAACTCAATGTGGAAGCTATATTTTGAAAATTAGTTAAGTTGAATTTAATTACATTATTTGAATGTTTTACGAAGAATGCGTAAAATAAAATAAAACTGGTAGGGCCCAGGGGGAACACCGACCAAAATGTCACTGTTCACCAAGTTTTTTACCTAAATGCTACGCGAACAGTGTTGTTTCTCAATCTGCCAGGGGGCAAGTTCGCTACCCGGTGTAGCGAACTCGGTTTCTGACGTGTCACATTTCTAGTGGATAACAAGTACTAAGTTAAAAAAAAAAAGTATGGAGTTCGTTACATTCGATAGCGAACCTGGTTAAAACCAAGTTCGCTATCCCATGTAGCGAACTTGGTGTCCACTAGATGTGACACGTCAGCAAACCGAGTTCGCTACACTGGATAACGAATTTGCCCCGTGATAAATTGAAAAATAATACTATTTGCGTGACATTTAGATAAAAAACTTGGTGAACAGTGACAATATCACTATTCTGACCAGGGGCAGCTCGGAGGGTAATCTTCCATTTGCCTGCTCCTTAGGTTACAAAAAGGTAGCGAGAAAACGTGATAATTCCTCCTCTCATAAGGATCGTAAAAAAAATAAAAATAAAAAAATAAATATATAAATTGAATATGGTTATCATATTGTTTTTGTTTTTGGTGGTTTGAAAATTATTATTTTAGTTATTAAAAGTTTTTGTTTACACGAATTAACATTTGAAATTGTGAACATGTTAATAAGTTTATCATGTTAAAGTTAATCAACATCAATAAAAATTGAGGAAAATAAAAAAAAGAATAATAGTTGATAACTTATTAAAATATTCATTTGGGATGAATTTGTATAGGCAAAATTTTTTAAAATAAAAATAAAGTAATATTCATTAAAGACAAAATTGCATATTTATTTAAATTTAAATTGATTAATGATTTTTTTAAATAATATAAATAATATGCCTTTAATAACATGTGTGGAGCGCGTTGCCACCAACAATTGCCAACAGATCCAACACGACATGTTCATCATATTTCATTTCACGCTAGCACGACATCGCATTTTCAAAATACAACGAACTGTTGCCACATATAATAGAACTGATTAATATTTCTTATATTATAGAAAATAATTTTATCTTTTATACTTATATAAAAATGTGTGGATCAATGTAAAGAGAAGAGAGAAAAAAAAAAATCTCACATATTTTTATGTGTTTAGAAAATAAAATTATTTTCAACAATATAAGACATATTAATTCCATAATATAATGATATGAAGTTATTAAAAATTACTTAGTGCAATAAATCATAAAATTTATAAAGAAATATTAGTATGTAATATTATTTGGACATGTTTAAATTACTTTATTTTGAAACAATAATTTCCTTTTTATTTATAGCTACCTGATATATATATATAGGGGAGAGATCTTTTGACTCTAGAGTAAGACTTGCAACTCTTATTCCTCATCTCAACCGTTGATTTCCGTCCATGTAACGGTTACTATTTATGTGAAATAAATAAATAATTAATTGTTATAACCGTTAGATGGACGGAAATCAACGGTTGAGATGGAGAGTAAGAGTTGTAAGTCTTACTCTAGAGTCAAAAGATCCCTCCCCATATATATATATATATATATATATATATATATATATATATATATATATATTTGAAGAAAAATAAATTATTTCTCAAAAGAAAAAAAAAACTAATTGTATTAAATTGATGTGAAAGTTGCATCCTCATTCGAGATCGTCCCCGAGAAAAAAAGAAAAAGCTTGATTTCAATTAACATAAAAAGCTAAATCCAAACCTATCTTATGATTGAAGAAAAAAGTTTATAATTGGATAAATAATATAAACGGATACTATAAGGGAAAATTGTTTGTCCTTTTAAATGACATAATTCATGTCATTTCATTTTACAAAGAGTTGAGATTCACATCTTTATAACTTTTTGTCTATTCTTTTTTTTTTTATCTATCTATTTCTCTCTTTTAAAATGACCCAATTTTAAGTTGTAATATCCCAAAAAAATAATAGTAATTTATAATACAATAAATTAATAATAGTAATAAATTATAAATTAGTAATAATAATAATGGGTGATAAATTGTTATTATTTAATTGATCATTATGCTTTAATGTTTGATTATTTGATTGGTAATGTTTGATTGGATTAGGATGAGTTAACAAACATAAATTGTTTAGATATGATGACTCAACAAACATAAATTGTTTAGATATGATGAGTCAGCATTGAGTCAGTAATGTATAAGTCCTAAACTTCAACTATAAATAGAGACCTAGCCTAACCAAACCAATTCACTCTTCTCTACTACTCTTTTTCTCTTCTCACTCCAAAAAGTTTATTTTAATTATTTTCAATCTTTATATTTTTTTTATCAACCGGTTCTCTGCCCCAAATTACTCTTTTCTTCTAAAAGTTAGCGAAAACGGAGACCAGGTAATCCTAATCCCTAGGTATTTTTAGATTATATTTTATGTCAAATTTGGTATGTGTAATCCTAATCCTTAGAAGTCTTAGGTTAATTTTATATGAATTTTGATAGGGTAATTATGATCCTAAATATATCATAGGGTTGTCTTATATGAAAAATATTGTATGTAATCCTAATCCCAAATAATTATGTTGACCTGTATATATAATTACGTTCGTTATAAATTCAATTTTTGTTGATAATTACTATCTGCATATATATATTCGATTACAAATGTTTCCTCAATTTGCTTCTGCCGAACTCGGAACTGCATATATACCTTCACTGCAAATTTCTTTCGTTTTCGTTTTATGTGCAATTCTTTAATTGAATTCAATGGTAATGGTTGTTGGTTTTATATATATAAACATTGTTCACAAAACAAAAACAAAAAAAAACTCCTTCTCGATTTTTGTGCGTCATTTTCCATTAAAGTAGTTGCTGATCGTTTCTTTCAATTTGCAAATTAGTTATATGCATATATTTGCAATGTTATTTTTCTCGGTTTACGTGATCAACCTATTTCAAATACATGCTTTCAGTATATGTTGTTAGTTACAATTGTTTCTTTTGAATCCTGTGCTTTATTTTATAAATTGAGGCACTAAAATATATATATGTTTTGATAAATTAGAAATTAATTATTAGTTGCAAAAAAATAGATATTACATATATTTGAAATAAATTGAGGAATTTTGTTATGTTTGTATAAAAAAAAAAAATTAATAGTGGGAGGATAGCTTTGGGATGGTACCTCCCAAAGTGATGAACACAACTTTTGGGCTTTATGCCTCCGATGTGAAACTGATGTGAAAATGATTATATCCGTTCTTCCCAAAGTGGTGTCTGGCAGGGTTCCCCGGGATACTAGTAGCAACTTTGGGAAGAGGTGTGCACACTAGGAAGATGTGAATTGATTATGGCCAAAGTGATTTGTTTGTGACTGGCAGGGTTTCCCGGGTCACAGGGTAGACTGGCAGGGTTCCCCGGGTCTACCATGGTTCTCTTCCCACTAAATAGACTAAATGGATTAAATAAATATTAATATAATTAATAACAAGTTGACATTTGATTCGAATTTTTGAGTTATATTATTTTATTGGATTATCATGAGTTACATCCTTTTTGTTTATTTATTTATTTTTGTATATCGGATTTGGATTACCAGCTTTGCTGACTTTTGTGTTTGTTTAACTGCAATGATCCTTCACGGGGAGCAGATTTTCAGTGAAGCATGTTGCAAAGGATGGGGCTAGCTGTGGGCAGCGAGGATCACGACTCGGATATTATATTTCTAGCTAGTTTCTAAGTTTAGAAATTTTATGAGATTTAAATAAATGCATAAGACATATTTCCTTTATTTAAACTTTAGTCTTTGGTTTTATTTTAATGTAATAAATTTAGCCTTGCACCTGTTCATTGTACAGGTGCGGCGGTAACATTCCCCAAATTAGATTTTGATTAGCTTCCGCAATATTTCTATTATTATAATTGTGAAAAAAAAAATGAATTTTGACAATTTATTTATTATAAGATTGTTTCATAAATTGTTAGAAATTTGGGGTGTTACATAAGTACTTTAAAAAGATACACACTTTTCGCATCGTATAAATTTCCAAAAAATGCGAGAAGAAGAAATTTTTTGAATATATTATCAGTCTATCACAAATATTAGTTTAAACAGTTTTATAGTCATTTATATTTAAGTTAATTATATATTATTTTCAACATGAATATAATAAGGGGAAAGAATTTTTCAATCGAAATAAATTATCTTTGGTAAGTTTAAAATTATGTTATTTTGAGACAGAAATCAAGATGTTTTTATAATTTTAATATATTATAAAATTATATTAGTTTTTATTATTAATATTTTTAGTTTTATAATTTAAAATAATATCGTTTTAGAGTCAGTAGATTAGATATAAAATTTCTCATATAATAACGTGATGTTATAGAAAAATTTGTGTTGAATACGGGATTGACACGTAAACAAATCCTTGTGCCACCAATCAATCAAACTTTGCCTGATTTACGTCGGTAGCTGTTTGGTTGTTCCACAGTTCATTCTTTTCTTTTTATTTGTTGTTCTGTTCCAAAACCACCCATTACTTCTCCCTTTGCTTTTTTCCCCAATTCTCGTTCAAAGCTTTCTCTTTGTATTTGATGGGATAATAGCTCACCTCTTCAAAAAATGTTTTCTTTCAAAGATAAAGTCACAGAGAAGCTTTCCCATCTCTTTGCCAATCCTCCCAACTCCTCGTCCCCTCAGGTAACTTTTTTATTTATTTTTTTCCTTCTTGTTTTCATGATCTGAATGTGGTTATTTTTTGTTGTGTTTGTTATTCCCAATAATTAAAAAAAAAAAAAATGAAAAAAAAAATGAGCTTGATGAGCACTGTTATTCTATCCTGTCATGTAAGCTTTTGTTTACCTTTGCCCTGATTGTTAGATCTGATCTGTGCAAAATTCTGAATCTGGGGTTGAATGGTTTCATTAATTTTCACCATGGGTTTGAGTTTTATAAAAAAATGAAAGAAAGAAAAAAAGAGGTAAAAGGAAAACAATGGTGTTGTTTCATTTCTTAAACGGTTAGAAGGTAAATATTAATGTTAATCTGAATTGTCACCAAGTATGTGTGTGTCCTTGATTGTTTTGCATTCGAACAAGGAAGTTGGTTTTATGACTTTTGATGTGTACATTAGTTACGTTACGTATTCTGCCTCCTGTGGCTTTGGTAGGATAAATTTGGACTGTTAGTCTGTGAGTTCCATTTGAGAGGCTGCTAGTGCTGGAGAATTTAAGGGAGAACATAAATAGATTTTCTGGTCCATGCACATATTTCATTTTGTTGGGATGTGTTATGGGTAGAAAATGAAAGCAGGAGAAGAATTCGACTTCTCTGTGTCTATCAAGTACCAAGCTCTACAGTCTTTAGTTGAGTTCCCCTATTATAGCTGCTTTTGTTGTTGTCATCAATGTGAACAATAAATGATTGGAGAAAGTGCATGTTGTTCTTCACTGAACACCCTAAGGAGTTCAATAAGATTAGTTTTTTATAGCTCTTTTATGTGGTCCCACGGAGTATGACCTGTAAACAGACCCTTCATTAGTTTACTTCTCTATTAATGCATTGTAGTAATATAGTCTCTGTAAACCTTCAGTATTATCACAAGATAGAAAGATGGAATTTCCAAGTGGTCAATAAGCTTCATTTGGAGTATGATTGCCTTATGCCTTCTTTTTTTAATATAATTTTAATTTAGGTGCATCACCAAGGTTTAATGAATTTTTTCCTCATAAATGTCTAATATCTTTACTTTCTGCAGTCATCACATCTCTACCTCACAGGTAGAGGATGGGGAAAACAAGAGAGATATGATTAGATCCCATTTTACATCAATTGAATAAGAATGAAGTTCAAAGAATGCCATATGGAAGCCGGGCATCATTTGAACATTGTGCTAATTTGTTCTATATATTCCAACTGGAAAAATAACCTCCTTAACTGTCCTTTCTTTTTCTTTTTATTCTATCTTTGATATGAGACTGTTATTTGTGTAGGCTAGTTCATATTCTAAAGAGGGTAAATCTTCGCCTTCATATTTGTCTTACATTATCCCATCAATCAGCTTTGGTGGATCCAAGACAAGCAAGCAGCAACATGATCCTAAACCAAGTCAATCAGATTCTGTTGGATATAATTATGAGAAATTTGAGTATCAGGATGTTCCATTGGATAAATATGTCGATTGTAGTCCCTCATGTAGTAGCATGGATTTATTGAAAGATGAAATTATTAATGAAGATCAGACCTCTAGAAGGAGCAGTAGCAGTTCTGAAGTTTTTGAAGAAGCCAATGGGCAGCAAACTCCAAATTCGTCAAAGAAGTCCCAGCCCAATCTTAGTGATGACTCTACTTTTATTTCTCCTGAGTTGTTTGAATTCTTGGAATCATGCCTCCCTAATATAGTAAGAGGATGTCAATGGGTCTTACTTTATAGGTAGCTTTGCTCTCAAGGTTTTTTTATTTGGTGCATTGAGCAGTATAATGCCATTGCATTGAAATACTGATTCAACATTTGTTCTTTAAATTAAGGGCAGTACGTTGAAACATGGAGTATCACTTCGTACACTTATTCGCAAGAGTGCTGAACTTTCTTGTCCTGGTTTGCTGGTATGTCAACCTTTCAGAACTAAATGCATTCCTTCGGTTAAGGTGTACATATGATATTTACTGGTTGCAGATCAAGGTATAATTCTTTTGTTGACAATGGATTTATTATCTATTTTGAAAAACTGTTAGATTGTTGGAGATATGCAAGGTGCTGTGTTTGGTGGACTGCTAGATTGCCCCTTGAAACCTACAGCAAAGCGAAAATATCAAGTTTGTCAACTCTCTTTTATTCATAAATATTGCGTCTTTATGAAGGCACTTCTTTATCTTGAGGTATGACTTCATTTTCTCAACTGTGTGATAGGGGACAAACCAAACTTTTGTCTTTACAACTATATACGGTCAACCAAGGCTGTTTCGACCTACTGGTAAGGGTTCTCATTGTGCAAATGCATATTTTTTGTAGGTAGATGTTGGATCAAAGGAACATGCTGTAATCTTTTTAAAGCATAATATAGATGAAAGCTAGGGATGAGCCTCAGAAGTTTTCGATTGACTGACTAGCTCATGATCACCTCTTGCATTTCCTCTTTTAGTTTAAGTAGAAACTTCAAAAGGTCTGGGATTAATGTATGGTAATCATTCGGCCTCAGTTTCTAACACATATTACAAATATATCATCTTCACTGTTTTTTTTAATCATATTGCTTTTGATCACTGTACTTTTTATCATTGGGGAATTACTGTTCTTTACAAATATGTGCTCTTCACTGATAATCATATGCTTTATGATCATAATATCCTTTTGAATTGTTTCATGGGGAAAAAAATCCTATGAGCATGTCAATTTGTTTAGTACTTTTGGTCATTGTATTTATAGGGCTTAACAGTTCACACATAAGGGTACAAAGTAAAGAAAGGAAGAAAAGAAAAGATTGATTTGTAACTACCTTCCAGTAGAAATTTTAGATGTTTTAATGTCTGAGGCATTGACAATAGATGGGTTAGTTTAATTGGGGTAGGAAATTGCAACTGTTGAGTATCATTACTAATCTAGTCTATTCCTAAATAGGAACAGCTAAATTATCTTTATTCAGGGTACGAGCTTTCAATCTTTTATTTTAAGCATGAGAAGTTGCTAACTCATTCTTTTTCTTTTTCCTTTTGAGTTTCTTTGAACTCGTGATATTCTGATTTTATATATTTATATGCAGGTGCCAACCGGTACTACTACATGTGTTTGACAGACTTACTTGCACTTGGTGGTGGGGGTAATTATGCTTTATGTTTAGATGAAGATTTGTAAGTATTTCAATAGCACTTATTAGTTTCTTTCAGTACATTTTAGTTATAGTTGAAGTACCACTGGTGGATCTCTTCTTGAATGAATCCTTCTGGTTGAAAAGGTTAACGGGAACTAGTGGACCTTGTGACACATTTGGAAACTTATGTCTAGCTCATAGTCCAGAGTTTGAGTTGAAGCATGTTGAGGTAATGTTCTTGCTACTGACTTTTGTTATCTAGCTTACAACAAATTAATATGTGGCTCTCAGGTTTTCATCCCCTGCTGGCTGCTGCTCAACTCTTTTATCTTTTTTTAGTATGCTTCTGCGTGCTTCAATACTTTTTCCATCTAATTAATTTATTATTTGTCTCACACTCTATGTTCTGCTTCACACTTCCCTAAATATTCTTTGTTCTAGTGGTTTACATAACGCTACATGACACTTATGAATTGAAATAATCCTTTGCTCTCAGTCCTTCCTTTCCTCTTTCCTGACACCATGAAAAAGATGAAGGACAACTCACATAAGATTTATGTAGTTTTCCTTTCTTGATGAATAGTATAAAATTCGTGAGTTCAATGTCTTGTCACCATTTGCAAATTTTTAAATGTTTTCGATAACTAGCATATTTTGAAACCAAATGGCACTGAAACCAGTTTCTCTGTAAGACTGTAACAAAGAAAGAGGTACCAATGTACTCATCATACCCAAGTTTGGATGCAAAAGTCGGTTTTAATTTTCCCCAACCTATATATTTTCATTATATAAACGCCATATATAGTTCAATTATGCCATGCATTCATTTTGTCCAATGCTTATTTCTAATACCTATTGTTCTACATTTTCTTTATATAAAGTTATGATATGATGATTTATGTTTTATTCACCATTTTTCTAATACATGCAGTTGTGGGGTTTTACACATGCTTCCCCTATGCAAGGCTAAGATGCTTTTGTTTGGATGTCCACAAGAAGCGTCACTCTCTCTCTCTCTCTCTCTCTCTCTCTCTCTCTCGCCCCCCCCCCCCCCCCCCCCCCTTTTCCCTTTACTAGTTTGCTAGCAATTTATCCATACTAAACTGCTTGAATGTAGTTTAGTTTACCCACTTTCGTGAGGATGACTGTATGCTTTTGAGTGATTGATCAATTTGATATACTGTCAGACATGTCCCAAGCTCTTATTAGTAGATTGTAGGCTTGAAATTCCATTTTGCAAAAGTTAAGGTTTGTGGAAGCCAGATGGTCCGAACACAAGAAGGTTGTAGAGTAGAATGTAAGGGATGGAATCTACTCATTAAACTACTAAGAAATAAAGCACCGACCAGGCCATTTTACATGTAATACTTGGTTTCCCACGGCATTAACTATAAGCTCAGGTTCTGTAGCTACGAACACAACCTTTGTTTTACAATTTGATTTGACAAATTAGACTAATGAAGAGGCAAGTCATTTTGTGGGTGGAAGTACTCTCACTAGTAATGTAATCAAAGTGGATATGGATGTCTATAGTTATGGCTTGTTAACAATATATACACCTATCAAGATTGTAATTTAATTGGCACTGGCTTATGCCTTTTAAGACTTGAGTTTCATGAAATGCACATGTTTGATCTTTTTTGAAGTCATCGTTCTCATTTTTCTACTCAAGTGCTTGCTTCTCCAATGTAAAGAAAATCGGACTGACCTGGCCGGGTCGACTCAGAAATCGATAAACTGGTCATATAATTGGTCTGGATGAAACAATGGATCGGTCATGCATCAGAACTGGTCTGATCCGGTCTGGTTCAAAAAAAAATCCAATTTTTTTCTTTCAAAAAAAATCATAATGGACATATTTGAGAATTTTTTGCTTTTTGACTTACATGAGTTATATACTTATAATATTAAAGTTATCTCAATTATGTACTATGCAAGAGATTTTGATTTGATTTGTAGTTAGAGATGTCGTTTACTAATCTTGAAGTCCCGTGTCATGATCATTATATTTTTGTTTGATCCTTTATTAGATAATAATGTGTGATTATTCTTTATATTAAAATATTTGAAATTTTCATTATTTTTTTTATAGATATTTGAGTTTGTTTATAACTTTTTAATATAAATTATAGAATTACATATAATTACCAGGTCATGCGGTTGAATCAGTGACCTAGTCACTTGATCGGGTCAATGACCGGACCGGTTTTAATAACATTGATTATTTCTATACTTATGCCTTTCAATAATATTTGTGTATATTTTTTTGGACAAATTCTGCTTCACCATTTAAAAATAAAATTATAACTAAATAAGGTTTTATAAAAAAAGGCTTCTGTGTGTAACTGATCTCTCATAAATCATTTACATCTAAATATTTTAAATTTTTTAAAATAAAAGTTATTGTCATGTGATCGTGTCTTAAGGGAGTTGTAAAAGTAATACGCATGAAGTTAAAATTATTTAAAATCATAAGAAGGTTTACAAGCTTGAAAATAGAATAAATGAATTGAAAGCCTATAATAAAGAATCGAGTCTTCATCTTTCACTAGACAAAGTGTTTCAGTTAGAGCAAGAACTATAGGCTTTAGCCGGTACTCAAAGTTATGAAATTGGAAGATGAGAATAATTAGAGTAAATTATAATTTAGCACTGCAAAGATTTATAAATTTAATCAGAATTATATTTTATTCTATTTTTATAAGTAAATTAACAATTTATTTCTTGAGATTATTTTCTGGTCACATTTTCCACTCTAAAATTTAGGAAAGTAAAAGGACTAAGTAAGGAGTGTAAGGTCAAGCATCTAAACTTGTGTAAGGTAACGGCAATCAAATTTCTCTCTCTTAGGGGGCGTTGGTTCAGGGAATTTTTTTGGAATAGTAGGGAAATAAGATAGATAGAGAAATGATTGGAAAGATAGATAAAGTGAGATAGGTAGAAAAATGTAAAAAAAAGTTGTTTGGTGGAGAAAAACTTTACTGGAAAAATTAGGTAGCTTTATGAAATCAACAGTGCATTAAAAGCCAGATAACCGGTTTTCCGAAAAATCCCACCTTCAAATTGGGTTTCTAAACAGTCTGAATATCTATGTTTCTCATAAATCTAGACAAATTGGATAGATGGATTTTTGGTGAAAAACGTTGAAACAAACATGGTGTTTCTAAAAATCATACTTGAGAAAGATAGATATCCGCTGAAAAGCTCCCAAGCAAACACCACCTTAAGGAATTAAATATGCACTAATAATGATACATCTGTTCAATATATACTTTGTGCATATAAGTCTGAAGTGTACCACAAGTATCGAATAACCAATTTCAGTTCATTCTTTCAACTTTCATCTTCTTTTCTCTGTAATCTCTTTAGGCTTTCCCTTACAAATTCACTTTTCCAATCCATGAAATTAGACAAGCACCATTGGCGGGCAGTGATTGTCCCTCTCCATTGCAACTTCAAGGCACTTGACAAATTGTTGAGTTTGAATTGGTTCTTTACATGATATCAGATATCAGAGCTTGAGTGACTACAAAGTCACAAGTTCGATCATCACCGTCCCCAACTTTAAAGTGAAATTAAAATAAAAAGCACAAAAGTTAAACTAAAAATTGGGTCTGTGCAATATCCACGCTTCTAGCCCAAAGGGCTCTTGCGTGGGTTGAGATATATAAAACTATTAATGTAACCTCACCCAATAACTTAAGTTTTTTGGGTTGAATTGGTTCTTTACATGTATTAAAGTCTCGTGTCTCAGGTTTGATCCTCGCCGTCCCCCACTTTCTTTCAAGTGAAATTTCTTTGTTCGCACAGGTGGTGGGCTTATGCATTGTCCATCCTTCAAGCCCAGTGGGCTCTCGTACGAGGAGACGTGTTGAGATATATAAAACTATTAATGTAACTTCATTTAATAACTTAATCTTTTGGGTTGAATTGATTCTTTATACAAATTAAAGACACTCAACCAAAAACAAGTGTGTGGCCAAAAGAAATACTAGCATCAAATATTTGCCATAAGCATTGTAGCTAAGACCGCAGAACCATGTTTTGAAAAGTAAACAAGTGACAATAGAGAAATTGCCAATTAATGGATGACTTTTCACGTACCTAATAACATGTGACTCTTTTCTCCCATGTGACTTTGTTGGAGGATTTTCCTTCTTAATTAGAGGTATGCTACATAAGGTTCAAGGTGGATATGGCTCTAGATATGCACATGACTCAAGATAACTTTGATCAAAAGTTTGTTCCCTAATCAACTAAGCTTTGAAAAATTGTGTCAAAGCTCATCTATAAATGGAGAATGAACAGAAGCTTTGTTGGATTTAGCATGCATTTGATAGAGTTCATTTTAAAAGAGAGAAATAGAATTTACCACATAAGAGTGAGAGAAATGCTCTAAGTGGGAGATAAAATTGTTGTAATTTATCCGGTGAAGTTTTTGTGTGCTAATTCAGAATATAATGATATTTTCTTTCTTTCATGTTTTACTTTTTCTCATGTTACCTATCAATTTTACATCAAATTGAACCCATTTATCAAACAATTTTAAAACAATCATGTTTCTAACTACCCTTTTTGTTAGGGGTGTTCGCGGTCTGGATTTGATCGGTTTTGGAAGCAAAACTCATCTGATCCAATCCCTTCGGTTTGATAATATAATCATCCATTCGGTTTATATTTTTTTTCAAATCCGATCCGATCCAATCCAATTTTTTTCGGTTTGGATTGGTTTGGTTTTCGATTTTTTGAATATCCTAAAATTAGTCTCATGATTATTGTGCAAATAACATCTTTTGTATATATTGGCTTTGTAAAAAAAAATTTGAAATACAAAAATATTAGTAAACAATACTATAGTTGATGAGACGTGACTAAGTTTTTTTTTTGGGTTTAGTTGATGAGTTAATGGGTCTTGAGTTTAGAAATTTTTGGGCTATGATTGGAGAAAGGACAAGTAGGTAGAGGATAATTAATATATTGGATCGGTTTTCATCAACACATCCGAAAACCGATCCAATCCAATTAAAATTTGCGGTTTTCTTTCGGTTTTCGATTTTTCGGTTTTCGGTTTATTCGGTTATCGGTTTTTCGGTTCGGTTTTCGCGGTTTGAATCGGTTGATGAACACCCCTACTTTTTGTTTGATTGGGGGTCAGGAAGTATCTGTGTCGGCCTGGGCTTCGAGCTATTGGGCTTTTGGAGAAAAAGCCTAACTAAGCCTTTTTAATTTTTCCCGTTTTTCATTGATTGGCCAAACCCCATACCTTTAAAATATATTAAAGATATTTACAAAAAAAAAAAATATATATATACTAAAGATGTTCAGATTTTAAAATCTTCATGTTCTTTTTTTGTTGAATGTGTTTCTATAAAAACCAGTGAATTAGCTTAAGTTATTACTCATAATGATCTTCTATTGTTATTTTCTAATTGTAAGTAGGATCTTTCCTATTTCTAGTAAAGAAAGTGAGAAAAGAAAATTTATACCAAAAAAAAAAAAAGTGAGAAAAGAAAAGGAACAGGAACACGTGCAGAGTAAATAATACAGACCTGAAAGACCAAATTAATCAGTAGACATGCATAACAGCATAAGCGAATTACTATCTTTTTGTTATATATATATAGCAACTGAACAACGCACATGAGGGCCATAAATTCATCGTACATATATATAAAGGTGAATTGCTTAAAAATATCTTATTTAATATAATCAATATTTTCATAATTTTTTTCATCAAAATTTGATATTTGATTAAAAATATAAATAGGGAATAAATAAATAAATGGAAAATTGACTGGGAATTGATTAAGTAAATTTAAATATTGCCTAAGAAGATTTTATTTATAATTAATAAAAGTTAATCGGAGAGTAAATTGAGAGTATTAAACATAAAAAGAAAAGAAGACAAGTAATTTTTTTTTTTTTTGTGTGTGGTATATAGACACGTAGCTTTTAACAAACAATTATGTATTTAATGGAAAAAGGGTATGGAATTCATTATATATGGATAGATAAGTTTGACTTGTAACTTAGGATATTTTGAAAAAAGAAATAAAAAAAACTGGTTATTGAGAAATACCAATAGAAGAATAATAAAAGTAACAAAATGTTATGGAAAACTAATATTTCATGGGGACCAAGCAAAGAGAGTAGGAAAAATGAATTATGAGTGGAGAATCAAGTATAATTTGTTTGCAATATTCCTTATCATCTATATCATCCATGAAATTTTGATAATTATTTTTTTTTTAAAAAAGAAAAAAAGAAAACAGAAAGAAAAGAAGAAGAAGAAGAAGATTGTGAATAGTATATAAGGCTTGGTCAACCCAAAATCCAACTAAGGACACAGTGCCACGGAAACAGGAGAAGGAGAGAGGAATGAAGTCAATATGAATGGCAAAGCATGAATCTCGCGTTGACGCCCGCGAGTGCCAGGCTGACGGCTCTTGTTATAACCCTTATATATCAACCATAACTAACCCTCTTACTCTCCATCTTCATAGCTAACTACTCTCTCTTTCTTTCTTTCTTATTTCACCATGTGCACTCTTCTTCTTAATTACCAACCCCAACAATATCATACTTATTCTCCAACTTACCACATTTCCCACTTCATAGTCTAATCATCATTATTTCTTCTTTCTGGGGTGCTTTTGTTTCTTGTGCAAGGGGCTATATATATATATATTTATATTTATATACACACACACACACACACCATGTTGCAGGATGTTTTTGATCAGCCACTGCCATCCAAGGCCGAACACCAGCAACTTCCCATTGTAATTATCATCACCTCATCATCAAGCTTCTCTTATGTTATATAATATAATGCATTGCATGCATCTGTTCTAGCGCTACCTTTTTGTGTCATGAAATGATGTCATGGAATTTAATTTATGAAACTTTTTTTAAGTTTGTTTATAAAGTTGGTTGTTTTAATTTTTGTCCTGCCTGCACTTGTTCTTTTTTCATGCATGAATGATTGGTTTGTTTGTTTGTTTGTTTATGTTTCTTCCATGTTTGGTTTTCGAATCAAATTCTGAATATTATTCCTTCCTATTATTAGTGCTATTTTCTTTTGCCAGAGCTGAAGGAAAGCTTGTATTATTAGCTATTCTAGAAATCCGGAAGACATTCTCAATTTGCGTGTTCTTTTCTCTCAATTTATATAGTTGGGAGAGCATAATGCTTATTGGCTGGTAATAAGAACGAATCAGAGGTTCCGGAATAGTTAGGCTTTGTCCTTTTTTTTTTTAATATATATTATCCTATCCTATCCAATCCAATGCCACCAAAATGTCATTTTCTGAGGGGCAACACTGTAAAACTGCATAGAAATCTCATTCTGCATAATTTTCTGCGTGATAGCCATTTAAACATAGCTTTCGATCATTGTGGAATATATATATTTTTGTGCTTGTCTAAATTTTGCTAATTTTGATATTCTTATTCAGTTAGAGAGCAAGAAGGGACTTAAGGACAACTGTTCACATGTATAGCATTATGGGTTCCTTTAAATGCTTTTAAATTCCCATTGAATAATAATTTCCATACATTGAACAAGCATAACGTAGCATGGCATGAGGTTCCTTCTTTGTTTTCACAAGTGTCTTGTCTTTCGTACAAACTTGGGTACCTTGGCTCCTACATGTCACATTATCACATGAAGGGCATAGATGCACATCTTTTTCTGCAATCAATATCCTAAAAAAAGCCAACCCTTTTGGAGAATTTCTTATCTGTGTTTGACCAAATATGAAAACACAACTGGACGACGTAATCAACCGGATTTGTATGTAGGATGTCCCATTATGAAGTTTTACACATTGATTTATTTCGTTTTTCTTTCAAGACAAAGGATTTGTATTGATGAACATAACTGATATTTCACTTAAAAATGCTCATTATTTGATAAAGACATGCAATAAACCAAAGCCTAGACTCATAATAAGAGAATATTATCTTTTGAAAGCTCAAACTCTGGGATGCCTATGTGATCAGATCAGACTCATTTCTATCAGCAAAAAGAGGAATTGGGTTCAGGCCCATAATGGATAAAATAAAAAAAAAAAAAAATGTGTAGAATCAGTCTTCTACTTGTTTTATATATGTCTATCAAGAAATTATTCTCAATGTGTGTTTAGTAGTTTTTGGTAGTGATGTTGTTCACATTGCTTTTTGTATCACTGGCTGCAGGATGAAATTTCAAGCCCTCTTAGTGCTCGAATTTTCGAGCTTTGTAACCCTGAATTTTTCCCAGAGGCTTTGCAGAATTCTGAGGTTACTTCAAGCTCAAATTGTTGCTATGAAGAGAACTCCTCATATGCCACAAATATGCCATTAGCTTTAGATGTAGAAAACAAGCAGTCTAATAGCAATACAGTCACCACTCCAAGTAGCACCACCACCACCAACAACAACACAACCAACAGTAGTAATCTGTCTATTATCTTTGACTCCCCAGATGAAATTGACAATGACATCTCTGCCTCTATAGACTTCTCACTATCACCGGCTTTCAATGTTCCACCATTTCTCCCAGTCACAAACCAGCAAGAACAGTTTGATTTCTCTTCAATGCAACCTCAGGTAGCAGCATGTTCAGTTGTGGAGGGCTTCTCTCAGTATCCCATTGACTCTGTAGCACCTCTTATGGGAGCTCCATTACCATCTGTTTTTGAAGAGGATTGCATATCTTCTGTTCCTTCTTATATGCCTCTGAACCCTTCATCTCCCTCTTGCACTTACCTCAATCCTGGCATGGCAGCATACATGCCTCCTGGGCCCCTTACTACTGCCTTATCAGCTGATAGTTCTAGTTTATTTGGAGGGAGCATTCTTCTTGGTTCTGAACTTCAGACACAAGAACTGGAATACCAGGGAGAAAATAGTAGATTATATTGTACAGATTCAATTCAGCGGGTGTTTAACCCTCCAGACCTTCAGGTATGCACGAATTTCAAACTACTTAGGTAAGTTCTCCTTAATTGCTTTCTCTTAACAGCACAGTCCAAATGAAAAATGTTCAATATACTCAGAAATTAAGAAAAAGAAGAAAAAGGAGAAGTTTTTTTTTTCTTTTTTTATGCTCCAAAGCTTGCTCTTTCAAGTTTCAATCCTGAAAGGTTGCACCAGTTAGTTTCTTAAAAATTAAGAGAGGCTTTATCAGAGATGAAAATTTTGCAAAAGATCATGGCCCACAAATTTCTAAGAAACTTATGTCCCATAGAATATATGCCCATATCCATCAAAACAGAAGCTAGCATATCAATCCCTGATAGTCTTACATTCTCACGTGTAAAAAGTAACATAAAATCTGGGCTAGTAGCAGGAAGGAATCATAACTTTCAACGAAATTTGATAACAAGCATAATCATCATTAGAAAAGACCCACTTCTTGGATGGTTCTTTTTGTACATCCATTTCCAGAACCTCTAGCTAAAGTCAATGATATATAGTTTGTAATAACATGTTTTTCCTTTCTATTGATCAAGAAATAACTGTTATTTTATTTGTAATTTATTTCCTAGGCACTTAGTACTGAGAGTCAGCAACTAGTAGCTGGGGCTGGAAGTTCTGCATCCTTGACACCAGAAATCTCAAACTTGGAGGACTCCACCTTCAAGGTTGGAAAACTTTCTGTTGAGCAAAGGAAAGAAAAGATTCACAGATACATGAAGAAAAGAAATGAAAGAAACTTCAGCAAGAAAATTAAGGTACTCTCAAGCCTGGTTCCCTCCCTCAAAAAAAGCCACATCATCAAACAAAATTGAAATCTTATATATCATGTCATATTATGAACAACTTGTTACTGCATAATTTCAAGTTACAACTAATGTTACACACCAAATATGCAGTATGCATGCCGCAAAACTCTGGCAGATAGCCGACCTCGGGTTAGAGGAAGGTTTGCAAAGAATGATGACTTTGGAGATACCCATAGACCTGCTGGTAGCAATCATGAAGAAGAAGATGATGAAGTAAGATTCTCAGGGCACATTCAATTATTAAAAACACAAGAGGACACTTTTTTATTCATTCAACTTGCTTAAGTCAAAAAATTCCCTATACCTTTAGACATATTTGTTGGCATAATATTTAATCATGCATCCCTAAATTCCCTTGGTATTGGTACTTACAGGTAGTTGTGAAAGATGAAGATGACATGGTTGATTCCTCAGATATATTTGCTCATATCAGTGGGGTGAACTCCTTCAAATGCAACTATTCCATCCAGTCATGGATTTGACTCAATAGTTTGGCTAGTATATATACCTACATTACATTTAGCTTTTGTAGATTTTTGCAAGGCCCTTTTCTCCACCCCAGATATCTCCTGTATATATGGGTTTGATGGACGAGGAAACTGAATAATTGGGGTCCTAATACTATACCAATAAGTGAATGAAGAACAAATAGAAATTAAATCACTGTATACATTTTTGCAGACACTATCTTTTTCATTACTCTTATACTACTACGAATCACAAGTTGTATTAACCCATCCAAAATTTCAGTTGCCTCCACTTGCTAGTGGAGCTCATTTATATAGTTTCTTTTATAATAGTTCTCCAACTAGTTCTTTTTTTTTTTTCCTTCTTTTTTTGAAGAGCCTAAGCCCAAGTTTTAAATATTTCTATGTCCTGTTTGACTGCAACTTATTAATTTAATAATCTGATAAGATTATGTAGAAGGAGAAAGGAGAAAGAAAAAACAAAATATAATGTAATAAATACAAATATATTGAGTAGCGTGGGGATATATTGGGTATCCAATATTGGTATCCTATCCTGTTGAATTCTAACCCAGTTCTCCCCATAGGATAAAAAATCATGTATTAGATAGGATAAAATGAGACAATAAGATAAGCTAATCATATCCTATTGATCCACCAAACAAGAGATAATGTACTCCAAATAGGCCTTTATAGTATCCCTTATAGTGTGTTTTTCTTAAAAAATATTCGATTAATCCCCGATTTGATTAATTAAATGTTTTTAAATGGAGAATTCGGTTTATAAGGATGTAAATCAGAATCATTGTTACACCATTCAATAACTTTTTTTTTATTCCATAATTTCATCCCACAAAGTTCCAATCATATAGATCATATTTATAAAATATTATATTAATATAAAATTATTTATTACTTTATTAGAATATATAAGTTTAACATAATATGTTCGTTTGAAATATATGAAAATAAAAACCGTTTTATTATTTTCTTATTATTGTTATTTTTTAGGTTTAGCACAAACAATTAAGATAACAGATAATTATAATTTGGTGATTGAATTGATAAAAATTACATTTTATATAAAATTATTAAATAATGTAAAAGAAAATAAGTCTTACACTAGTATAAACCTACTCATCTAATTTTAAATAAATACACAAATAATAAACTTTACATAACTGCTAACCCAGTTTAAACTGGCATGCCGCCGATTGACTAATTGAGCAACATATATACACCTCTCTTTTTTTAAGACATTTTTTTTGTATTGAAAATTGACGACTTTTAGAAATAAATAAGGGATACAAATATAGGTTCCAAAAATAAATATTAGAAAAAAAAAACAACTAGAGAAAAAGACTAAATTAAGAATATCTAATTTAATCATGAGAGGGGAAGTGATGTTCTTGACGAGAAAACGAAAGAAGATGTTGAGATATATAGTCTCACATTGATTATGTGGGCAACTAATGTGGCCTTTATAAGGCCTTGAACACTCTCACCCTTTGAGCTAGCTTCTGAGGTGGTGTCTCCCAAGATTCTTTACATGGTATCAGAGCTTGAACCCTCACCGCCTCCCACTTTAAAGAGGAATTAAAATAAAAAGCACAAGAAGATAGAAGGCGTGCAATTCCACGCTTCTAGCCCAAAGGGCTCTTGCGTTAGAAGGCGTGTTGAGATATATAGTCTCACATTGATTATGTGGGCAACTAACGTGGCCTTTATAAGACCTTGAGCATTCTCACTCTTTGAGTTAGCTTTTGGGATGGTGTCTCCCAAAGTTCTTTACAGAAGAAACAATTTGACCCAACAGGATTGCAAAAGCCTTTTTTTGATATGAAATTAGGAGGATCGTACATAGTTTCAAAATTTATACATGTAAGGAGGGTAGGCACCTTCAACTCCAAGGAAGTTTGATATGATCATGGTGTCAACTTATTCTGAAAAAAAAAAAAAATTTGTTGGCCACGAAATATTTTTTATAATATTTTTCTAAAATTCCACACACCCAAATACTAAATTATAATGATATTTTAGAGTTTTTAGTACACGGTATTTTTTATTTTGCCCTCCCTAAATCCTAGAAATGCTGAAGAAAAGAGGGTCTAAGGAGGAAAATTGTCCCTGCTTAGAATTGAATCCGACATGGCTCTAATAGATTATAGGATTCATCTAATTTCTGATGAACTATGTAGAAAAATAAAATAAAATTTTTAACTTATACCTCGAGGGAAAATCGTTTGACACTTAAATCTTTGGGTAAAAAACTATGTTAACATTCCTCCCAAATATTATCATTGGGAAGAATTTAAAGGACTCACCCCAAACAAGATTACTTCCTATTAAGAATACCTATGATTTATCCAAAAAATAAAATAAAAAAACTCTATTAACATTGCAACATCTCGAGTAATGATCCTGGAGAGAGTTTTTGGTGGGGCGAAAGTACAGTGATCCCTTCTCAAAATAGAAAAAAAGTAGGAATTGAGAATAAACAATCAAAAAGAAAAAGATAAGAATGGAAGATATTTTTTTATTTATGAAAATAGATCACTAAATAAATGGTGGGACGGGAGCATCATAAATTTTTTCATGATGCTGGCCTTTGGTTTTTTACTGGGCCTAATATAAGCTATTTAAGAGAGGGTTGATCATGATGCCCAAGCCTGCATAGATATGCGAAACATTCAGAAAACCTTTGTTTTGCGCTCCTGAAATTCACATAGTGAGACTTAGTTGGAAGTTGCGACAAAGCAATCACTATCATAATGAGCCTCTGATATATACATTAATTGCGTTTCAAACTTTATATAATCAATACGTAATTTATTTGAGATTTAATGCTGCTCAAAATATAGTACAATCACTAACAGTGTGTTTGATTGAGATTTTCATAACCAAATTCAAATGATAGGATCGTATTAGAAGGAAGAAGAACATGATAGGAAATATTTTACTAACTCATGACTAGTGATGTCTTTGGTTTGAAATTTGGCCCCTCCACATATCAATATTATATTTACTAGTCTTGGACAATTGCCAAACGGACAAAAAACATATACTTTTATATGAATTTAATAAAAGAAGCCAAGAAGTTAGGTATTTTTTTAAAAACAATGTTTCCAAATTTCAAAATGGTTGTTGGTAAGACGGTTCGGACTGAAATATACAATTTATTTGTCAATCATAATCTAAAAGCAACAATTGCGGACTTATAAAATAAAATACAAATAGAATGCTTCATATTATATTCCAACCACCCTATAAATAAATAAAATTGGCCACACAAGGCTGTGGTGTGGCCACACTTCTTAAGTATACAAACAATGCTTACCTAGATATTCAATGGTGTAGTGCTTTTAAGGTGCGCTCCCATATTAACTCATACATTATAATTAATTTTCACTTCTCCAATTTAAAATCAAATTAGTCCTTATTTTGATATAATTTGGTAAAATTCAAAAGTTCAATATTTTATAATAAAATAAATGGAAAAGAATTAAACCTTAATGTTTTTTCTGCAGTTACTGCTGCAGATAACTAATAAGTCCGATACGACGTTATTTTGGGCGAAAATCATGATGTTTTTGTAATTTTAATTTATTTCAGAAATATTATAGTCTTTATAATTATAATTTGTTAATCTTTCAATCTCAAAATGACGTTATTTTGAAAGTAAATGCAGATAATTTATCAGTATTAACTGCAGAAATATTTTGTGTAAAATTTAATCTACCTCTAAACATTCTTAAAAGTATATGTCCATATCAAGTAATATATGACCTAATTATTGAATCCAATAAAAAAAATAAGCCGATCCTTACAAGCACGCGGAGCCTTAATCTACTCCTAATCACATATATATTTTGTTTAATTTCGTTTTAAATTTAATTATATAATTATAAATAGTAGTAGTGGTAGAGTGACCAGATACACAACTAACTAGAGTTAGGGTACACATGGGTAAACTTTTCAAAGAAACAGCATCTGAGTCTACCTTTAAATTTCTGGCCCAAGAGATTACGAACCGTTTGTTCATGCTTTTCATAAGAAAAAAAGAATATTTTTTAGAAAATTTACGATAATCAGATTGGTTTGACGGAAAAAAAAAAGAACAAGAAAAAATATTTTTGGTACTTTTATTAAAAATTAAAATGATCTTCTAAATTTTTTTTAAAATAATTTTTTTAATTAAATCATAAAATTTGAAAAAAAAATATTTTGAATATTAAAATTGAATCATAAAAAACAAAAAAATTATTTTTTCTCAAAAATTTCCTACCTTTTTGAAAAAACACTCTACAAAATTTCTAAATAAGATGAAAAAGTAATTTTTAAATATAAATGAAGATAAACAAGCAAATTAAGTTATTATTACTTCAAAATCTTTTAATTTAAAGAAACTCAAAAAAAAAAAAAAATTTATTTAGAAGTTTTTCAAGAAATTTTCTCTCCATCTCTTTGGTCTATATCTTAAAAAGTGATGCGTTGTCAAAGATTCACCAAACCCCTGACAATTTCAGTTAACGATCCTCTCTGGGCCCATTCAAGGCTGGCCTCCACAGTAACTCACTAATGACATAATATAGTTCAATTAATTACGGAAATTTTTTTAATTTTATGTGAGATAATTTTTTTTTTCTACACATTCTTCGATAATTATGTTTTTTTTTTTTTTTACTTTTATTTTTCAGGTGATAAAGCCTACAAGTTTATCTCTATTATATCAGATAACTTATCTCTTTTAACATGAGATTAATAAAACACTTATCTAAAATTAGTTTTAAGTTCTATTGCTTAAAAGCAGGTTGTTATTTGTCACGTTCCAAATTTTACAAAATTCTTATGCTTATAATCCCCTTATATTTTTTATTTCTTAATTTTGGATTTTAGCCATTGGTATGGTCATTTTAATTTAGTTTCACTATTAAATTTTTATATTAACAATTTAATAATAACAATAAAAACAGCAAAAAAATAAAAAAAACACAAGAGAAAGTAAGAAACATTGATGCTGGTGTTATTTCAAAACTTTAATAATTATATAGTGAAGTCAGAAGAAAAAGGAGTTCATCTTTGGCAGTAGGTCATAAGATAAAAAGTAAAAACTATAAATTCTATAATTTCGGCTTCTAAAAGCCAATTTATGAAGGAGATTCATTATTACCTCAAACCAAGATAAATAATAAAAAAATTCAGTTGCAACGCCGCTGAAGAAATTAATAAACAAGAGGGATGAATATGAGTATAATAAATGACAGCATTAAATAAACAAACAAACCGAAAAGAAGAAGAAAGAATAAGAATGTGTCACACTGTCATGTCATGTGTGTAACAGTGAAACCGAGCGAGCATCTATGATGGTCTAAGTGTTGGGTCAACAAGCCTGCAAAGGTATATATGTACTTGACCTATTGCCACGTTAACTGCCAAACACCCCCATTTTTCTCTCTCCATCACGTGCCTAAGAAAATATAAAATTTAATAAACTCTTTGTGTCTGAATCAAAATCAGAAATGGAAAAGAAAAAAAAATCAAACGATCATAATTCAGTTATCGTTAGATAATTAAGTAGGTAAACGTGAGAATATATATTCTTATATTCGATCTTTTTAATATTATTTTTTAAAAAAAATTAAAATTTTAGTTCTGAAACTTATGCCGAATCAAAATCGGATTAAGAAAAAAATATTTGTTCCTTTAAATGACACAACTTGTGTCATTTTATTAGAGATAAAAAAATAAAGTTTACACATTTATTTATTTTTTTGGTTCATTCTCTTTCATATGAAACAATTTTATGTCATTTAAAATGACACACATTTTTTTTCGAGTGATCACAAAATAAAAAATGAAAATAATTATCATGCAAAGAAAAAGTGGCTGCACCATTGGAAATAGCAGAAAATGTGCAAGTGGCAGCACCTTTGGCTTTAGTGGAGTCACATACATACATAGCTATCATGCGCACCAGCTCATTAGTCTGTGGATCTTCTCTATCTTCCCTGAATTTCTCTATCCATGTTTGGCCCCAGGAAATGCAGTAACAAGGAAGTGGGTCCTACAGGAACATCCTGATTTTTAGGGGTGAGGTTAAAGTGTGAAAACACAAACACTCTCTCTCTCTCTCCTCAGAGTGCTAAATTTTCAACCATCAAACGTGTCCAACCAAACTCCATGTTCGTGCCTCCTCTATGCCACTGTTGTTTTGGTTTGGTTTAGTTGGTTTTTTGTTTTTGTTTCCCACCCTTTCTTTTTCTCTCTAGAATGTTGTCAAATACAAATACAGTTGCACCCTTGTCTTGAAGGATTACAAAAACATAGTTTTCTTTGGAACCTAGTATTATCATTACCTGTGGTGGTGGTTGTGTGCTGATCTTTGTTTCCCATGTGCTGACTTGGTTTTCTTCACCCCTTTTTTTCGTTTCCTACCGTTTAATCTTTCTCCATTTGGGTTTACTAGCTTTCCTCTTTCCTTTGGTCTTGGGGTTGAAAAGCTCAAATTTTGAGGATTGAAAGAGAGTTGGTGTGTGAAAAATCAGCTACTTCTCTTCAGCTTGTTAATGGGTTTGTGTTGAGGTGCTCTTGGCTCTTCCTGGATCCAGGTTTTTCTGGTAATAGAATTTTTGTTTTATTTATTTATTTATTTTTGGCTTTTGTGTTTGTTTTCTGCCTTTCTTTATTGAATTTGTTTATTTTGTAATTGGAGCACTTTCCGGGTTTCCGTTTGTATGGATTTAGTTCAGTTGATGTCTGTTATAAGGTGTTGATTGACCTTGCTTTCTGGGATTTAAGGTTGTAAGATACGTTATGATTGAGCCTTGCTCTTTTCTTCATCCTCACTTATTTTAAAGTTTTTATATATATATATATAAAAAACTATTTATATCAAATAGTAGGTACTAAAGTGTTGTTTTATTAAACCACCAAAAAAAAGTGTTCTTTTACTATAACTGAGTGAACTATTGGCTAAATTAAATAATGAAATTGTTCGTTCTCTGATTTTCATTATCCAAATAATTTACTCAAATCATTATTCTGCAAATTCTTATTCTTTATCAAGAACATGTCCATTACTCACAAATTTTTTATTTTTGGTACGTTACCCTTTTTTCCTTTTTATGTGTTTTTTTTTTTCAGGTTATTGATCTTATAACTCTTAGTCTTTAATTGAAAGAAGATGACTGTGAGAGAACCCTGAATAGTTTGAAAGAGGTAGAAGATGGAAAATACAGGCTTATTGATTCAAAAAGAGAATCACAGGAAAAAGGATTCATTGCATCGTTTGTGCAATGATAAGGAATTATCAGATGAAGACTCTTCAAAATCACAGTTAAAGAAGTTGATTAAAAGATCAAACTCTCATCGGGCACTAGTTGTAAATGCTATCCAATCTCAAATTAGTAAAGTTTTCTTCAAGGATTTATTCTTTGGACGTGTCCATGGACTAGATAATAGGATTCCAAAGCATATGGTGAGTGTGGACGAGAAATATCTTCGTCGCTGTCTGGAATTTGTGCATAACAGTGCATTAAAAGCAGCTCAATGCAGCATACCTGTAAGCTTAAGAGCCACCAACATGGGGACTTTATCAGAAACCTTGAATACAGCTGAGTTTTTTGGTGGAATGCCATGTGGTTCAGGACAATTTGTCTTTGAATGTCCTATAACCGCCGAGACCGGGAGAGTATTTATAAGTGCTAATGGTGGAGAAGAGTGGACTTTAGGTTCAGTAATGGGGAGCAAGAGTATGATAAATATATTGAATAGTGATCTGCTTCAGCACTTTGGTGCTTCAGATAGAAATGACAATTTGAACAGGATGAACTTTTCTGATGCTAAAGGAATGATATGCTATGATTTTATGGACTCTCCGAGCAGTTTAAGTATCTCTTCATCACATAAATTAGAAAAGGAAACACCATTGGTGCAAAGTCATAAGTATGGCCCCATTTCTGTTCATAAAAGGCTTGCTTCCACTTCTAGCACTGCCTCTACTTGTTCCGATTGGTTGTCTTCGGCTTCTTCTACTCCATCTCAGGGAATGATCCAATGTACATGGAAACGAGGGATTCCTCATTTTGTTTTTTCTGCAGATGATCAGAAGGAGGTCTATGTAGCAAACTTGAGGAAGGTTGATTCGTCAGATGATAAGGCTTTGGACTATGTGTACCAGTTTCACTTGAATAAGGGGGGCCAGAAGAGTCGTCATATTCCTGAGAGTGATTTGCAGCTTGTTGGTAAGATGCATGTATCCACAAGTTTCACCCTTTGCCAGAACAATTGTAGAATAATGGAGAGAGAGTTTACATTATTCAGTAACATTGAAATTTATGACAAAGAAATGTACACATCAGAACATCCTCACAGGAAGAACAAGGGGCTGTCAAAGAAGGTGTCACAAGTTTTCAGAACTAGTCCATCATCAAAACGCAGAACACTCTCAAGGTTTGGTGGATCAAGTTCCATAGAGGAGAGTTGTCCTTGGGATCCACATGCTGTTGGTAGGACCAATTTATTAGAGACTAATAATGTTCCTCCAAATTTTGAGATGGCTGCAATTGTTGTGAAAGACCATCTTCCTTGTAATAGAGCAGACAAAGTAGGTGGCTGGGGTTTAAAATTTCTCCACAAATCTGGATCAAATCAATTCACATTGCCTTCTGAAAGTTGTAATAGAAATAATGGTGATTGCTCAACTAGCATGAGCATTCTAATTCCAGCAGGCCTTCATGGCGGGCCAAGAATCAGAAATGGTGGCCCATCCAGTCTGATAGATAGATGGAGGTCTGGGGGCCACTGTGACTGTGGTGGTTGGGATGAGGGATGTCCTCTGACAGTACTTCAGAGAAGATCTAGTAAAGGAGAGGTTCTGTCTCAAGTTGATACACAAGAGTGCAAGTCAGTTGATTTAGTTACTCAGGTCTGTTTATTTCCCACATTCTATTACTCACCTTTCTATTTAAACAATGTTAGTGATTTCATTTTATCATTGCATGTTAGGCAAAGAGTATGGAACTGTAAAATTTGGTTTTAATTAAAAAAAAAAAAAAGTTTCCCCTGTGTGTGTGTGTTTTTCTCCTCAAAACATCAATTTCTTTTCCTCTTTGATTAACTTCACATTTGATCTCCCTTGCTATATTTATAACGCATACAACAAAAACCACCAAACCTTATCTCACTAGGTAGGGTAAGCTACATGGATATTGGACACTATTGGATTCCACTAGGAACCAAATTTTTAATAAAACCATTTAGCTAAGGTCTTTTTTTAATGGTTTCTCCTATAGTTTTCTTCAATTTTTCTCTACCGTTTAATGATAGAGAATTAACTTTGTTCTTTTCTAGATTTGATGGCCACCAAAGCTTAAATATAATAATTCCATAATCTGTTTAAATCTCTCCTCGTTAAACCCCGACTAGAGAAGGTGGAAAATTCCATAATCTGTTTGTGACATTAAATATATCAGTTCTAGCTATTTCTGCGCCTTATGATCGACCGGAACAACATATATGGATCCCCGAAACCCCTTTTTTCATTACTAATTGAATATCCTTCACTTTTCTATGAAAAATGGAACGAAATGATCTACAGCAATCTTTCTCTCAAGTTTAAGCCATTTTTATTTGTATATTCTAGACATCCATGCATCTGTATTCTTGTAGTTACTTTCTTAAACAAGGACAATTATTTAAGTATGCAATGAGATGACCATACCCATCAAATTTCAGGGTTCAAGCAATTTCAGCTCCACCTTGAGGATGGTCAATGTTCATGACGGTCTATATTTTATTCATTTTCATCCAGCTCTGTCTGCACTACAATCTTTCTCCATTGCTGTGGCAATAATTCATGCGCAAAGTCCTTCTCTTCGGCCCAACAGTGCACAGGAGCTGTCATAACAAAAAGTTAAAAATTGAGGTTATTTAACGGTCACAAGTCCCTTACTGTATTATATAAGCAACTGAAGAGAAGATTTAGGTTTTTATACATGAATCTTTGGGGTTTTTTTATTTTTTTGGTGAGTGAATCGGGGTTTTTGTTCCGATGTTTAAGGTTGTTATTTTCATACTGTAAGATGTTATCTTATTTAGGAGAACTAGCTTTGTTTGTCTTTTCTCACAGTTCGTAGACAAGAACTATTGTAGCCATTTCCTCATTCTTTTTTGTTGAAGAGGATAGAATGTAAAAGGGTTTGTTGAAGAAAATTTGGTAAATTGTAGCATTGAGATTGGGTTTGTTATGGTTGTGGATGAGAAGTGGAATTAGCACTTAATCTGAAGAATAACTATTTGAAGATAGCAATTCAGTAATGTATCATGACTCATGATGCTTTGATACAAAGCATATGTGAGATTTTGTTTCTTCTAATTTCTCTTGACGCATGAATTATGGTAGTTCCCACTTTTCTGATTTTAAACTCTGTGCAGTGTTTACTCATTTTACCAAGATGCTGCATGATCCAATTGCTACCCTTATAGCAGACATGTTCCATGTAGTGGGATCTCTCAATGGCTACTTGTATATTGTGGATAATTTGCATGTTGTGCTGTGTATTCAAACTTGAATTCTGAGCTACAATGCTGATACACCTCCCTTTAAATTAAATGTTCACTATTACATGAATGAACCCATGCACATTTTATCTTGGTCTTACAGCTTTTCTTTTCCAGAAGCTTATCTTTTGATAGGACCAAGCATGGAGAGTTAGCTTCATGGCCATATCAGCAAGGTAAATGCTTGACATCTTCTGTAGAATGTGATGAAGATTACTATGGTAGTCTAATTTTTACTTTCTAACAGGTTGTGATAGAAGTATTATACTTGAAAAAGGGTATTCTGATATATTTTAGAATTGTAAATAATGTGTACAAGGGGTTCTCTATTTATAGAGAATATTTGACCTACTTTTAACCTATAGGCCTTGGCCCAATACAACAAAGGGCTTGGCCCAATACAACAATAAACGACTAAATAAAAACTAAATAATAACTAAATCAATATTATTTACAACACTCCCCCTCAAGCTGAGGAATAGATATTTATCATTCCCAACTTGCTAGTAAGTTCTTGAAATCTGTCTGAAGGAAGCCCCTTTGTTAATAGATCAGCTAATTGACGCCCAGTGGGAATGTATGGAGTGGTAATCAACCAGCTATCAAGTTTCTCTTTGATGAAATGACGGTCGACCTCAATATGTTTAGTCCGATCATGTTGAACTGGATTATGAGCTATACAAATAGCGGACTTATTATCACATAACAGCTTCATAGGTCCCTCACATTTTATTTTGAGATCATCAAGTACAATTTTCAGCCACAGTAACTCACAAATGCCTTGAGCCATAGCTCGAAATTCAGCTTCTGCACTTGATCTGGCAACCACATCTTGTTTCTTACTTCTCCACGTCACCAAGTTACCGCAAAGAAACATGCAATAACCAGTGGTAGAACGACGGTCAGTCATGGATCCAGCATAATCAGCATCTGTGTAGACTTCTAAAGATAGATCGCCATCACGTCGGAATAACAATCCTTTACCAGGAGTACCTTTAAGATACTGAAGAATTCTCTCTACTGCCTGCATGTGTTTTTCCTTTGGATCGTGCATAAACTGACTGACAACACTAACAGCATAAGCTAGGTCTGGTCTAGTATGAGCCAGATATATCAATTTCTCAACTAGCCGTTGATATTGTCCTTTATCAACTTGAGGACTCTCTTCTTCATAGCCCATCTTGTGATTCTGCTCAATAGGAGTATTAGAGGGTTTACACCCGAGCTTTCCTGCTTCTTTGAGAAGATCAAGAACATATTTCCTTTGGCTGATAAAAATTCCTTTGCTTGAATGAGCTACTTCTATCCCTAGGAAATATCTCAGTTTCCCAAGGTCTTTGACTTCGAACTCAGAGGCAAGCCGTGTCTGCAGAATCTGTCTCTCCACAAAATCATTACCTGTGATAATAATATCATCAACATATACAAGGAGCACATTAAGCTTCCTGTTTTGGGAGTGCTTGAAGAAAAGAGTGTGATCTCCTTGACTCTGTCTATATCCTAAGGTCATCATAACCTTAGTAAACCTCCCAAACCAAGCACGAGGTGACTGCTTCAATCCATACAAGACCTTTTTTAATCGACAAACTTTATTTTCCCCCTTCACAGAATCAAAACCAGGCGGGATTTCCATGTAGACTTCTTCTTCTAACTCACCATTGAGGAAAGCATTTTTCACATCAAATTGATTTATACCCTAATTGTAATGGGAAGCAAGGGACAACAAGATTCTCACTGTATTCATTTTTGCAACTGGAGCAAAGGTTTCTTCATAATCAATGCCATAGGTTTGAGTGTAACCTTTGGCGACTAATCGAGCCTTGTATCTCTCAAGAGTGCCATCAGAATTATATTTTAGGGCATAAACCCATCTGCACCCTACTGCTTTCTTTCTGTAACAGCCTCAAACCCTGTAGCATGATATTGTCCGCTTTGCCCTCGGGCTCACGGTTTTGTTTTTTGGGACACCCCACAAAAGGCCTCACACTAGAAGGGGTATCCATACCCTTATAAGGCATGCTTCGTTCCCCTCTCCAACCGATGTGGGACATTACATCCTCCCCCACTGGGAATACAGCGTCCCCGCTGTACACACCGATCCAGGGCCAGGCTCTGATACCAACTTGAAAAAGGGTATTCTGATATATTTTAGAATTGTAAATAATGTGTACAGGGGGTTCTCTATTTATAGAGAATATTGACCTACTTTTAACCTAAAGGCCTTGGCCCAATACAACAAAGGGCTTGACCCAATACAACAATAAACGACTAAATAAAAACTAAATAATAACTAAATCAATATTATTTACAACAATTATAAAAATGGTCTTTGCTTAGTCACCAAGTCAATTAAAAAGAAAAGGAAAAAAATAATGTGATAGATGATCAGATAGATAAAATTGTCAAGTCCTAAAAGTTGGTAAAAATGAGCTCTACCCTTTTTCTTTTTCTTTTCATGTGAATCATATTGCATCCAAAGGTTAGCTTGAAAAGGTAGATTTTATTATGTTGTGGTTGTAGTTGTTGCTTGTTTCTGTGTGTCATGTTTTCACCTTACAGCAATTTGCATCCCCCACTCTGTACCCCTATACCAAAAATAGAAAAAGGGTCAAGGAAAGAAAATTTTTACAATATATGAAAATTGTAAAAAAATTTTTTCTATCCAATCTATATTGAAACCGTTGCTTTTTTTTTTTGATACAATGGTGAGAATTGAGGGTTGAATGTATGACCTCCAATAAATTCCGGCCGGCCCAATCCTAATGGCTAGAAACCGTTGCTCTTTGATTGACTATAAATTTTCTAGAGATGCTATATCATTGACTATAAATTTTCTCTTCTGTAATTATTCTAAGAAATTGATTCACTTCTAGAAATCTTTACCCAACATTAATGAGATTTTCAGTAAGATCACATCAACATGTTTGCCAAAATAGTTATTATATCCGCTTTCTACATTTTTGTTGGAACCTCTTCAATCCTTAGCAGAGGATTTATTATACCCAACAATATGTTTGTCTCATGCAATTAGTTTTGTTTTGAGGATTTATATAATAAAATTGTGATATTGAAAAATCAATTTAACGTGTTATATATTTTAAGATAATTAATCTAATGTGTTTGAAAATTTATTTAAGGATTCGCTTTTTCTGCAGTTACTGCAGATAAGTTATCTGCAATAAGCTCAATACGACGTCGTTTTAGGACAAAAATTATGATATTTTTATAATTTTAATTTATTTCAGAATTATTGTAGTCTTTATAATTATAATTATTTAATTTTTTTAATCCCAAAACAACGTCGTTTTGAGAGTAAATGCAGATAACTTATCTGCAGTAACTGCAGGAATATTTTTCCCTTACTCTTATGGCTTTAATGTTTCTAAAGCGAATGTAGATAAGTTATCTACATTCGCTCTCAAAACGACGTCGTTTTGAGTTGAAAAATTAAAATTTTATAATGAAAAATATTATTATAATTCTGAAATAAATTATAATTACAAAAATACCTTAATTTTCGCCTCAAAACGACGTCATTTTGGGCTCGCTGTAGATAAGTTATCTACATCGACTGTAGAAAAAGCAAACCCTACTTTTATATATGAAATCAGAGTATATTCTTTTTGAAAGTGACTTAATTTTTTAGTCTACTCTCTTATTTTCTATTTTTTATTTTAAAATTGAAAATATAAATTATTTTCAATTAATTATATATATATATATATATATATATATATATATATATATATATATATTCTTTATGATCTTAAATATTCTTTCTTTTGATTTATACTTTTATATTTTACTTAAAATTTAAAATACTTATCAGTGCTAAAGATACTTGCTAATGGAAGATTAATAAGATGCCACGTATATTATTATATCTAATTTTAAAAAATAACGTGTGGTTAAATGTTAAATTAAATTTAATTGAAAAGTTAATATGATGTAATTATAAATACATAATTAATATGATGTCTTGTATTTTATTAAAGAACAAAATAAATATTTATTCTAAAATATAAGACGTGGTTTAAAAGATTGATATTAGATTAGTTTTTTAATTTAATTTTAATCTATTATAAATGAAAAAAAATTATAATATCATCTACATATTGTTAAGAGTTTTAACTATGAAAATGAAATAAAAAAAGGTAGTCTTATTTAAACATTATGCCATCGTGAATTGCAATCCAGCTCATTGCCAACATAGTATAGGATAAGGCTTGATAGTATAAGATCTAATAGTATAAGGCCTGATTGTATAAGACTTGATTGAATTTTAATACTATTTAGCGTTTGACACAGTATTGTATAAAATAATATATTGTATAAGATAATATCACCTAGTATTTGGTAATGGACTGTATAATGCTATATATGATAAAAAAAAATATTTTTAATAAAAATATCCTGTAATAAAAATTTATATAATTCTTCAAAAAATATCATATGATATTAATTTTTATAAATATTTATTAATGAGTACGTCCAAAATATAAATTAATTTTTTATAAAAATAAAAATATTCAATATTTAAAAATTAATATATTGAAAAATTAATTTTTATTTTAATAGATTAATATTAAAATAATATATTAATTTTTGATAATTACATTGGTCAACGATGTTAATACATTAATCTCTTATCAGGCCTTATCCCTTACCCTTAGGCTGGATTAAGTTATACATCATTTTTTTTTTTGTAAATAAAGATGGGCTAAGCCCCAGAAACAGAAAGAAATTACTAATCAAAAACTAACAAGCTAGACATATTTCTAGCATCAGCAACTATAAGTTCCATCAACTGAGGAGAAGGATCTTTAAAAATCTTGAAATGGAGATTATTAGTCTGCCCAGCTTTAGCTAACCAATGAGCACATTTGTTGTTTTCTCTCTTGGTATGAACAAGATGAATAGTCCAATATGCTTTTAACCATAATCTCAATCTGCTAGTGACTTGAGAGTCCCTAAAATCTTCATGCTGCTCCTTTAACATCTGGATGGCTTGGCTAGAATCACATTCTAGCTCTATTCTTTTTAATCCTGTTCCCCAAAGCAGTTCCAAACCTTTCAGTAATCCCCATAATTCTGCATCAAGAGGATTGCATGAACCTAAATTACAATAGAAGCTTCCCAAAAAGGACCCATTGTGATCTCTTAATATACCACCACAACTAGCTTTTTTCATGCCACTAGAAGAAGCTCCATCACAATTCAACTTAACCCACCCTTACTTGGGGGCTGTCCAAACGCTATCGTTGGAATCACCACGGTGCTGATAAATTCGGGCTTGCAGAATCTGTTGGACAAACATCCAAATTGAAGCCTGCGATTGCTCATCATGACAGAAATGATCTTCATGGATCTCCAGATTTCTCCACTTCCACAAAAACCAACAAGTAGTAAAGAAAATGAAGGGATTATGCTGTATAAGCTTATACTATATTGTTGGTTTTGGAGATGAAAAATATAATTGAGAAATGAAGTACTAGTTTATTGATGCATAACAATACAACTTATAAAGAAAAAAAATAAAAAGAAACTGCTCACGACTACATAACTTCCCATCAATAGAAAAGGAAACTGCTCACTTCATAACTACCCATTAAAGCAGAAAAGTAACTGCTCACTACTTAACAACTCATTAAAACAGAAATAAAAACTGACTCCTAAATAATTAAAAATATTGCAGTTTCTTTTGGAGCTGCAAACACCAATATTCTTCCTTAGATTTTCAAATTTGCTTGCAGGTGCACAAATGGCTACATTTCATTTTTGATAAATATTGGACAACAACCTTGTTCCACGAATTGGTGGGTCTGGTGGGTCATCTTCTAACTCTTCTTGCCAATGTTCCACTCCTTGCTCTTTGCTTATTTGGATGAGAAGACTTGATTTCTGCTTACTCATGGATGCCTCTTGTGCTTGTGTCCAGTTCCACTTCTTATCTTCATGAAAATAAACATCTGAGTGGATCAACTGCAGCTTATTGGAGGCTCTCCAACTTGACTTAGGAAATGGATTTCTGTTTTGTTTGCCAAATTGAAAGGCATTACAATTTGGAAAATAATCTGCAAAGGTTGGTAAATCATTTGACAAGGTTGGTAAATCATTTGACAGCTCCTTCTTCTTCATCAACAACATATTTGAGAGGTGACAATGGCCTAGTCTCTTGTGCCAAGTCTTAGTCACATTCTCCTCTGTGGAAACAACAGTTTGCTCCTCCTTGGTTGGTTCAAATGAGAAACTCTTGCCTCTCATTTTTGCTTTGATGATTTCCTTTCCATTCTCATCGTGAATGAGACAAACTCTATTTTCGAAAATCACTTTGAATCCTTTTTCAATCAATTGGCCAACACTCAACAGATTTTGTTGAATTTCGGGTACAAAAAGGACATCAGGAATAAACTTTGTACCTGAGCAACTTGTTATTGCAACAGTCCCCTTTCCTTTGAAAGAAATATAATCACCATTGCCTATTCTGACTTTGGTGATATTGGTTGGCTTTAAATTTTTGAAAAGCTCCCTGTCATTGGTCATATGATTTGAAAATAGACAAATCTTTTGTGTTCTCCAACGAAGCAATAGATGCTTCGTACCTCTCTGGCACTGTTACCAGAATTTTCTCAACAATTCTGGAATCTGCAAAATTACCGCCCAGTAACTTTATTTTGTTGGCAATGCCCAACAATGTGTCTGAGTATTCCTTGATTGTTTCAGACTCTTTCATCCTTTGAATCTCAAATTCCCTCATTAAGTTAAGCACCTGCATGCTTCGAATTCTTTCATCTCCAGCATATTCTGCCTTTAGATAGTCCCAAATTGTTTTTGCCGATTTGAGAGTCATGACCCTAGTAAAGATGGTTGTAGAGATACCAGCAAAAAGGCATGATTTTGCCTTTGCTTTTCGGTTTTTTTTCTCCTTATGATTCTTGATCTGGGCCATGGTGGGATTGTCCGGCAGAGGAAGGACTTCATAATCCTCTTCTACAGCTTCCCAAAGATCAAAAGCCTCTAGGTAAGCCTCCATTTTGACGGCCCAAAGATCATAGTTTTCCCCATTGAAAACTGGAAGAGCTGCTTGGGAAAAACTTGTTTCAGAATCCATTCTACAGGTCCCGTAAGAAAAGGGCTCTGATACCAATTGTTGGTTTTGGAGATGAAAAATATAATTGAGAAATGAAGTACTAGTTTATTGATGCATAACAATACAACTTATAAAGAAAAAAAAGAAAAAAGAAACTGCTCACGACTACATAACTTCCCATCAATAGAAAAGAAAACTGCTCACTTCATAACTACCTATTAAAGCAGAAAAGTAATTGCTCACTACTTAACAACTCATTAAAACAGAAATAAAATCTGACTCCTAAATAATTAAAAATATTGCAGTTTCTAAAGCATGATTTCTAACATATATGATGGTCACACTAAATAACTGAAAATATCATAACGTATAGTATAAGCTTATACTATCATGCCTTATACGTCACACCAAACATGGCCTTAATGATTTAGTAACATATATAATGCACGAGGAAGGTTATATTTATAGACTTTTTGTTTACAAATTACACTATGTCTGACCGATAAAACACTCTTGAGTAGAGTGTTACCGATCAGACATAGTGTAATTTATAAGTTTGTAAAAAAAAAATTGTCAATATAACTCTATTCATAATGCATATAGTATACAAAATTTAATACTGACGAGGAAGTCAAATAAAACTCATAATTATTTTTGGCACATGCATTTTTTAATATTTAATAGTAAAGTGTAAACCATTGAATTATTATTCTCAAAGTAGGTAGAGATTTCTCTTACTATTACTCCAAAATTTACTACAATAAGATTTTAGTGTTTGCGCAGGGCACAAAAGTTTGCGTCATCTCTGATCTGGTTCCATTAATAATTGAAATAATAATAAAACTTTAGAATGTATAAACCCATTCTATAAAATACGTGACTCAATGCATAAACGCATCTGTGAGAAGAGAATGCAAGCATGTTATTTTTGTCATGTTATATGCAAGTTTGTGGCTTTCAGAGGTATCTTATTGGCATAATTGATGTGCCAACCATGGCACATGTGATGGTGCTGCACATGAAGGTTTATAGCAACTGTGTACTATTAGGTCCATGTGACCTGGTCTCAGTCTGGATCTACTGCAAATATAAATGGAATATTTGGGTCCATTTATTTCCCACCATTCTTCATATCTACTTTCATGCTCTTTTTTCTCAAGGTAGAAATGGGGAGTGCACTTTGTTTTATTTTGGGTTTGTTATGCTTTTTGAGTCCTTTAACAGTTGCAGACTGGAACATACTACGTCAGAAGACACATAATGGATTGAAGATCAGCTTGAAGAACTACTGTGAAAGTTGGAGAATGAATGTTGAGCTGCATAATATTAGAGACTTCGAAGTTGTGCCTGAAGAATGCATTGACTACATTGGAAAATATGTCAGGTCAACTCAATACAAAGTGGACTCAGAAAGGGCAACTGAAGAATGCTTGGTTTATCTTAGCACCAGCTGCAATCTGAAGAAAGATGGCAAAGATGCTTGGATTTTTGACATTGATGATACTCTAGTTTCTACAATTCCTTTCTACAAGAATAATCTATACGGGTAACTCAAAATCCACTTTCATGTACTAATCACTGTATGCAAGATAGTTTTCTATTTAGTTGATATTGCTTAACTCCAATATCACTATCACCCTTTCCCTCCACTTGTTATTTTATTATTTATTTTTCTGAAGTTAGAATTCTGATTGATAGGCCTTTTTATTGACAATAGGGGAAAGAAAATTAATGTGACAGCTTTGGAGGAATGGATGAGCAAGGGTAATGCCCCTGCTCTTGACTATTCATTGAGGCTCTTCAGTGACCTTAAATCAAGAGGAATTCAGATCATTTTGATTTCTGCAAGGAGGGAGAATCTAAGATCAGCCACAATTGACAACCTTGTCAGGGTTGGTTATTATGGGTGGACTAGTCTCGTCTTGAGGTTAGTTCAATCAAAATAAAATTCTCTTTATCAGTCACTACTATATTCCCTTTGCTTCTCATTACCTGACTAAATCTTTCTTTCTTTTCTTTTTTCCACCTCTATGCAGGGATCCTGCTAATGAATTGGCATCAGTGGAAAATTTTAAGTCTGAAGTGAGAAAACAATTCATTAGCAATGGTTATCGCATTTGGGGAATTTTAGGTGACCAATATAGCAGCATTGAGGGAGGCCCAAGCGGCATAAGAGCATTTAAACTCCCAAATCCAATGTACTATGTTGCCTAATTTATTATATATTGTAATGTAACTGCGTTACTTATTTCCCATCTTAAACTTCTAATAAGTTGCACGAGTCTTTAAGGAATGAATTCTCCATTTAGCAGCCTTACTCAGCCTAATTTATTATATATTGTAATGTAACTGCGTTACTTATTTTTTAATAGACTAGTAGCATTACTCGGCCTTTATTTTTTGAAGGTTTTCATGCTACACGATTTTTCTTCTTCTTCTGAACATATATTTGAAAACACTGGTAAATCCTCACACTATACAAGTACATCAATCCGAAAAACATCAAGGAATAACATGGGACTAGCAATTGAAGCATACGTTTTTTCAAATGTATTCATCCTTGTGGTTAAAGTATGTATTGACAGTTTCACGCACAGGCTTATATAAAAATTCAAATGCTCAAAAGTCATATGATCCAGTGTTTCTGAGAACTTGTAGAAAGAAGGTCACTTCTGTATTGTGTGAAATCCTTCTGTTTTTACCCATTACATGTGTTAGAAATAAGGGTAATCTCATTTGAACACCTATATCAATACACCTCCACATTTTTCCTAATTGGGAAAACAAGTTGGTGAGCAAATGTACTAGAAGTCTAGAATTTATGTTTTTCTTATCGTATCATCAAAAAATAAGTGGTGTAAGCATCGTGTAACTTTGTGTGTCTAAATATCAATTATCTATTGACAATTGCCATTAGCTCTCATTTGCATTTTCTTTCTAGTGGGTTAAGAGGAGCCAGAATGAGGAGTTGGAAATCATATTAGCACATAACATCACATCAGCTTTGGTCCAAACTGTTATATTATGAAGACTGATCAATCATGGATAGGATCTAAAGGAAGAGCTATCTCTTCTGATACTCTGAGTATTTGTATTTTTTTTGTCCTAACTTCTAAATAACTGATGCTGACTCTGAATATATAGAAGATAAATGAATTGATCCAAAAGTTCCATACCTAAAAGGAAATTTCAACTATTGCGGTACTGTCAAATTGATTTTTGGGTTTGACATTTTGGGCAAAGATAATTTATATGCAGATGATCACTAGTTATCAACTGTTCCCCCGATAGTTGCTATTGATAGTGAAAGGGAAAGTAAGGAAAAAAAAAAAAAAAGGATGTTCATGGCATCGTTCAAGAGATAAACAAAGCATGCGTAACATGATAATTGTGTTGAAATTATCTAATACAAAGATGCTCGTAAATGCCATTCAAGTACTTTCTACATTAGACTCTGTTTCTTATGTGATTACTTACTTTTTACTCCATCCCTTGACATCTAAAAGATACTGAGATGAAGTAGCAAGTCAGATTGACTAAAATGATAAGAACAAATCACAAATTGGTCAGAAGCACAAATCACAGGGTACTACTGTAAAAATGAGAAATATAAATCAACAAATAATTATCATCTTATTTTGTCAGCACTTAGCAACAACAGATTCCCACAGTTGGAAAAACATCCCCTGCACGAATAGAAATAAATTATTTATATTCATCAAACTCACCCACTAAGCCACTAAGTCAAAATGAATAACATTTACCATTGTAAGAACAGGAAGTATAAAAGTTGATCAATTAGCTTCCCCTTTTCATTCTCTCCAAGTCCTACTGAAAGTCTTATACTTATTGAATAGTGGCAGGAACCAATTAAATTATATGTTCAAAGCACCTAAAAGGCATCAGGTCCTTATATCTTCTCAACAATATAGTGAAGGATAGAGTTCACGTATGATATAAATTACAATGCCACTATATCAAGCATCAGCATCTGTTCCTGCTAACTAACTAACTTTCCTTCTTTCTTCTTAATAGAGATTTCACGCTGTTACTGCTATATATGATTGAAGGGCCTCTTCTTGAGATATTAAAATAATTGACTCAGAGGCAGATATTAAAATATGTAATTTCATTTGACATTAGCTTGGCACTATGGGAAAATTAGCCACTGGCCAATGTCAATAGTTCTTTTTCCTCTAAATAATCGTAAGGTCCCATATTCTTCTATAGGCCATTTGCATTAGAGTGTTGCTAACCTGTGGTTGACGGCAATTGTTATTCTACAGTATAGGTGGACAAAGAAATACCTATCAGGAGAACCAATTGACCCTATTATAATGGGAACTGACAGCAGCATTTTGAACACGTTTGTAAGTATGAGGATTGATTTTAAAAGGAAAAGACTATAGGGACTAAAATTTTAATTTAACCTATATATTTCTAATTATCTAAACTGACAAAGAACTAATTGCAAGGAATAATATCAGTTATGCCTGAAGCCCATTCAAAAGGTCAAATCACATAGAATAAAAGGCTAGTCTAAGTTATTCATGTTCTTAGTAGTTAGCTCTTTGTACATGTTTGTGTTTAGTGGTTAGCTCTTAGTGCCTACACACCATTAATTAATCCCTCACAAAATCCAATGTGGAACTTGAAATACCACAAACTATGCAATGTTTGTCAATAAGATGATAATTAAATACTAGATGAGGCAGATTGCCTGCTTAGAATTGCCATCATTAACATGAAAACTATGATGGGCAGAGTTCACATTATTCAACCAAAAAAAAAAAAAAAAACCAATAAGAAGCTTACATCCAAATATACATTTGAGAAAAGCCATAAGGAGAAACTCTAACTTGAGACAGAGAGATTGGCCAGCCCTGTGTAAGCAAGACAAAAAATGAAAGAAATGAATCAGTAAAAAGTAGTTCAGTTTGCATCTCACATAAAAAATGAATTCCAAACATACATGTTTGAAACTAGGAGAAATTTAGCATTGTGATACATAACTGAAAGCCATCAAGTCTAGTTATATGAATATATATCAACTAGGAAGAGGATCAACACAAAAGTAGAAAGTCTTCATATGAAACTCGGTATAAGATTATCTCTACTTTTTCATGTTATACACATGCGTATCATGGTTTCTCCTTCAATGTAATCATTGGCACTGAAGGACCAATACTAAAATTGTGGACAAACAGGTATGGGAAATAGTATAAAGTGAAATAGATGCATAAGACAGTCTCCCAGCCAAAATTAACTGCGAGAACTACATGTGGTTGAGGTAAAATAGCCTGTACAGAAAAAGACAACAGCAGAGAAGGGAATTCCATGGCTTGCATACCATCATCTGAATCTTTTCATACAATACAAGCATACAGAGCGTTGGTGTCAATATTTAAAGATGTCTAAGAACAAGTATTAAGTACAATATGATCATATGTCATTTATCACAAGTCAAAAACAGTCAATATCACTGCAACTGTACTGAGTTTAACAATGAACACATGAAGCACATTCAGCAAGGTTGCCTCTTTAAATTGCATCCTAAACCTCTAAACTGAGCTGTTATTTACAATGTCAGGTATAATGTTAAAGGCAAGAGAATAATAATAAACAACCAAAATCATCATTTTCTAATCATGCCATCTGCTAAGTCAATGACAGAAATCCTAGGTAAACTAATTAACAGAGGAACTACTAACACAGGCTTATCCAGAGAAAGACTGTGACAGGGGACCAACGAATCTCAGCTATTAATTTTACCTTTCTTTTACCCTACAATAAAACTGAAATAACTTTCGGAAGACAAAATCCCTGTCTTACTGAAGTTACATATTTACTCCTCACAATAATCGCATATATTAAAGACAATTTAACTAAATCTGGATAAAATTAATAAATGTAACTTTTCTATGGTGCTTTTTTATCTGAGAAAAGCACAAGGATAGATTCGAATTGCCGTCATATATTTCCTTATTCAATCATATGCTATTACTGATTGAATACACAATACCAGAAAACAATAGCAAGATTGAAAAGAGCTATGAACCATTACTAACTACCACTATATGTCTGAAGATCGTATAACTACCACATGTATATGCACATATAAGAGGTTACTTGCACTTCTTCTAGTAGCTTCTGTCATGTAATTTATCAGACATTCCATTGGCAAATACTTACATTAATTTTTTGGTTACTACTTGTTTCTGCAAACATACACATTAGTTCTTTACTTGTCATTACATCTTTTTTGAATTAGAGATAATGCAAGGTCTTAATCTCATCTATCTTATTCCAGGTTTAAAGGGACAGTCGAACAGGAGACTTATTTCTATGGATGAAGTTAAAAAACACAAAACAGAGGGCCAAATGTGGACTGTCTTAAAAGGCCGTGTTTACAATATATCTTCGTATACGAAGTTTCACCCCGGAGGTACAGCTATCAGCTCAATCTGCAAAACTTTTATGACACTTGGAATCCCATGACACTGATTCACAAATTCAAGCACACACAACAACAATTGTAATTTTAAAAAACAAAATTGAAAAAAATAAAAAACAATTGCATCGAATCAAACTCAACTCAAACTAATACCAGTTGACGTAAAAAAACAATTGCATCAAATCAAACTCAACTCAAACTAATACCAGTTGACGTGAAAGAAATCCAAAAAAACAAAAATTAAAAAATTAAAATAATTCAAATCAAAATATACCGGTTCATACGGAATGTAATCGGCCTTGAGGGATGAGATTGACAGCAGAAGCTTTGTAAGAAGTAACAGATTCAGAAAAAAAAGACAACCGAAACCCTAAATTAACAGATGAGATGACAGCACAACCAGCACAGCACTGGAATAGATTTCGCTATCTCTCAATGGTCTCTAGTCTGTCCGGCCGTGGAGTCTCCTTGAATTGCGCCGGCTGGAGGGGAAGGTCGGTCACCATTTCCATCATCAACAACGTCCATGAAAAAATCCTCCATAATATGAGGCGGAGGCGGAGGAGGAGGTCGCTGATCGAATAATACTTTATCTTCCACGCTTATCTCACATACAATCTGCTCAAATAGGTATTGTACCCTTTGCCATTGTATTATTCGATCTGCGACCTACGACCTACTCTTCCACCTCATCTTACGGGGGATTTTTTCATGACCGTTGTTGACGACGGAAATGGTAACTCACCTTCTCCTCCTCCAGCTGAGGGAATTCACGGAGACTCCACGGCCGGAAGGCCTAGAAACCATCGAGAGGATAGCGAAATCTACTCGAGTGCTGTGCTTGCTGTGGTGTCAACCATGGATGATGCCCCTGAGAAGATACTCGTGGTTGAGGTTGTGTCATGTGTGTGCTTTTATTTATTTATTTACTTTTTTGCGTGCTATGTATGTATGAATCCTCCTCCTCCTCCTCCTCCTGAAACCAGAGATCTCACCTCACCACTTCAGACAAGAGTGAAGAGTCTCAAGACAGTCATTTATTTGGAACTTCGAAGCGAAGGAGGAAGGAGGAAGGAAATATCACTTTTTTCTTTATTTCCAAAAGAGGAAAAGGGGAAGGAAATGCCCAATCAAATGAATGGTTAAGCAAAGTTAGGTTACCGCTATGTTCGGTTCAAAAAAAGGTAATTTGCATTGCTTTATTCCAATGAAAAGAAGAGGAGAATCTTTGTATTTTAAAAAAAAAATATAGTTATGTTATTTTAAATAAAAAATATATAATTCAAAATTTTATTTTTAAAAAAAAAACTCAATTTTTCTTTTATTATTTATATTTTTCTTTCACTTATTAAAATGACATAATTTTATATTTTTTAAAATTATAATATTAAGAGTCCGTTTGAATGGATTTTCTTTTTTTTCAAGAAAAAAAATACTTCTTATTTTAAGTTTGTTTGGATATTTACTTTTTTTAAAAAGCAGAAGTTATAAAAAAAGTCAAAAATTTATTTTTTTTTTAAAATTAAAAATTTTAACTTCTACAAAAAAAGAAGTTAAAAGTCAAATATTTTTTTCAAAAACTAAATATTTTTATAAAAATATAAATAATTTTAACTTTTTAAAAAAATATTTCTAAAATAAAAAAAAATAAAAACTATTTTTTCTATAAACTCAAACAATCGCACACTAAAGCCATGAAAAAGAGGTAATTTGGTGTTCAAATATATCTGTTATCTTTGGGATAGTTCAATTATTTATTTGCACAATATAAAATTCTTACACAAATTCATGTCTTCATGTCTTTCTATAGTGATTAGGGCAACCATTTGTTTGGCCTTGCACTAAATGCACGGTTCTCTATAATTTGTTATTGACCACATTTTTTATATAATTTAACATAGGAAAATAATACTCTCATGCCACATGAGATACTCTCATTTTCCTACAGAAATTCGTTTTTCGTGCCAAATAATTTTTCTTTTCTTTTTTAATATAAAATAAAGGACCCACATTTAACTTCTCTCTACTTTTTTTCTCTCCTACAATCCTACAACATAAGAAAAGCTAAACCCTTTAACATAAGAGTTTGGTGTTTGTCATTTAAGGAGAGAGATAGATACAAAAAAATAAAAATCATAAGAGAGAGAGAAAGTGAGTGATTTTTTTAATTTAAAATTTAAATAAAAAAATTATTTTGTGTGTATCTCTCTCTTAAAATGACATAACTTTATGTTATTTAAAAAAGACAAATATTTTGCTTACCAAAAAAAAATGACAAATATTTTTTCTTTAACATAATTAACTTTTATTAATGTAATTTTTATGGACCTATAACCATTCAATTATAACTGTTCATTACATTATAATCTGTATTAAATCTTACAAAAATTAAGTAATAAAAAATTATAATCAAATGTTTATTATTTTCATATATTTTAAGTACATATCACATTAATATTAATTAATTTAAAACCAATGTAATTTTAATTTATATGATAGAAACATATAATGTAATGTTACCAAAAAAAAAAAAAACTAATGTAATTGTGATTTGCAATATAAAATTCTTCAATAAAAAAAATAATTAAATAGCATGGACATTGAGCACCATGCAATACATAATCTGAAGCTTAATTAATAGTTTAAAAAAGATGTACCAAAAAAAAAAAAAGGCAAAAATGAGTTCATTATAATGAAGTTCAATAAAATGACAGATCTACTAATGAGGTAATTCATGACATTTGAATCCCCAAATTTGCTCTTTACTTTTAGCATGCGAAACTATCACTCACAAATCATAAAAGAAAGCAAAATTGCAATTTCTATTGAAAAATCCAAAATCGTTAGAAAAGGAGTTAAATATGTAGTCAATAAGATTTTATATCCAACAATCCAATTTTGTGAAAACAAACAAAGTAAAAGACGTCTACCATGTGGAAATGGTCGGTTCAGATTCAGACATTAGTATATCAGTACTTTAAAAGTAGGGTTATTCATTTATTACGCAATTAGAGTGTTTACCCTCAGAATGGGTCTTTGTTGTTCGTTTTTTACTTTTCTTTGCGCCTTGGGGCCCAATCCTATAAAAGGCTTGTGAAATGTTTTTACTTTTTAGAATCGTGTAAGTTACGTATTTCATGTCTAGGTGTGGTGTCATATAGTGACAGCCACAATGGCAATTACTATTAGAGATGGAAATAGACTAGGCTGGCCTACAGGGGCCTACGGTCTAATCTATATTAGATCAGATTTGGCCTATTACAAATAGTAAAATAGAACAAGCTTAGACTTTTAAAAAAATCTATTTAGAAAACAGGCCATAGGCCTTTTTGTATATGTTGGGCTATAAGCCTACAGGCCGGCTTATATCATATTATTTATTTTAAATAAAATAATATTTTATTTATTCTTTTAATTTTTGAATGTTTAATAGGCTTAAACAGGCTAACGGGCCTTAGCCCAAGGCTTTTATTTTTTAAATATATGTTAGGGTAAACTTGTAATTTGAAGCCTACACAGGCTAATAGGCTAGGCTAGACACAATGTTTTTTACACAGACTTAACCTATTTAAGTCAAAGCCTAGTCTAGCTAAGCCTATTTACACCCCTCTTTACTACGGTGCACATGGAGAAAACTTATAATACAAATAAGAGATAGAAACAACCAAAACTAAGGATAAGATAAAAGATTTGGGGCCTCGCCGGGCAACTCCTACAAATAGAAAACTATCACAAGATGCGTCAAATGCCACCAAGGCGAGGAGAAGATATCAAAGATTAACACACGAGAAAAAGTTGGAACCCTACAATGATCATTTAGAGCTTCAAAACTGAGACAGATCAAGTAAAACGAACCCAAAGCTACAAGCTTTATCAACAAAATTATAACAAAACAGCAAGAATAAAGCACAAAATTAAAATACGAAAAACACAGAAGAAAAATGCTTTCAAAAACTTGATTATTCAACACCGAACTTAGTACCCACTTTGCTAAACTTGCAGAGACATACTCGATATGCAAACGCTTTGCAGAAGAATAAGTTACCAAGATGAAAATGAATAGAGTAACAAAAGAGAAGTCAGAACACCTTTTCAAACTAGCTCAGCTAAATTTTGATGCTTACATCAGGGAAGGCGGCAGAGATTTTATAGCAATTGAATGTCGTATTCTTCAATCATAGCCTCCCCAAACTAGAACGAGTAGTATTTCTTTGATCATATCTTCTTAAAACTAGAAATCCTATATTCACTAAAGAACCAAATCAAGAAGCTCACGACTAACCAAAGAGATTGATTCAAGTGGTAGATATTTGATTCTGTTTAAGCAAGATCTTGGATTCAAGTCATTATGAATGCAAAAAAAAAAAAAAAAGGGAAACCTAGTCCTATCATGATGTAAATGTTCCTGGCTCGAAAAGAATTATCTCTCATGGAGGATACATGTGATTTATCCAAAAAAAAAAAAAAAAAAACTCACAATTATACAAAAGAATTTTGACTAAGAACTCCCACAATGGTGTTTCAGTTAGGTGTCCACCCATTACTAGGGTGTACGCCAGGAAGAAAGGGCCACATAGCAGGGAATCATATCTCAGAGGTTTCAGTTGCAAGAAGGGAAATGAGTATGGGATAGAAGGAGAGAGAAAGTGAGGAGGGCTAAGACTTCCTCGAAGTGACTGCATTATCCGTGGTTTTCCAATTGTGTGTACTAGTTTATGATCTAGGGAGGGAGTAAGAGAGAAGTCTCCATGTACGGACCAACAGCAGCAACGGATATCATATCAATATCAGTAACAGGTGAGGGATTTCACCTTTTCAGTAGAAAATTCAATAAAACAGTACCTGATTCCAGTATTCTATCAGTTTTCAAAAAAATAAAAAATAAAAGATTGCAATTCTCTAAAACTAACACCAATGGAATAGTTTATTTTCGTTTTCAAGCTTGGAAGAACAGAGCATCATAGAATGATAAAGAGAATACTCCTCAAGAGAATCAACTTCAAAAGTTTATACTATGTGAATTCCATGTATTCACCAATGATGTACAGTGTCCTTTCTATTAAGCTTTGTCTACTAGCCAATGTGAATAAGATCTGAAGCTCATTCACACTCAAAAAGAGCTGTCGGTGTCTTCTAGCTTGCAATAGTAGCTCTTCATTAACAGTACTTTGGGTGGAGAAAGAACTATCTTCTTCATTGGGACTTGGTTGTTAAGAATCTAGAAACAGTGCAATTTTCACTAAATTATTAATAGTTATAGTGGTTCTGAACTTCCGAGGGGTTAAGATAAAGAAGTGCATGTTTGTAAACCATGAAGAGGTTGACATGTTATTGTTTTATATTGATTTTTATAAAAACTTTATGGAGGTAAAATTAATTTACCCATTTTAAATGTTCCACCATCCTCCACAAAGCTTCCAAACTTCACAGGCTTGCAATTCTCATGCACAAATAAGGCAACAAAAGAAAGAAGTATTTAGATCTCATGTTAGTGGAATGCTAAATGAACTAGAACCACCAGTTGACCAAACCCCATTTGCATTTCCATAGAGTTTATAACAAATCTTGATTCTGGAGCTAAAATGATGCGAGAAAACATTAACCATAATCACAAACACATTTAACAGGATGAATGCAAGGTAGCTGCTAAGAAGATTGAGAAGAGAGTTTGAGGCATTCACTCTGGCACCTCCTAAGGCAAATGTCATTCCAATTAGGCACTTGATGTTGGTTAACACAAACAGTGCGGGCACAGGCATCAGCACATGCATCAAGATCAGATACACCACATACAGTGACGCAGGTATCAGGAATGGGATCTTTGGAGAATGATCCAACCTTTTTCAACATCCTCTTTGATGTACAAACCCTTTCACAGACAAAAATCTCATCAGAACTCCTTTCCCTTCCCCTTGCACTCTTCAACCTCTGCTCCTCTGCACGCCTTTTCTTCACTCTAAAAGCTTGTCCTGCAACAACCACAGGGATTGCAGCTCCCAAAAGGGACCACCAAATTTCCCCCATTTCTCTAATACACAACTTCAGATGCTTCCTTCTTCTTAATTCATATGCTCCACACTCTTAACAAAACAAAGGACAAGTAATTAAATTTCTAGTTTGAGTTTTTAATCAAGATTATCTACAATAGATATACAAGATAAATCCAGTTACCAAAATCTTTGACTAAAATCAAATTTCTCGAATTTACAGAACTCAAGTCCACCAATTATTCACAATCGATATCTCCAATTAACAACATACGAATGAGGCATTGAAGAATTTTGTCTAAGCTAATTGAAGAAGGAATGAAGTGTTACCTGCGGCGGAGAGAGAGAGCGGCGCAGCCAGTCGCTGTGTGCTTCTGCGTTCGACAAACGTAAAACCCTCAACCATGCCAACAACCACTCAGAGGTATTTAAACTTTCGTTTTTTTGAAAAAAAATAAATAAATTTGAAGAGTTGTTAACTTCCGAAAAATATTTATCCTTTTACAGTGCAATCATTTTACTTGAAATTAATATTTTTTATTTAATATTTAATGAGAAAAGTATTTGTTATTTTAAATGACATAAAGTTATGTCATTTTAAGAGAGAGATAGACACATAATAATTTTTTTATTTACAATTTAAATTTAAAAAATCAACCACTTACTTTCTCATGATTTTCATTCCTTGTGTCTATTTCTCTCTTAAAATGACATAAATTGTGTCATTTAAAATGATAAACATCAAACATTTATTTAAATTAAAAAATATCTTCGGAAAATAGATCTTCTTATATTAAAATTAAAATTTCACATGATCAGAAAATGTGAAATTTTTGTATTTATTTTATTCTTTATTAATGATAATTAGACCTCACTTATTTCTCATATTTTAAATGAAATCATTCAATATGAGAAATCATAATTATACAAAGGTTTGAAATAAATATAAATTATTAAACATGAGAAATCATAACCATACAAAGATAGAAATAAATATAATCGTTGGATCAACGTAATCAATCTAACGGTGAAATTGATTGGTAGTAACACTACTTGATTGTTACAATATTCTATCCTTTTTTTCATACAATAATTTAAGGGAAAAGTATTTCTCCAGTCACCGGAGATAAAGTTATTTTCAGTAAACTCAAAACGACGTCATTTTGGGGTTCTAAAATTAAAAAATTATAATGATAAAGACTAATATAATCCTACAATATATTATAATTACAAAAATTTCTTGATTTTTGTCCCAAAATGATGTTATTTTGGACTCCTCAAAAATAACTTATTTACATTGATCGGAGAAATCATTTACCCATAGTTTAAATCTATAATCCCATGTAAACTACCCTAAGGACATGAGATGAACACAAAACCCAATAAAAGCAACAAAATGTATTCTTAGCACAAATCAACAAAATCCACCCAGAGAATGCGTTGCATAAGTCCATTTTCCATTACAAGACCAATTCCATGTACAAGGAATACTAAGACTTAACAAGGACATTTCACAAAAGCAAAGATGCTGCAACTAGTAATTTAAATCCTCCCTCCTCGAAGGCTTCTTTCTCCAAGAAGGAGCTCCCTAACTTTTCTTCTGTTTTTTTCTGAATTATTTCAGAAATCAGTGGTAGATCCAGGAAATTATATGATAGAGGACGAAAATTTATATTACTATTATAAAAAAAAGTGTCAATTTTGATTGGAATGATCACACTAAAGTTGCAAAAATGTCTGCTAAGGAATAACCTAATAACATTATAAAATTATTTTAGACAAAAAAAAATTTTGCTATAATTTTCATAAAATGTATCATAATTTTTTGATTTTGGTGACAGTGGTCTAATACACCATCTATTTCAACGACGAGCTAGCCTTAGGGCCGTGGACAATGTGGCTGGAGGAGATTGTATGGGGATTGCTCCAAGATATCTACCAAATAAAAAAATTCATTATTTAATTTATTTGAGTTATCTATATTTCAATTTTCTTAGTATAACTTAAGGAAAACATACTAAGTTATTGGGCTCCATATCATATTAATCCAAATAATCATGATCTTACAAAAAAATATTCTATGTCAAAAAGGTTCTAAGTTGAAAAAAATAGAAACTAAGCTAAGATATTTAATATGATTCTTTCAGGAAGGGGATCCATAAGTATTATTCTATTACAATTTTACAATTTCTATTTACACACATTAGACACAAGCAAGAAGGAATCGGACTCTAGGAAAAGATAAAAAATTCTTCCTAGAATCCCACTTTCCCCATTTCTATTCTTTTCCCATTCCTATTTCTGAAGTGTTTCTTTATATTCTCTGTCTATTTTTTTATGTTTAGTACCAAGTACAAAGAATTTTCTGAATAGGGGGTAAAAAAAAGACTAAAAAGAAGCAAAGATCTTTTTAAGATTTTTGTATTATATAGAATACAGAATAGAATTACATAATTGATCAAAACTAAAATTTATTTCTTTTTACGAGCTTAATATGTTGATAAATGTGCGGACCTAGAAATTCATTTCGGACAGTTGAACCTTTTCAAATTTGTTGTCGTAGCATTATAAACATTATTATTACTCTTGTTCCTGTCGGGATAAATCTGACCCCTCCCTCTGTTACCGCTACGCATATAGGATATTTTAAGAAGTGAACATCTCTATTCGTAATGGGATCTGGGGAAAGAATAAGAAAGGTGATATTTCTGACTAGGAACAGGGCCTACCACAAGAATATTTTCTTTTGTAGGACGATAGCTTTGAAAAAACAGATTACCTATCTTTTCTTTTATTTCAGGCGAAATACGATCGGGAGGGGCCAATCCAAAACCCCCCGGTAAAATAAGAACAGCCCCCACATTCACAGTACCTTTTTTACCATTAGAAAGAACTTGATTCACTTGCACATCATAAGAAATTCTAATAACTGCTTCAAATACACTATCAGGAAATACCGTTTGTGGAACCTCAATGTCCACGGGCTTATTAGCTAAATGGCAATTAGCGCATACAATACGACCGGTTTCTTCTCGCGGATTTTCATAACCCTGCTGTGCAAAAATAGGATATGCACTTGAAATGGGTGCTTGAGTTATTATATATATCATGAGCAATATAGAAATAGATCGAGTAATCTCTTCCTTTATCCAAGAAAATGCATTTCTAGTTTGCATGGTCCAATCCATTGATCCTATAAATTCCTACAATAAGATTCAGTAGATGGGTGGTATAGTTCCCTATCCACGATTCTGCTATTTAGTGGAATAATTTTCCTAGAATTTAGAAAGAATCCCTTGAGTGGGTAGAAAGAAAGAAAAAAAGTCAATTTTTGAATGTTTAGAACTTTTGTAAAAAATAAAAAACTTTAGAATTTCACCAATGAATTGTTTTTCAGCCATTCATTGAATGATAAATCACTACAAGTGAGGGAGATATGTGATTTAAATAACAAAAAATCCAATATTTAACAATGGTATCTAAAATTACCGGAAAAGTAGAAACAATACCCGATATAATTTGACCATTCTGAACAAATCCAAAATCTTGATAGACAGAACCAATCATTAGTTCCCAACTGTGGGTTGAATGGAATCCTATACATAAATCGGTTAATAAAAGAATAGAAAAAGCTTGTATTGTGTCACTTAAGTTATATAGGAATTCTTGAACCCAAGAATTCAGAATAATTAGTTCTTGATTACCTGGAATAGAATAACCACTTAGAATAACAAAATAGATTATATTTGTTGAGAAGTGCAAAAAAGTATGAATATGCTCTTCGTTGTGGTTCTTGATCAATTGGATTGTTTCTTTGTAAATTTCGGTACAGAGGTTTTGTAGACGTGTTTTCGGGTATTCCTTTAGCATTTCATCCAATAGAAACAGTTCCTTGAATTCTATGAAATTTTTTAGAATACTCTTTTCTTGAATCTGATTCAAGAAAATTTCAAATTGCCTAATATTACACCATTATACCAGGTTACAATCCAAGATTCCAGACTTTTCGTAAATATAAAAGAGATGCACCAGGGCAAAAAGATAGATATAATATATAGAAGGGGAATCAATGCTTTCTTTTTTGCCATTTTTCATCTTTAATGAACTCAGCTTCACCTCATTCGTTTCGTCAAACCCTATATGATAATAATCTTTAATTTAGAAAGAAAACAGAAACCTAATAAAATAAGAAAGCGAAAGAATCCACTGCCAATTCGAATGAACAAAAAAAGAACCTTTCATCACTTCATAATTTCCCACTTATGTGTTTCTATAATTTAAAAAATCTATAATTTACCAAAACATACAGAACATTGTAACATAAAGAGGTTACATCTTTGATTCTGTCGACTTGGATGGTGGAGTTTTAAGGGTGGAGTCCACAACACAAGATTCTTTTCAATAATTTTTTTCTATAAAAAATAAAAGAGTACTCATACTCATGTACTCATATCCAGTAGTCAGTGAATTAAAATAAGTTTAATCCTAATTTATTAAGATCCATGCTCATTATTGAGATGCAATGCCGTCGACATGTGTTTAATAAAATTTATGGGAGATTAAAAAATAAGTGAAAAGTCCTATTTAATTTCAAAATTAGAAGATTCAATTGTTGATGATTTCCTTAAATATGTGAACGAAGACATTGATTTATACGAAGTAGAGGAGTTTGAATGCAGGATTATTTTTTCGAAAATTCATGGAAAGTAAATACAGCACGACAAAAAGAAACAAGGGTGAGCGGAGGTCATTTTAGGCAACCATGAACCATGTACACAGTCATTCTCTTTATAATAATTTTGCCAGAAATATTCTAATTTTTTAATTTTTTTAATAATATAATATATTTATGATATATTGTTCCTTAAAGATATATTTTGATATCATGATTTGTAACACTAATTTTCAAAGTAATAGGATTGATGTTATTTTAACAAATCATAAATATTTATTTAATTTAAAATATAACATTAAATTAAATTAATAAAAAAAGTACAAATTATATATATATATGTATATGAAATTTTCATGTGATCTTTATGAACATTTTCATGTAATCTTTATGAACATTGTTTCATGTGTTATTAATGAAAATATTATTCATGTGATTTTTGTGAATAAAGAATTCAGAAAAATATTTCTGTAGTTACTACAGATAAGTTATTTGCATTTATTTTCAAAACAACGTCGTTTTGGGATTGAAAGATTAAAAATTATAATTATAAAGACTATAATAACTCTGAAATAAATTAAGATTACAAAAATATCATGATTTTTGTCAAAACGACATCGTATTGGGCTTACTACAGATAACGTACTTGCAGTGACCGCAGAAAAAGCGAATCCTAAAAGTTTTTACCTCTTATATTTTCAATTTGGTTTGCGCCTATAAACTTTAGTTTGCAACTTGTGTTAGCCATTTTATTTTTTCATAATAGGGCAGGCCAATAAAAAGCCTTTAAGTAATTGCCAGTATAGATTCTAAATGTTTTATATATAAATTTAGGTTATTAAAGTCAAAATTTAGTCTAACCTGACTCATTTACACCCCTAGTCCCTACAGGCCGTAGCAACCCGTCGAGCACGTCCGGCTCCTTTAATTTTACGTTAAAAGTTTTTAAACAAAGTATAAACTAAAACCAATTTAATTGTATAATAATTAACAATAAATATTTCTCAATTACACGTAATTTTCTTAAAATTTTACAAATTTAAGAATATTATATTTGTTGTTAATAACAATAATTTGAAGATTAATTTTTTTCATTTCCTAATTTGTCGAATAGAAAATACTCTAGACGAAATTGAATTTCGAACAAGAAAAAAATCTATCGTTAAATTATTTTTGTTATTAATAAATTTAACATTTTTTAAGTTAAAATTTTTCTGAAAAAACATAACAACAAAAATAAAATTAATTTTGTTTTTAAATATTATTTAAATCAATCAATTTAATATAAATTTTAAATTTAATAATAATTCCTATTTTTTGACAAAATATTAATATCATTTTAATATTAGTTTGTTAAAATTATAAAAATAATTATTAATAATAAATTTAATATTTTTAATTTGTAAAATTTCGAAAGATCATCGAATAAATTAGAATTATTTATTCACTGAATTTGATGTTAATTTATAATTTATGTACAAAATAATTATTTATATATGAATATTTTTTTCTCGTAAATTAGGAGAAAAATTACAAATTATTATTGTTTAAAAATAAATTTAAAATTTTTAAATTTGTAAAAATCTAAAAAATTATCAAAGAAAATAAAATACTTATAGTTAATTACTTAACTCGATCAATTTGATGTTAATTTTTAATTTAATAATAATAATTTAATATGATTAGTATAGAGTTGGAGAATAAAGATGAAAGAAGAGGAATTTAATATAATTTAATTAATATAGAGTGGGAGAATAAAGATGAAAGAAGAGGAATTTAATATAATTTAATAACATTTTCAACCAAAAAATATATATAATTTAATAACATTACACTAACATATGCAAGACAGTCACATATTGCAATATTGAAACACTTATTAGATTGGGTCAATCTCAGACCTCAAGGTAAAGTTATTTTTGGTTACATTACACCACTGACATCTCTCTCAGTCTCATAGTAAACAACACCATAGATTCTCAATACCATACACACAAATAATTCAATTCAACCCATCTTGGGGTCACCACCACCAGCCTGCACTTTAGCACAGTATTCAAATAAGCTCCCATCATAGCATCTTCTCACAGCTTCTTTAGATAAGAAACCTTCCTCATCCCTAGCAAGAATGTACAGAATCCCCCATTCCAATTTAGCTGCAGTCCTGCAAACACATATTCCACGCACACACATATATGTGAGAAAAAAAAAATTATTTATTGCAATTTAATTAAATAATTAAACATTTATTACAGTTTTGGAAATAATTACGGATTTATTGCACAATGTGACGCCTCATTTAGGCGTCTCTCACCAAGGGAAGACGCCCCATTGGGGCGTCTCTCATGAGGTGTTGACACGTGTCATTTTTCTCTCCAAAAAAAATAATAATTTAATCATAAAACTTCTGAAGGTCATAACTTTTGACTCGAGTATCCAATTCAGGTAATTCTTTTTTTGATTCCACATAACTTTTCGAGATCTACGCAATGACATCTCATTTGATATATTTTATTTCTCACAAAAATAATTTAAATTTGTGAGAATGGTATTATAAAAGCGTTTAAATCCACAAGCCTCTGAGTACTAGATTTGTGATTTAATATTAAAAAATAATCCAATTCAGGTAATTTTTTTTGATTCCACATAACTTTTCGAGATCTACGCAATGACATCTCATTTGATATATTTTATTTCTCACAAACATAATTTAAATTTGCAAGAATGGTATTATAAGAGCGTTTAAATCCACAAGCCTCTGAGTACTAGATTTGTGATTTAATATAAAAAAATAAAGATTTAGTTTGTGATTTAAATTTAAAAAAAAATCACATTTTTTTAATTTTTAATATAAAAAATAAATAAAGTTTTGGTTTGTGATTTAAATTTAAAAAAATCTAAAAAATTATCGTTAATAAGGAAAACAAAATAAAGATTTGATTTGTGACTTAAACTCAAAAATCACAAATCTAGTACTCATGAGCTATTATAAATCTCTAAGTAAGAAGGATTTTATTTTATTTTATGTTTATTTTTTTGAAAAATCTGTATAATAAAAAAATAATTAAATAAATATTATAAATCTCTAAGTAAGAAGTATTTTATCTTTGAAAACCATTCAGAAGCTATAATTTAAATGGCTTTAAAGAAAAAAGTCATAAAACAGAAGGATGTAACTTATGATACCGTATGATTCAAGATACGAAAAATCAACCAAACGATACACAATACGAATTTCTGTTCAATAACATTGTACACTATTTTTTTCAAACACTTGGTTTTGGTGTGTTTGGTGTTGATTCGGAAAGAACTAAGAGACTTTTAGGTTTAAACGCTCGTATAGTACGATTCTTGCAAATTTGAATTATGTTTGTGAGAAATAAAATATATCAAATGAGATGTCATTACGTAGATCTCGAAAAATTAAGTTATGGCCTTTAGAAGTTTTATGATTAAATTATTATTTTTTTTGGAGAGAGAAATGACACGTGTCAATACCTCATGAGAGAGGCCCAATTGGGGCGTCTTCCATTGGGGCGTCTTCCCTATGGTGAGAGACGCCTAAATGAGGCATCACATGTGACGCCCGTTTTCGGGCGTCACATTGTGCAATAGATCTGTAAATACTTCCCAAACTGCAATAAATGCGTAATTATTTAATTAAATTAAAATAAATAAATTTTTTTGCCATATATGTCATGTTAGAACATAATTGGATAAATTAATCAACACATTATACAATAAAGTAACTTGAGAATCCAGAAAATCACCAGCCAAATGGGTCAAATGCATTTCGGTTTCCCTCAGTCATGTCCCAGATCTCTCCAAGTGTGAGCTTGTCTTGTGCTGTACGAGCATACTTGCTAAAGATGTTCTCAAGATTTGCTGGTACATAACTGTGGTTTCATTTCATTAAAGACAAATGTGTAAGGGGTTCATGGTCAAAATAGTTACCTGAATAATTTGGTGTAATACATGGATTACTTAAATAATTATTAGCATCACTTACCGCCCTTCTGTGTCATAAACTCCAGAGTCACTCCCATGCTTTACTTTGTGTATGTTGCGTATGTAGATAGGAAAGAGAAGAGAGGGAAACCAACTCTGTACAATTACAAAACTAGGTTTTTTCACACATACAAGAATTAATTTTATCTTAGGGAATGTGAGATGCCTTCAAATGAAGACTTGCAGTGACCCACCAACTAATGTTACATACAGGGGAAAGATAATTAAAAAGGCCAGTGTAGAGAATTGATCTTTTTATCAATTAGATTATATCTTGAATACATGTGTATTTATTATATCTTGAACAACAGAAAAAACTTTTTAACAACATAACCAACCCTGAAAAATCCAATTGAAAAAATACAACAAAGACACACACACATATATATATATATATATGCTATCTGCCAATTTTCCTAGTTCCCAATTTCCAGTATGGTTTTGTCACCAACTGCCTCCGGGAGCATAGGATTGGATTATGCTTTTCCAAGGTGCTGGTGCAATTAATTTAAAGAGTAAATTGTGGTAGCATAGTATAATATCTGTTAATTCTCATGTATTGGATTTCAATCAACAAGCTCAAAACTGCACGAATTCTTAATATTTTTCATAACTAAGAGATCTTTAGAATGTAAAATATGGTTAAGGAGAATGACTCACAGGCTGAGTGGGATAACTCATTGCAATATGAACAACAGCAGCCATAATAACAGATGCAATGACATTAAATCCAACAGCACGCAGCCCTGAAAACTTCTTAAGATCAGGAGTCATATCTTTGTGAAGAACTTTGCATAAGATAATTAAGAGTGAAGACCCGTTGTAATCAAAAGTCTTACCCGTGTAAGTTTCCCAAGGGTAAACAATTCCATTATCATCTTGGTCAAAAAAAGCACAATGCTGCTGAAGAACAGTCAAGTTGTAGTGCCTATGGCCTGGTGTTCCAACTGGGTGGCTTGTATCAGGAGCTTTCAATGCTCTGGGCATGTCTAAGCACATGTCACATAAAAAATAAAAAATAAAAGTGGTTTAGTTACACAATAAGAGGAAATTTAAATCCATAAATTTTTAAAACAACCCATTTGGTAAAAGGTCATTTTTCTACTTTGTATGCTCTTGTTCATTTGGTAATGAAATTGTTTCCTAAAGGGAGAGAAGCTTAAACGGGATATTAGTCATTATATAAGGGAATTTGCACAGAAACATATATTATTATTAGAATTAGCACAAAATCAGTAAGATAGTATAGCGTGGCCTTCTGTTTTTATCTCTCACTCTCTATTGTGATTAAAACTTTCACCTCATTTGAGGTAATGGAATTCAAAGAAGTTTTTAAACGACTGAAACTTACATGGCTTTTGAAGAACAGTTTCCAAGTCGTTTCTGACTCTTCTCTGAGAAGTAACGGGTGCATTATGAGCCTCAGTTATCAATGACTCCATCTCCAACTCTGCAGCCATTTTGATATGTTTCTCTTTCTCACTTCACTTTGATATCTTCTCCAACCTTTTCAACTCACCCTGCTTTTGTAGAGAAGCAGCATTGCTTAGAAACAAAAAACAAGCATAATCGGTGGGTGTGAATACGAGCATAGAAGCAGAGAGAGAGAGAGAGAAATAGATGGACACAGTAGCAAGAGCCAGCAAAGGTCCCCAAGTTACGTGGCATACATGCACAATTTTGTAGTGCATATTGTGTCATGCTAGGGAGTGATGCACGTAATTGTTTCGTCGGTTCCTTGTCCTCTGCGGATATCTTTCTCGTTGTCCTAGCATCCCATGTATTCAATTTACCAAGGATCTATATTTTCTTTGTCTAACATTATTGATTGAATTGGATTGGAATGCACGGTTTGAACAATTGTATTTTTATGAATATTTTCCTAGATGCTATGTTGTTGTGTATGATTTTTTTTTATTTTTTTTTTGTACAATTTGATGAGATATTTTAAACAATTGTATGATTAAAACTAGTTATGCATGAGAGCTCAAGGCAGAGACGGACCTAGAGCCGGCTCTCGCCCCCTAAAATTTGATAAGAAAAAATTATATATATAAATGGTATTTTAATAATATTACAAAATATGTGTGAGTGGGTAAACTACTGACATGCGTGAGCGTGAAGAGGAAGCACAAAACCTCAATGGCTCAAATCAAACTTCTGAAAATTGTTCAACTTGCAATTGCGAGATAAGACAACTGAAGAGGAAGCACAAGCATTTTCATTGAAGGGGAGCGTGGGACTCAATCTTGAAACACTCTTCAAGTACCTCTTCACTCTTCAGTAGTAATCTTCCCCAACTATTTTACATAGAAAAGCAAATGATGGGAAAAAAAAATTTCTAGCCATATTTTTATTTCACCTCCTACGAAACATAGGCAAATAATTTTCTAACCCCATTTTCTTAGGAAATTTTTTTTTCACCTCCTACCAAACACGTGATTAGATTAAAAAATTGTAGTGTGTTCTTCTAAATTATTTTTAATCTCTTTAAATTTTCAACAATTTTAGCTATAAAAAGAATGAAAGGACATATATAACTTTGTGGGTATCTAATTTATTGATAATGGATAACATTATTTATTTATGGGTTCGTCTCTTCTGCAGCAATATCATATGATTTTTTTTGTAGCAAATATATTTACACATGCAAATTCTGACATTTAAAAAGAAAGAAAAAAGTTAGGATTCACATGCGTAAAATAAAATCAATAACAAGCTTCGAAATAAAATAGAAGACCAATTTCTTGATGATTCTTTGATTGCATACATTAAAAAAGAAATTATTTTAAGTTTTAACACGGATTCAATTATATATGAGTTTAACAATAAGAAAATACGTAAAATAAGAGTCAAATGAAGTGATATTAATCTCTGTAATAGATTTCTTTTAATTTTTTTTATATTAGATCTGTATTATATTTCAAATAGTTTTATTTATAATATAATATTTTTTATTTTCGCCCCCCGTAATTAAAATTTCTGCGTCCGTCACTGGCTGAAGGTAGGGTGAGAGCATATATTCGATCCTCCCCAATATCATCTCTGAGTTTAAAGTCTTAATCCAGAACCCGCCCCAAACAGGATTGCCTTCCGTGAAGAATACATGTGGTTTATAAAAAAAATAATCATATAATCAAAAACTCAATATCTTATTACGATGTAATTTTTCATGAATTTTATACTAAGCTTATGATAAACTTTGATTTTTGGTTAACCCAGTTCCAACTTTTCGATATATTTCTTGTTGAAAATATCCTTGATCTCATTGATAACAAGTGAGAACAAATAATTTAATTGGGATAGTTATTGAACCATACCACATAGTTCTAGTAACAACAAAAGCTGTAAAAAGATTATTTTAATAATTTTATGGATAAGATATTTTAATTATCTTTTTTCATACATATTCTACCTACTCATTTCCATCATTGTTAGATTAGAATCTCAATAATTAACTTTCTCTTTTTTTCTCTTTTCTTGAGATTCTAATCCAATGGTATTGAAAATAAGTAGATAGAATTGTAGATATAATAATGTATTTCTAGTTTTATGTTAAATTTCTCTAGACAGAAAAAGAGTGTTAGGCTTAATTGATGAATAATATAAAATCTCACCTATTTATATTAACAAAATTTTGTGTGTGTTATTTTTATTTATTTATTAAATTTGGTCAAGTAATTATAAAAACATGTATTGAGGTGTAAGCTACAACACACTGTTTTTCTTTTCTTTTTTTGAAATATTTCAATCGATTCATCCCTTCGCGACTAGTCTAATTCGGGGCGGATCTAGGATTAATGTTTTAAACTCCTCTCAAATGTGATACTGGAGAGGATCAACACATTCAAGAAAAATAGTGTGTGCTACACACTGTTTTTCTTTTTTCTTTTTTTTTTCGTGAACACAATGGTCTCATTAACTGGGAGATATTGTATAAGTTGGATTTCTTGTATTAAAATACATGATAGAAACCTTAGAAGTCAAGATATATAACAATCTTCTCGGAATTATTTTTTTTTAATTTCTATTCCCGGGAACAGAAATGGATAGAAAACTCGTTTGGTAAGACCGGTTTATTTTTTTGTTCTCGGAATGAACCGGTTTAATTTTTGTGCTGGGGAACACAAAAAGAATCAGAAAATTTTTGCTTTTTTGTTCCCTGGCACAAAATGTGAAATACTTATCTCTCTCAATCACTCTTCAACTCTACCATCATCATCACCACCATCATCATCCCGACACGACCACCGCCACCATCGTCGCCACCTCTGTCATACCACTAGTGTCGTCGTCACCACCCCCCACCACCACGATGTCACTGCCACCATCACCACCACCACAACTAGCACCGCCACCACCACCACCACCACTATCATCGTCACCATCGCCACCACCGCCATTAACCACCTCCACCATCGTCATCACCACGTCACTACCACAACCACCATCGCCTTCACTAGCTACCACCACCACAACGCCACTGCTACCATCACCACCATTGTCACCAACCACTAGTACCATTGCAGCAGCCACTACCGTCACCGCCACCGCTGCCACCACTGTAACACCTCGTATATATCCGGTAGTGTTATCATTACATCATATTAAGCTACGCTTAATTAAAAATGCGAAATATTCTTTTTCTTTTCAATTATGACGTCATTATAAATTACCAACTTGATTACTTAATCAATTTCATACAATATCGCCTGAATGTAAATTGCAATAAGACATCTACTGAAATACCTCAATATATAAATAAAGTGAGTATCTAAATCACAGATCTACATCACGTAGTCCAGACAATATCCTGATACATTAATACAACTCCAAATAAAACTAAGACATAACTAGTCTATGTGTCATGGACAATCCTCATGCTCACCAAATCAACAGTGTCTCAACAAGATAATCATAAACATAAAATAAAGCTCAAAGCATAAAAGCAGCATGCATATCCAGCATCCAACAAGTCAGCATATAATATCATCAATATCTAACTCAGCTCTGGCCTCCTTCCGCCTGGGGCCTCAACCCCAACATTACCTGATCCTGAAATAAGCATTCCCCAAACGTGGGGTGAGATCTCTAAACCAGAAATCTCAGTAAGACTAGGGGTCCTCAAGGATCTTCCACCCCAAGCTCACTTACATATGCAATATAAGTTCTAAAAGCATTTATATCAATATCAGTTCCAAAACTATGCAGTGCAACAGATATTCATGCCATGTGTGTTTATCACTATTCTACTGGCCAGAGAAATGCAGGAATACGTCTATACCTACATGTAGTACAAGGAACACCGTTTGCACCTCACCCACAGCCTCACCATCTTGTATGTACCACATACTCTGGCTTACCGTATAGGTGGAACACCACATGCATATCATAAAGGCACTAGCATATAACAGCTCAACAGCATTTTCAAAACATCAAAAGCATGTAACACAGCATGCATATAACCATACCCCCATGGGACATGGTGGAACCACAACAACATGGCTAAACCGAGGACACGAAAGCTTACCTTGCAAGCTCACTCTCCAATGCCAAGAGTCCTCACGGCTCAAGTCCAACACACAGCAGATCACAATCTGATTTAGGACCAGCAAGTATATCAATATACATAGCTCAAAAGCATTAACATAAAGACTACGTTCTCCTTTTATGATTTACGTCTTAAGGCTTCCAACAAAGCCACAAGCCCTTAATCACATGATTCTGACTTAGTTCATTAATTACAGAAGTTCAACTTCATCAATCTAGGGTCCACAAACCCCCAATAGCCTACTGTCATCACAGCACAACTACTGTTCTTCGAAATCCCAGAATATCCGGATATTCCTCGGGGCATATCCGGATATCTAACTGACAATACCCGGATATCCAATATCCGGATATCTCACTGTCAATATCTCGGATATCCAATATCTCGGATATCCAATATCTCAGATATCCAATATCCGGATATCCAGATCCCCATATCTGGATACCCATATCCGGATATTTCACGGGCAATATCCGGATATTTCGCGACAGAACGTAGTTTCTGCATTTTCGAGAAGATATCCTTCCAAGGTTGGGATTTTACTGATTTTAGACACTTAAGCATGCATTTCTAAGTGTGTTAAGCATTTCCCAACATTAAGTTATCATCTTTTAACCTTTACATGCATCAAGGTTCCATTTTTAAGCATAAAAACTCATGTTCAAGGGTGATGACCATACCACAAGCTCAAAACAACAAAGAGAGATGCTCTTGGAGCTCACTTGAAGCTCCCACAGCCCAGCACACTCAAGGACACGAAAATGGACCAACAAGATGGGTTCTTGCACTCAAAGATCACTCCTTGGAGCACTATGTGCCATGACACAAGCTCCACCAACCAAACCAACCAAAGTCAGCCTCAAAACCTCACACACAGCAGCCAAAAACCACTGAAGAACACCCTCTCTC